TGATGATTACCGACGTTTTATGGTACATTGTCGTAGCGAAGGCTGCCGGTGAGAAGCCGAGGCGAGCTGATCGCCGAGAGGCAACGATTGGAGAGCGGCGTATGTGGCCTACTGGCCCAGTAAGGCCCCGGCGTGTCGCGCGCTTCGCGTCGATCGGCCAATATTCCTGCGCTCCCGAGGTTCATTACGCCTGTAATTAAGCAGGCCTCGGCGGCCGCTCGGCAAAGGCGACTCCTCGCCTCGCGGAGACGCGCAAAGTATCACGCGCGCGAGCGAACGCGACGTGGGATTTCGGGGCGCGCGCGGGGCGTCGGACTCGCCGCGGCCGCGCGATTAATAGGCGCGGATAAAGCGTTGCTAGATTACGCCCGGGTCGCGACATCGGTTAGGAGGTCGAGTCGGCCATCAATCGCCGCCAGCGAGGCGGCCGATGAAGCGGTTCGCGTCGTCCCGCGCGCGGCGCCCTTCGGAAACGCGAAACAGTCCCGAGCGGAGCCGCGCCGCGCTGCATTTCTCCTCCAACGGGACCAAGGTGCCGTCGTATCAGAGAGAGAGAGAGAGAGAGAGAGAGAGACAGAGATAGAGTCCGCGAGACATTGTAATACAGCAGTTGCACCGGCAGCAGCCGTCGCTCGGCGGCGCGCGGTCGGCGCTCGTGAGCGCGGCTCGACGAGGTGTTAACGACGGAGTGTAAACACTGGGCGCGGCGGCGCGGCGGTGTGGAAATCCTCGGGATCGCTAATAGAATCAAACAAGAGCGCTATTTTCGGGACGAATCGAATATGCTAAGTGGAGGCGTCGCGTCGCGTCGCGTCGCGTCGCGTCGCGCCACTTGCGCCACTCGCGCTACGCGCTCGCTCTCGTGCGTTTGGACAAGCGTCGAGCACACGAACTCCTCGGTGTCGAAACCGCACCCAGCTCTGCAGGAGTGGCTGCTGCTACCGCGTTTCTGTGGTAGCGGCGCGCTGGAGAGATCTACAAATAATTATACTACTCCCGCGCATTGACGCAGCACGTCGAAGCCCGCTCTCGCGCGCGGCCGCGGCCCGACTCGAGGATCGATAATAATGAGGCTCGCGAGTGCGCGGAGAATGTCGGGATGTTTGAGTCGCGCGATGCTCGAATTCGAGGTCTCCGAGCAATTATGCCGCTTCCCTCTGCGCCGATCACGCGGATCTCCTCGGAGCGCACAGCGCACAGCGCGCCTCCACTTCGGGCTCGACGATATAATGAGACTTAAGTATAGAGACACTATATATCGAGAGAGAGAGAGAGAGAGGGAGAGAAAGAGAGACTACGCTCGAGATACGAGAATCGATCGGCCGATAGTACACGTCGTCGTTATTGTACGTATTATTCGTTTCGTGATCGCCAAATTTCTCCAGCGCTCTCGGTGGAGGCCGATCGCCGCGGGGTCACCGGCCGGAGCCGGAGCCGGGGCCCGGGGCCCGGGGCTCGGGGCCGGGGCCCCGCGACGCGTGCTTTCCAATTATACTGAAGCTGCTCTAAAGTAGCTCGCTAATTATTCGGACCCGATCCCATCGACGAGCGAGCGGTGAGGTACGGGGAGAGGTGGGGTCGACCGTTCCGTTTTGTCCGCGGAGAAAGCTGGAAATTCGAGAGTGCTCTCGTCTCTCAGAAATCTATCGGCGCGATGTTCGCACGTACATCGCGAGCGTACTACACGGCGATGCGGCGGGGGCGGCGGCGGCGGCGACGTCAAAGTAAATTACGTGTACGGGGCTGTTGTAGACCGGGCCAGAGATCGCGCGTCCGTTACCGCGCGACGACGGTCGCGCTCGCGGTATCGCACACACGTCGTTGTTCCCGTTCTATTCTCACTCTTACTTTTCTTCTCTCTCTCATTGGCGAAACCGGATTTTGAAACTGGGACTTACGGCGAGCGCGAGCGCTCGCGCGGACCTCGCGGCGCATCGTGCGAAATGAGAAACGTCCTACAGCTCGGAGCTGTTCGCATTAACGCCGCGCTGCGCGATTCTCGACGGTGTCGTTTGAAAGATGATCGTTGCTCTTTGCTAGGTGTGGCTATCGTAGTTCACAAGGGCTAACGCCCGAGTCAACGGCGTAATCTCGACCCCCGACGTGCCACGACGTGCGTACAACCGTGAGAGCCAACGATCGGCTCTCTCGCGCGGCCTCTCGTGTTTCCAAATGGTCAAGAATGAAAACGCTCTCACGGCTGATATCGCTTCCCAAGTGGCGCGAACGCGCGCACGGCGACCTTGTTGTCAGTGGACTGTCGTGAAATTAAGCTCGCGAGTAGGATGCACGCCTCGATAGCGCGCCGATGTTCTCGTTAGACAAACGATCGATTGTGCGTTGTGTACGGCCGCGAGAGAAACTCGCCGTCGAGCGTCAACGGCTCGGAGGAACTTGGCGAGCTGAGAGTCGCGATGTGTCCCGCGAGTTCCCTCATTCTGTCCGGCAAATCGAACGCACCGCGCGAAACTCCACCTTTCGCCCGCTCGGTCGATTTATTCGGCGAGTCTCCGTTGCGAATCGATTTTTCACGATTCGACGGACGCCGGCTCGCCGCCGTCCGAGTGCGAAACAATACGACGAGTGTCCGTAAATCTTCGCGCGCCGAGAGACGCCTGTAAAATTTCGACCTGAGCGCGTAAGCGCGCCGTAATTTGCGGCAATTTGTGCGTTGCGACTCGTAGAAAGTCCCAGGACGAGAGGGACGATTTATAACCTCGCGTTACGCGGAAATGTTCTGCGACGCGAGTTTCCGCGCGCGCGCGCCTTCGCGTTGCAAGCATTTCTGAACCGCTGCGCGTCGAACGTCGAGCCGGCTCCGAGGGTGAAACTTACAAGGTGCGCGTTTAATAAGGGGATAAGCCGTAAAGCCGCCGTATCCGTCGCAAAGCGACTCGTAAATATCCCCGCGAACACCGTGTCGACCAGCGTTATGGTGATACGCGCGCGTGATTCACGCGATTCGGACGGAACAACGACTTTTGACAAATTTACAGCTGTCGCCGGAAGTCGTTATCGTCCGCACGCGCACGTACGTATACGTGTGTGTGTGTGTGTGTATCGTGGAACCGATGGCATGTTTGGAAAAAAATTGCGCAACACGGTCTTTCTGTCGAACCTGTCGGAGGGATCTCTCGCGAGAGGGAGAAGGAGGAGGGAAAGCACCTGGCTCGTCCGCGCGATCGAGTCGAGGTCACACACGAGGAGACGATATCGGTTTCTCCGGAGTATGCGCCTCGCTTGCGTCAGCAAGTCGAGGGTGTAGAAGGTAAATCGAGCCAGAGGCAGGGGGAGAGGATAAGAGCGCTGCGAGTTTCTCCCGATACACGATTTGTCACTTAAGTGTCGCTCGCACAATAGAAAGCGGCAGATTCGATTCTCCCGGTGACTCGTTTCGCGCTTGAACTTGCCGCTGCCTGGCTGCCTGCTTGCCTGCTGCCTGCAGGGCCAGCCTGGCGCTTTTTAAGCGGCCGAGGATGATCGTGACGAAGGGCGTGGGAACGTCATTAACCCTTTCCTGCGGCGCGGTGCGGCGCGGCGCGGCGAGCGCTGCTCGCGAGTGAGACTTTCATGCGAGGCGCGCTGCGCGAGGGGATGCATGGAAACTTATGATAGATAACATCTCCCCTTAGACTTATTTGCTTTCGGCTTCTCGGTCCTCCGTCGATGTGCCTGCATAAATTTGCAATTTTCGGAAGAGCCGGGACGGGACGGGGCCAAGGGGAGATGTTATCCACGCGAAATTAACAAGCCGAGGGATAACGTCGGAACGGAAGGAGGTCAGACGAATGTAAACTCTTATCGCGCGCGCGCTCTCTAATCTCCGTGCCTCATCTTGCTGCCTATGATTGAGAATGAAACTTTGAGTCACCTGCTCCTGCGTCGCGCGACTCGAATAGAAGCGAATCGACGCCACGCCCGATCGAAAATTCTACGCAATTAGAGTAACGTGAAAACACACATACACACACGTTGTGTGTCTAAGACTATCGTCGTCGCGGAGCGCGTATTGCAGGCTTATCATCAGCCCGCAAAACGGACATGCATTCCGCTGACTCGAGCGTCTCGCGTTCTGACCGCTCGGCGTTTGTAATTACGTCGGCGTTTGTAATTCCGCCGGCTAAGCTCAGCCGGCTGCAATCAGATGACAATTTAGCGGGAAGTAATGATATGTGCGCATGTGAGAGCAGAAATGGTAAAACGCCGTCTCTCCCAGACGAACGGCAAAATCCGCGGGGCGAGACGGCGCCAGTCGCTGAGATGCTTCGCTATTGATCGCAATTAATGTACCGATGTGAACCTGGCAAACAACTTGACCAAAAAAAAAAAAGAATTTGCAATATGGTTCGATTGTACTTCGTTTGTACCTGTTTGTACCACTTTTTGTTTCATTTGTACCTCGTAGGATAAAAAGATAGGGGGAGGGGGAAAAGTAGCCAGCAAGCGAGCGTGAGATATCGCAAAACGGCCAAAACGCCATTCGAAAGAGAATCGTCTATACCCGTTTGTATCTCCCTTCAAATTGTACCTCAATTTGTACCTCGAAGGAGCCGGATCAAGTACAGGATCTTCAAAAAACGTCCAAGAGACACTTTCGCCAACTTTTGAGATATCGCAAAACGGCCAACGCCATTCGAAAGAGAATCGTTTGTATCCGTTCCCGTCAAATCGTTTGTACCTCAGAGGAACCGGAAGTACAGGATCTTCGAAATACGTCGGAAAGTTACTTTCGTACTTATACGATATCTTATACTTGCTTGCTGCCTATTTTTCCCCCTCGCCTATCTTTTTATTCTTTGAGGTACAAACAAAAAGTGGCACAAACAAAAGTACAATCGAACCGTACTGAGAACTGTTTTTTTTTTTATTAAGTTGTTTGCCAGGTCCACATCGGTGATTAATGTGAAACTGTGCCGCGCTCGAAACTAGATGCGACTCGAGACGACAGTTCGTAATTAATTTCTAACTAAGCGATATGAAAAATTCGCCGTCTCACTTACGCTCGACTTTGTCCGTGAAGAACTCGCGCGAGTTGGGAACTCGAGGTTTGTCTTCCGCTGCGCTATCTTGCGCCAAGTCTCCTCTCGCCTGTTCTCCAGCGAGTCTCAAGTGTCGCAGTGTACACCCGTCTCTTTCCAAGTCCCGAGAGTGCACACTGTGTATTCAGCGATGACGGACAAGCCTTGTTCCTGCCGAATCGTCCTAGTTTCTCGGTCGTGCCGACTCCTCCGTAAGACCGAAACGTTAACCCGGTTGAACGATCGAGTGGCTTACGCCATGCGTGCAATTATTAACGTTGCATATGCACATAATATGATGCACATAATAGGAATTCCTTCTCGTCAAGACGCAGCACGACGCTCGAAAGTCTTCGCCATCGACCAGTGTCCTTTGTAACGCGGGAGGAGGGCCCAGGATTGCAACTCGTACTTTCCACGCGCACAAACGAAACGAGACGAGACGAGACGAAGCGATAGCGCGTTTTGCCCGGACACGAGATTGCAAGTAAGCGCGTGTTCCCAGCTACGCACGATCACTGGTAATGACGCACCGAGAAAGTCGCTAAATTGCAAGTTGCCGTGCGAATTCAGCAAGTTCGTTACTGCGGCGCGAATTAGACGTAAGCAACACACGCCCGCCGGGCTACGCGCCAACTCCGACTTTTTTCTCTCCTTCTCTCCTTCCGGGATTTTTTTCGTCGCCGGTCCTTGCTCCTTTCGGCGACATGCTGGCGGCGATCGTCAGCGTCCGCGTCGCCACGACGGCCGAGTTGACATTTACGGCGATCGCGAAAACGCGCGAGCGCGAAATTTCTCCTCTCGTAATGGCAGATCCTGCTCGTCCTTAATAGCGCACGCGATTTCGGAGCGCGCAGAGCTTAGAGAACTGGCATGTCTAATTGTTGTCTATACGTTGCTGTTAGCTGCGTCTTCAGTATCACGAAAGTCGTTCCGAGCGATCGTGGAAACGCGTGAGATGGCCGCAGGCAGATAAAAGAATTTCGCGTTTGGAATTTCACGGAATCGCGCGCCGCGCCGCGCCGCGGAGGGCGACGCAGAATCGCGTGTCTGTCCGCTGCGTTTTCTGTGCTTCTGTGTTGGACGCGTGCCGCAAGGCCGCGGAGGAGGAGGAGGATGACGACGACGACGACGACGACGACGAAGACGAAATAGAAGATACGTCCGCGACTGTCGTGCGCAAACAAGCTCGCGAACAATCCTCGCGCGTTCGCGTGAGAAATAATGACAAGTGGGTGTGATTGTGTCATTATCGGCTCGTAAGATGTCCGTCTCCCGTGGGTGAGCCATAGACGGGTGGTGTGCATTCCTCCCCGATGATCGGGAGAGGAGACACCCGCGGAAGCCTCGTGCCATTTCTGTCGCGATTCCGCAAGCGACGTCGACAGCTCGCGCCGATCTAACGAGGCTCGTGTGTGCGCGCGCGGCACACGTGGACACTATAATGAAATACGTGATCCATCTCAGAGAAACTCCCGGCGCGAGCGGACGCGCGTGTTACCCCGCGCGCGAGCGGATCCTTTTAATTGAAACTTTCAAATCTATCCGAAACGCGCGCGCGCGCGCGAGCACGCGTCCGCCAATTTCGCGCAGGCGGCCTCCTCTTCATGCAAAGCACCGTGCTGCACCGCTGAGCCGCCACGAGTGGGAGACTGATTACTGTCATTACGTAGCTCGTAGATTGAAAATTTATCTCGCGTTTCCTCGCGAGAGCCCGACGCTAAATAACGGCGATAAAGGCGAGCGCATGATTCGCGTTATGGTAAACGCGAGAAGGCGAGCGCGCGCTCGCGCGCGCGCTTGCGTTGCGTGCGCGTGTGTTTTTGCACGCGCACCGTACCATTTGTGGGACTTAATACGCATAAAGCGCATAAAGCAGTCAGATTTCTAGAGCATTATCATTTCGTGCGTATCTGCACCCTAGCGCGGGGTGCGGAGCGCGGCGCAGCGCAGCGCAGCGAAGCGCGAGGGTGATCGATAAGGTCGTGCCGTTGATAACGTCGCGGCGATTAACGGCGCGATTCACGATCGCGCGCGGTCGTCGTATTAATTAGAGCCATTTTCATCAGCCGCAATTGAGAGCGAGCGAGCATTAATAAAATCGGCCCGAATGGCGGAGATCGAATCATGCCAATGTCCTCGCTTTTCCAGCCGTCGGCGGCTCGCACCGCGCTGCCGGTATAATTATTTCTAATCGGTTTAGAAAATGCGCGCGCGCGCGCGCGATCACGCGCTGTCGACGAGGTGAACGGCCCGTCCGTTTCCATCATTCTGCTATCTCCCAGCTTTTTGCGCCAATAATTCGCGGATAAAGGCGTTCTTCGCCGCGTTCGCAGTCTTCATCTTGCACGCACGCACGGCCCGACGATGGTCTTCTGCGGTCGGGATGAGTCGCGGAGGGAGAACATGTACGGGGGAAGTCCGGTGAGTCCCCTCCTCGTAGCGAAATTTATATTTCTCCGCGGAGGAAGAATGTTCTTCTGAAAGCTTGACGCGCCGGATTGGATCACCGATTTAAAATCGACGTCCATATTTTTTTCCTCTCCCTCTCTCTCTCTCTCTCTCTCACGCGCCCCTTTCTCCGCTTTTTTAGACCACCTGAAACCTTGCGTACATCTGCTTATATAACTTCACATTTCTTCTCCGCTATTATATTCCGGCGAAACCGTGCGCGACGCGCACGTCGGAAACGGTCTCTAATTAGCGGCACCGTAAGAGGGCCTAAGGTCAAACGCGCATCATTATTAGCAGATCTCAAAGAACGACTAGATGATCCCGGCGCGTCGTGTGCTTTTACTTCCGGTCGCGCCGCGGTCGGCCTTTTTACCGCGCGCGCGGCGCGGCGGCAGTCTCGCCGGGACCGGGAACGGGAGTCGCGTCAATTAATTAAAGCCGCGAGATCTGCTCGTGCGCGGCACCGCGGCACTGGCGTCCTCGCTTTTCCAGCCTACGGGCTGACGTCGGCGCAATTATTTCTAATCACTTTAGAAAATCCCCCGCTGCGGCGTCGGCGGCCGCCGACGATCGGCGACGATCGAGTTGAGCCGCGCGTGTATGTATGTGTATGCCATCTTTCTCTAGGCTGTCCGACCTCCGCTTTCTGATGCGCGTCAAAGTTTCCTCGCCGCGTCTTCCAGCTTCACCATAAACGGCCGATGTCTCTCGCCGGCGATAGTGACGGCGTCGCGGTCGAGTCGCACTCGTGAGATCTCGTGCGGAGAATATCGGGAATAGATCGAATCGAATTGGAAGAGAGAAGCTTAGCTAGCTCGTGCTTCCTTTTCCTCGCGCTCGCCTCGAATTATCATATCGCGCATTACTGCAATTTGAACCCACGCGCACGCGTGTGATGTCCAATTTACGTATTTATATTCAATAATTATTATCACTCCGCATCTGAATTTTTAAGAATTTCTCCCAAACTCGCCCGTTTCACCGTTTCAATCACCGCTTCGACTTCTCGCGTGATTCTCGCCGTGTTACTCGCACTCGGGAACACCATATACACGTACATTTCTCCGGGCTGCTTCTCGCGAGAGGAAGAAGACCCGACCGATCGACTTGACGCCGTCGACGGCGACTTTGACGCGTCTCGTCGCTGGAAAGTAGCCGGCTCGTAAGAGTGAAACACTGTTGCACGCCGTTCGACGCTATCGCGCGCGGTTATGTGCATCGCCGACGAGCGTTCCTCTCCCTCATCTCTCTTCCCGCGGTCTTGTTTTTCCCGCGGAAATTTAGCGTAGGAGAGATTACACTCGCGCGCTCGCTCGCATGACACTTCGAAAAACCGACCGATCGTTCTCCCATTTTAGCATCGTTACCACTTCGGGTTGGGTCGAGGAACTCTCTGTTCCTCCTCCTTGCCTCCCCCCTCCCCCCCCCGCCGCCCCGGTCCTGCGTCCCGGTTGTAAGGTCAGCGAACGAGGAAGCCACGGTGGGTGAATATTTGACGGATATTACGTAAAAATGTCTCGACTTCTCGGCGAGACTCGGGAAGGAGCCGAGTCGCAACGCGCGACTGAGTACGCGCGACTCCGCGCTTTGAAGTCAATTAACGTCAATTAACAGCGTCCGAAGTTTACGTTCCCCCCGTAGCGCGCGAAAAGGCGCGACTCGAATTTTTACATTACTCGGCGGACATATATCGCATGCTTAAACCGCCGCCTTGTACGAGGGAGGAAACGATAAACGAGTCGGTAATTTTCTCCCTGCCGGCACGTCGCGCGTCTCTCCCTCGCGCCGCGCAGCGCGCCTCGGAAAGATAGTTACTATCGATCAATTACGCGCGATGCGCACACTCGCCGCCTGCGCCCGTAAAATGGGCTTTTACCGGCCAACTTTCCTTCGGGATAGAAAAGATCCACCGAGTCCGAGTAAGAGTACTGTTAAAGGTCGGCTATAAATAAGCGAGAGAATACGCCGGACGTATGTAAGTGCGTGTACGGCCGCGACACAAGAACCGATCGTTCGTGAAGGCCGAACGTGTTGGGACCGCGACGGCGCGGCGGCGGCGGCGCGTCTCGCTTCTTCGACTCGCGCCTCGAAAATTATTCTCTCGGTTATAACTCCTTCGCGCAGCGTCTCCGCACAGCGTTGAGGTAGCGAGCTGCCTCAAGCGCGATCGCATGAAAAATCAATTCGGACGACGACGACGACGACGATCGGAATTCGGTTGACTCCGAGAGGTTCGTCCGAGCGCAGCGTGAGTTTCCAATTCCCACGGCGACGTCGCCTCGCCTCGAGAAATAACACGATCATCAATCGCGTTGTTTTATCACTTATCCCCCGTCACTCACGTCACGCACATGGCACGACTACAGAGATATCCGATTAGCATGTGTGATATCGCTTTCTAATTGCCACAATATGATACCACGGCATGTAATGCTGAATTTACCGCACGAGAGACCAAGAGCGAGAGAAAGAGAGAAACGCGCGAGCGCAGCCGTGTGAAATCGGATTGATACTTGAAGTACTGTGTTCGAAAATCGCGCTGCTCACTTTTGTCGCAACGATCCCCGCCGGGATTTCCTCGCTCGATCGAACGGTGCCGAGAGCGAAGCTTCCGCAGGGGTTCGTCTGGAAAAGGGACGGTGCAGTTATATTCGAGCGAAGGTCAAGCGCCGCGGCCGCTCCGAAGGCGCGACGATGCACCCTCATCGTTTCCGCTCGAGTTCGCACGGCGTTTTTGTCCCCGCACGGCGCGACGGTAGCCGTGAAGCCTGTTTTAGATGACGATCCATAACTCGAAACGTAAATACCATCGTCTTTACTATCCTACGCGCCGAGTCGCCATTACAGTCGACGGATGGGGGAGAGGATCCTGCCAAGGTTACGCCAATCGTACATTTCGGTCGTCACACTCGGACGCGCTCACTCGTGCGCGATTAAATCGAGGAGAACGAAAATAGGTCAAATTACAGCTCGCGAATTCTGTCGCGAGTTACAGCGACCGTTTGACGAACGAACGACCGACTCAACTCCGCTTGCGAGCGAGCCGTGTTACGCGTGAAAAGCCCATTCGGCTGCTGGGCCATAGCTCCGGCTGTAGCTCGGGGATCGTTGTAAACAGGACCTAAATGGCGATTTGAGCCGGGCATAAAAGGCCCCGTGTAACGACGTGCTCAGCGCAAACCGTAATTTTCTTTGCGCCGCCACGCTCGCGTTTAGCCGCGCCGCGCGCTAATCTTTACCGCTCGCTCGCCCGACTCGCTTAACGATCGACTTGGCGTATCGTTTCCGATACGAGTTTGTGTCGCGGCGGAAAAGCGCCCCGCTTTTCGCGCGCGAGCCAGTCGTCGCGTTACGTCGCGTGCGACTCGCCGCGCGTTTACGGATGTATGTCTGATAAGCGAGCGATTGTAGATCTCACACCGAGTTAACAATCCCCGCAACACGCGTTACAATGTTTCTTCGATAATTGCAGATTTGATTTGCATTTATGATTACATCCCCCCTTTTGCTCTACTCATGTCATTCTCACACACACAACGTTATAATTTGTGAAATCAATTATTCGCACAGCTTATGTATCTAAGGTATCCTTCGTTATTGCTGCCTAGGCTTTCTCCCGCAAATAAACGAGTAAATTAAAAAAAAAAAGTGAATTCGAATACACCTCCGCCGCCGTGGGAAATGTTTTCATTGATCCACGAAATAATTGCTACAATGATGGTTGCCTCAAATTTTCTCTCCCGAGCAATTACATTTTCTTACAAAAGCTGCGCTATTAAAGAAGCGCGCGCGACGAGTACCGCTTCTTTTTTCAGCGAAGCTGAAATTCAACGTCTCGCGCATTAATCATTATTATCTTTTTAATCGACCCGTGTAAAAGTACACACATACACACACACACACACACGCTGCGTAGTAGCATTGTCGGTCTTTCGTAAAAGACGCCGAACGGTACATGGATTTACATTCGATTCGCTTGAATCAGGCGTTACGCAATTTCCTCGCCTGCGCCGGTCCCGTTCCGCGGACAAATCGTCGATTATTATTAAACGATAATAGAAACGAGTTTGGCCAGCCGTTTCGTATGCGCCGACGACAGCTGTCGCGTCCCGCCGCCGAAACGGGAGTCGATCGGCGCGTTACCGCTCGCTACCGCTCAGTGTGTATTCGTGTATTCTTTCGTCGCGAGACGTTATACGGGCGTCAAGTACCCTCGATTAATACCGCATTCACAATGCGTTTGTGTGTACACGCAGGTGCGGCGTTTATCTGTTTTTCACCTGTTTGTGCCACTTCTGCGGCGACTCCCACGTGGCGGGAACGATTTCACGGTGAATAGCGCGCCTTTTCCACGAACGAGCCGCGAGCCGCGAGCCGCCGCCAAGTCAAGTTCCAGCGCTGGCAAAAAGCGCGCTGGCGCGAAACAATCAACCTCCGGAGGTAGCGCGCGTTACCACTCGACTGTTTATCCACTCCGCATACACGGGTATTCGCGCTCCATCGTCCGGTGTGTGTGCCGCCATTATCACACATCCGCGTGAAAAATTCGAGAGGAGCTCTCTCGGCGCGCTTCTTCGTTCCTAGGGCGCGCTTCTCGCGCGAGGGAAAGCGCGTCGGTCCCGCGCGGCGACCTTTCCTCGGAGCGTTATTTTCCTCTACCTGTAATACCTAACGACGTACACACCGCGTTACGAGGCCACTTTGTGCGAAACATTGTGCGCATCGGCTGCGACCGCCGCCGCTCGCTTTCATCCACCACCATCGCGATCGACGGTTAACGATAAACCGGCTAAACGCCGCCGTATTGTGCGCCGAAAAGGTCGCTTTCCCGAGCCGTTGTGTGGCTTTCAAGCACGAGCGAGGCACGATCGGAGACACCGAAGATGGCCCGAAACCCGCCGGATAATTAAGTAGATTGCCATGGAAATTAGATTAGGTGAGTTTCTCGCGGGGACACACAACAATCCAGCTTAATTGCCCGGCATTGTGCCGGGAAGTTAATGCCTGCGCGCTCGCTGTATACGACCGTCCTCCTCGTCGTCGTCGTCGTCGTCGTCGTCGTCGTCGTCGTCGTCGTCGTCCTGCCTGAGGACAGGTTGCGCTTTATAATTGCGACTGCGTGAAACACGAGGACGGACGAGCCCGCGAGCCGCTAAAACGCGAAACGTTACGACGACACCGAGACGCGAAATTGGATTGCGCAAATCATGACGGGCGGGAGTGCGACGACGTCCCACTCTTCATTTCACTTTTCGCATTCGCGGATAAAAATTCATTTCTGTGTGAAAGATTTATATCTCGAGACTGAGAGAGAGAGAGAGAGAGAGTGTGTGTGTGTAGAATAAATCTGGAATTCCAGACTGAGAAAAGCGACAAAGTAATGCAGGGATCTTCGAGAAACACATCTCTCTCTCTCTCTCTCTCTCTGATCGAAAGTCTGACGAAGCAATCAAGCAACGCAATTGCGTATTGCGTATCGTGGTCCACGCATTCCAAGAGGCGAAAGAGGGCGAGAGGAAGGGGATACTTCGCGATTAATGCAACACATTAGTAAGAATTGTTGCGACCGTACAGCGCTGGCGATCCGCCTCCGGCCTCTCTCGAGGTCTCTCACGTTGCATTATCCCGGCCGTTTGAGCTATCTGGGATGGTAATTCCCGCGTCGTATTTCCCGAGGTCGAGGTCGCGATTCGTCGAGGTATCGTCGATTCGTGCGGAAAAGGAGACCATCGATCTCCGCCGAATAGATCGCCGGGGACGGTCGTCGTGACGAGATGACGCGGTAAATCATCCTCGGGGTTCTCTCAGGGATTCAAAGGACCGTCTCTCTCTCTCTCTCTCTCTCTCTCTCTCTCTCTCATTCTCTTCTGCCCTCCTCCTCCCCCTCCCCCTCCCCGCTCCTCCCTCCCTTTCTTTCCTCCGTCGCGGCATTAACGAAGGTTCCGCTCGACGCGCGATATTAACGCTATTATTTCTGCATTATTGCGAGGCGTGTCGCAGATTCGCCGAGATAAATGAATTTTAAGTAATGAAAGGCGATTCTCTTTTGTCGCTCGCGCGAACGGCAATATTTCCGAGTGGTGCACGCAGCGGGAGACAAGTTGGAAAACAAGTTTCGCGGATCGACTCGCCAATTAAACGTCGATCGGCACGATATACCGTGCCAATCAAACGACCGAGAACAAATACCGCGATAGAAACGCTCCTCCGAACAGATTTAATTCGTTCTAATCGCAGCGCGATATCACCGGCTCGCGCGAGAGCTTCTCGTACCTCATCCGGCGTTTCGCCGGCGTAACTCTTCTCAGACGCGTCGTTTTATTTACAAAGCGGTTACCTCACCGGGAGATGAAATTTTTCACGAGCAGTCCGCTGGCTTCTAATTAGACAGTGAAATCTATCAGAGCGACGATAAGATCGGGCTTTCTCCCAACTTGTGAAAACTGCTCTAGATCGGACGCGCGATTACGTATGCGCGAGTCGAGCGAAAAAGAGCCGCGCTAAAGCCGCGGCTAATTTATGCGACTAACTAATGCGACGCGCGATCTTTCCCGAACACCCGAACGATCCGCAGCGCTCGAGACGTACCGGCACATCGAAATTCGAACGGTTCATCTCTCGCTCTCGTCGCGTCGCGTCGTGTCGCGTCGCGCGAGAGCCCTGACCGCTCTTGACCCTTGAACGCGAATCGAGACTCACCTTGCCGCGGCGGCGAGCGTCCGCTCTATCCGAGTAGCGTGGCCTGCTTGCTGCTGTCGCCTAATTACCAAGGTTATCACCGACGGGGACAATCAACGCGTCGAAGAACGGGTTTTCACTTTTAGCTCGGACGCTCTTCTCCTCCGTCTCTCTTTTCCCCTCGTTCTCTTTCTCTCCCTCTCTCGATCTTCCTCGCGCGCGACCACCAGTTTCTTCACACACGGCGCGTATACACGCGCGACGTTCTCCACCGCGTCCCTCCGCGTCGGACACGTGTAGCACGTCGACGAATCTCGACGTTCACTGACGACGACGAATGAAACGAAACGAGATTACGAGGAAGAGCGGAAAAGCAGCCGCAGAAAAAAGGGAGAGACTCGCGCGAGATCACGCGCGCGATTCCCCCTTCCGGCCGCTCGCGCGTCCAGCCACCGCTGACGATCGATCCGCGCGCGTTGAGTCCCGCGAGGATCCCGCGAGGGATCCTCCTCGGCGAGACGACGACTCGTCGGCGCGCTCGACGCACGGACGACGCACGCTGGAGAGACGCACGCGGCGATCAGGACGAGCCACGGCAGCGACGCGCGTCGCAGTCGCGCGTCATCGACGACGACGAGACGGTGAACGGTGCGGCAGGTGCAGCAGCTGCAACTGCCACGGTCGTCGGCTTCATACTGAAGGGGAGAGATACACGGTTCGATGCCGCCACCGCCACCGCCGCCGCCGCAGGCTGCCGCCGCGCAAGCAGCTACGAGAAACTGGCTCCGCGACGCCGCCGCCGCCGTCGCCGCTGACTGCTCCGAAAACTCGGAGCGGTGTCGTGCTCTCTCTCTCTCTCTCTCTCTCTCTCTCTCTCCCCCCCTCTCCCCCTCTCTCTCTCTTTCTCGCTTCCTCTTTCTTCCTCGCTCCTTCGGCTTCTCCCTTTTCGTCGCTCTCTCTCTCTCTCTCTCTCTCTCTCTCTCTCTCTCTCTCTCTCTCTCTCTCTCTCTCTCTCTCTCTCTCTCTCTCTCTCTCTGCTCTCTCACTCTCGTCCTGCCGCCGCTCTCCTCGTCGTGTTTCTCTTCCCCCTTTTGCCATCTCCGAGCGAGCTGTCGGTGTGTGCGTTCGCCGTTCGTGGTGGGGTTCTGCTCTCCAGCGCGCGGAGTAGGGGCCATCCTCTCTTTCTCTCCGTCTCTCTTTTTCTCCCTTTCTCTCTCTTTCGCTCGCTCGCTCGCTCATCTCAACCGGGCTCTCCTTCGCGTGGAATCACGAACGGGCCCCGAGGATATTTTTGGATTTTTCTTTCGATATGTTGTCCTGCGCCTCTTCGAGAGAGAGAGAGAGAGAGAGAGAGAGAGAGAGAGAGAGAGAGAGAGAGAGAGAGAGGGAGAAAGAGAAAGAGAAGTCGCCTTCAAGATCCGCTCAGGGATCCTCTCGATAAATCCGTGCGAGAAATAGCTGCCTTCGCGACGGCATCGCGCGGATTCGCTTCGCGACACACCGCGAATTCACACGTGGAATTCGAAGGCCCCGGCTGCGTTTCGCGCCTCGCTATTGATCCGGATTTAGCGACGTGATTTTTCACTTCCGACTGTTGCTAGGGAGGAAGTCGCCTCCTCACCTTTTCGCTGGCTCGCGGTAACGACGTGCCGCGCGCAATTCCGACGGAAGGTCTCCTCCGCGAGGAAGCCGAAGAAGGTATATTTTGATAAAACGATATCTCGTCGAATATTACACGAGATGTCGGTCCCCTCGATTTCGCCGCGAAACCTTCGAACAAGAGGAATATGACTTCGCTCCTCTGCGGGTTCGTTGATCTCTCAGGTGCATAGAAACGCGCAGGAGGCGCTCACGAAAAGCACGGGAGAATTTCCGTTTCGTCGTTTTCATACCTGGTTCTGGTAGGACGTTCAGTTCGAGCCCGACGCGACGCGTTCCGGTAGGTCGGTGACGCCAAGAACCGGACCGGCTGCAAAAACGATTACGTTTCGAGAAGAGCGAAAGAGGAGGGAGTAAGAGAGAACGGCCGGGGCTTACCGGCAGGTCCTGGGCCATAAAGATGCCCGGATGCATCGCCGAATATGGCCGAAAACACCTAAATGCTGCCCGGTAACAAGTCGCGCCTCGTGTCGCGCCACGCAACAAAGGTGCGAAAATTACTAGACCAGAGGCTCGATTATTTCGGATTTATTCACCGTGAAAAATATCACATTTTCTCGGGATGGCATTCTAAAAATGTGTAAAACATCGTCGGATGTACGAAGGGACGGTAATTAATTAATTAATTCTTGAAGCGCGTTAAAGAGAGAGAGAGAGAGAGAGGAAGCGACGAGGAAAGTAAATTTTTTATATTTTATCGCTCGTTGAGAAAAATTCCCTTTTCGATCGATATAAATATTTTTTGTCGCGTCATGGAAAATCAATCTTCTATTTGCGTATTAAAATAGCGAGCGCGACACGCCGACGCCGACGTGTAGAGAAATATCTCGATACATGAAAGGTTCAGGATTTCAGGCGCCATTGACAAGCGGAAGCGGGCAACGGCGAAATTGTCGACCTTAGTCTAAAAGTTTTCACAAGAACGTACAAAGTAATTAGACCCGATCCTCGCTGGCGAGGGCGGCTTTTAGCGTCCTCGTCGACGTTAGACCACTTTGCACTCGCGAGTGTGGATATAATTAACGATGCTTGGGCTCTCATGTACTTTCATAAAGTCCGGAACTTTCTAATACGCTCAGCAAGTATCTCTGTTTAAGCGTAACGAGACTACGTTGCGCGCGTGCGAGAATATCTTTATTCGTCCTTCGGAATTAAAACGGTCATGCCTCGAGTCAGGATAGCCTGCGGTCGCGCCGACCTTTTTGCGTTGAAAAGCCCGAAGAACGATGAACGTGTACGTCCAAGATATCGCTACTATCATTTGTCCATTCAACCGAAGAGCCAGAGTCCAATCGCGCGCCTCGATATAAACTAATTTACACGTGACTTTGCGTAAAACTAAGCTAACTTCTCGGCGGAAGATCATTCCCCTCTCCGTTTATTCGCACGTTCATTTCTCGTCCTTTCCTTTTTTCCTTTCTTCATCTTATACGGCTCTCTATAAATCTCGTTCTCCGGCAAAAGTTAAGGAAGTGCGGAGTCGTTTCTGCTGGCATTTTTACGCCCAGTATTTCCGCGAGGACGGGATCGTTCGCCAGGATAAAGTATCCTCCGGGGATACGTATGCGAGCGTCGTTGAATGAACACCCTCTTCGTGTACCGGGCCCTTCGCGCGAGCGATAGCTTCACGCCGCGTTCGGCCGAACGACTTTCCTTTAAATCGGCGAGACGGTTTACGTGCCGTAGGTTGACATTTACAGTGAAATCCCGAGCAGCGGGCGCAGCTGGTTACCATTCGCTCAATGATGCCTTAAGGATCTACGGTACCGTGGCTGGAACCTGTTTCTCTTGTTCCTGGTTGCTCGCTATATTTATACGCATTTGCGCGCGTCCACATACACGCGCACAGTCGTCCTGTACAAATTGAATCGCAACTAATTATGAAATATTGCCGATGTGTCGCGCGTATACGAACTCGCGCGCGCGCGAGAATTTCACACCGCGGCTCTGCGAAATGTACGACGCTTTTAACGTACGCGCCGGGGGAAAATTGCAGCACGCAAAGGCGACGAAATATTTCACCCGCATTACCATTTCCCATCGGGATTAAGCGCATCGATCTAACGCAAAAAATATCCAGCTTTGTGGAGAAATTCTGCACGACCACCGGGGGCAACATTTCGGGATTGCGAGAACGGAGCGAAGAGAAACCCTCTTCCCGCCTCTCGTATTCGAGCGAGCTTTCGGATGAGTAAATCTCATGTTCCAGGATTGCCCGCGGACTTCTCTCGCACTTTTCATCCTCAGATACTCTCCTTCCTCGCGTTTTTACACTCTTCTCACTTCCGGATCTCGCGAAGTGCCAAGTACTCGCGTCGCCGCCCTGCGGTTAATTAAATGCACAGCAATAATCGCCAAAGTGATTACGCGAAACAATTGATGTCGCTGCGGGGCGACGTTAACATCACGCCTACAACTTGCTCGCGTTCGGGCGACGCGAGTATTCCCGTCCTGAGTTTCACGGCGTGACTCTGGCCAGGCAAGTTAGCCCGGCAACAACGAAATCAGAAGTGACTTCCACCTCGCCTTTTACGATCTGACCTCTCTCTCTCTCTCTCTCTCTCTCTCTCTCTCTCTCTCTCTCTCTCTCTTCCTCTCTGTCTCTCTGTCTCTCTGTCTCTCTCTCTCTCTCTCTCTCTCTCTCTCTCTCTCTCTCTCTCTCTCTCTCTCTCTCTCTCTCTCTCTCTCTCTCTCTCTCTCTCTCTCTCTCTCTCTCTGTTCGGGGCGTGGGCACATCGCGGGGGCCGTTTGGGAAACTGCCCGGTGCAACGCGCGCATTTTAATACACGGAGATTCACACGTGGCGGGCCTTCGACTTCCTGCCGGTGCGAGACCGAGCGAGTCGCACGATATAACGCAAGCCGGATACGGAGCCGCGTAATTGCACATTCGGCTCGGCGTTTCAGCCGCCGATTTAAATCTTTATCATACGAAGCGTTAACCCCTTGAGGACACGCGCGCGCGCGCGCGTCGCGGAAGTGTAAAATTAGTCCGACATGTGTAAGAGAAGCAAAATTGCTCTATATACTCGCAAGCGGAAATATAATATAAACATACGCACATACGTCAATACGTCGATCTCGTGATCACGTTGCTTTTGAGTTGGAGAGTTTCGAAATCTGTTCGGCATATCGAGCCGAATAATCGTATGAAAAAGGAAATGATGCGAGAAAAAAAGGGGCTTTTACATCGATATATATATATATATATATATATATCCATTTATTTGTTTTTTCGTTTTGCTCGACTGAAGCTTGCTACGTACGTTTAAATAAGTCATGCCCTATGAACACAGTACGATATGAGTATGCTAGTAATAAATATAGTTTTAATAATAATCAGAAAGAAAATCTAAAACGCGCTACCTCTCCGCGGTGAACTCGTGCACTTTTTCGTGCGCCGACGACGGAATGTCTCGCGAGTCGTCGCGAGGAAAATATTTCCGCCGTCCGCTGTCCGACTTTACATATTAGTATTCAGCTAAATGTGCAGATAAGCGTACAACGAGCGAATTCCTTCGGTCGCGTTTCTCATTCTCTTTCGCAAAATCACCCGAAGTGAGAATACCTAACTCTATCCAACTATGTGCTACTTAATATTGATATCCACCATTACCGCCGTTTTGTCTGTTATTTCCAGCGTTGTCGCTGCCTCCTTTAAACGTTTCGCCGATATTATTGCTAGGAGCGTCGGAGAAGTATCCACCGCCGCTCAAGCCACCATCATTGCCTCGGCCAAAGGATTGTCCTCCTGCGGAAATGCAAGGTAATTCTCGATTAAATTATCTGTCTAAATAAAGAATGTATCTCAAAGCACCCTCGGCATATTTTATTGCAATTACTTCAATCCCTTTAATAATTAATGTATATTAATGTCTGCTATCGTCGCTTTGATTATTTTGCTCGAGCAAAAAGCGAGAACTGTGTTGGATTTTGATGCAGAAGATTAGCAACAAGTCAGGCACTCTCTCGAGCGCGATATTATATAAGAGAGTGGATCCTTTGGAATTCGCGATTTGACAGACAGGATTGAAATAACCCATCACAACGGGCCGCAATCTTATCGCACCTGGCCTGCCCGATTGATAACCGTTGCCGCCTCTGCCGTTAAATCCGCCGGGCTTTCCCTCAGCTGGACCACCGTTTGGATAGCCGCCATTACCGCTGCCACTGCCTCCATTAAATCCTGAGTTATCCGCGAAGCCACCGCCGTTATCCGGTCGACCAGAAGAATAACCGTCGTTACCATTCGACCCGCCGCCACCGCCGTATCCGCCGGTACTCGCTTCGCCCTCGTATCTAATTTGCGGTTTAAATCCATCCTGATCAGCTTCGTACTCGACAATCTGCTTCCTACCATCCGGAAGCAAGACGTTGAACTCGCCCTGGGCACGATCGCCGTCTCTGGTTTCCGTGTGGCCGTAATCACTGCCGGACTGCTCGTCCTTCACCTCGTACGAAAATTCGTACTTTGCCGGCTCCTGAAAGTAAGGCGGAACAGGCCTCGTCAATGCACCTCTTCTACTCGTCCAATTTAGAGGGACCTCATTGACATCCGGTAAGACAAATCCTCTAGCTTTAGTCCTTTTTAACAAAGAATATACAGCTGACATCAATCTCTCTCATACTTACAGTGCTTTCTTCCTGCGCGTTCTCGTTGTAACCACTGCCTGCGCCGTTTCTGGAACCGCCGCCACCACCGTTTCCGAAATTGCCCGCGTTTCCGTTCGGACCTCCAGACGGATATCCGTTAGCCCCGCCGTTACCGTTTGCACCACCAGGTGAATAGCCGTTATTGTTACCGTTTCCACCTCCGTTCGGTGCACCGTAACCGCTAGATAATCCTCCTCCGCCGAATCCGTTTATTCCGCCTGCCCCGTGTCCATTTCCGCCTCGTGGTGATCCGTAGCCGTTCGACGCTCCTCCGCCGTTACTTCCGCCATTAGGGCGACTTTTGCCGTTCCCATTTCCAAAATTATGTCCGTTCGCTCCAGGAACGCCGTAGCCCGTCGACGGTCTCCCTCCGTTTCCGCCGTTTCCAAAACCACCCCCGTTGGCTCCGTTCGCTCCAGGAACGCCGTAGCCCGTCGACGGTCTCCCTCCGTTTCCGCCGTTTCCAAAACCACCCCCGTTGGCTCCGTTCGCTCCAGGAACGCCGTAGCCCGTCGACGGTCTCCCTCCGTTTCCGCCGTTTCCAAAACTACCCCCGTTGCCTCCGTTCGCTCCAGGAACGCCGTAGCCCGTCGACGGTCTCCCTCCGTTTCCACCGTTCCCAAAACCACCCCCGTTGCCTCCGTTCGCTCCAGGAACGCCGTAGCCCGTCGACGGTCTCCCTCCGTTTCCACCGTTCCCAAAACCACCCCCGTTGCCTCCGTTCGCTCCAGGAACGCCGTAGCCCGTCGACGGTCTCCCTCCGTTTCCACCGTTTCCAAAACTACCCCCGTTACCTCCGTTTGTTCCAGGCACGCCGTAAGAGCCAGATGGTCTTCCAGCGCCATTGGGGACACCGTACGAGCTAGAAGGTGGGCCACCCCCAAATCCGTTTCCTCGAGACCCGTCTAGGCTATTCCCAGCGTTGTTTCCGCCGACGGGCGCGTCGTAAAGTTTCGACGGACCATTACCTGCGTTACCGCCGGGCCCGTTGATACTTGTTGCGCCGGCGTTTCTATTAACACCACCCCCGTTACCGAAACCTGGCGGCCCGTACTGCGTCGACAGGTCGGTTTGACCGCCGTTAACACCTGTCCTCGGAGGTAGGTAAGAGTTGACCGGTGGCTCCGAACGCGCCACAGCCAGCGTCATGATGAACGTCGTTAGAGTGATCTGTGCAGTTAGAATCGTAATGCATGCTGATGAAAAAACAGAGGAATTTTATAAAATTAGATTAATCAAATTGTTTAATTAATTTTAGTATTTAATTGATTCAAGATTATTTTATAAAATTTTGCGAAATTTTAAGTTGCTACCGTTGCTTGTCGAATCGCACGAATTGAATTACGCGATCAGAACGTCGTACACGTCGCTGCGGGATCTTTCTTACGCCTGCAGGAATTTTTATTGGGAATTTCTGTTACTTTAAAATAATCGTTTTGCTGGGATTGTATGTTCCTCCTATCGTGCGACAAAATTTTATTAAACTATGCAACAAGATGAAATTGTATGGAAGTGGACCTGTCCAAAATATGTTTCAGTAGACGTCAAAAATGTTTTAATAATAAAATTAATAATAAATGTTTTGATAATAAAATCGCTATTATATATCACGTACTTACATAATAATTTACGTAAATTAAAAATGTAATTACATATGCGTAAAATTTATACGATTTATAAAAAATAAATTTACATCATATTTAAATATCTATCTTTGTATAGTTTCAGAATAGAGTAGCAAACCGGAATAGATCCTTTAATCCCAATTCTCGACTTCGGATCTCCCGTAAAACAGAAAGCAAATTAATATATTCAAAAGTACACAGTCTTCGTCGGTTTCGAAATATTACACACAGGCTGATCAGGATACGCATGTTTTCCCTACCTTCAACATATCGATTCCACTCTGCTCTCCGGCGGTGGTAGAAACGAACTTCCGCTACGCTGTCCTTGCGAGGGAGACTCGCGCTCTCCCTGCTCTCTCTCTCACTCTCTCTCTCTCTCTCTCTCTCTCTCTCTCTCTCTCTCTCTCTCTCTCTCTCTCTCTCTCTCTTTCTAGTTCGGTGCCACCCTTCCAGCACTGGATGGTCTCGAGGGAATGACAAACACGGGGTCCGCTCCGCTTTATATATCCCAGGACTCATCCGCGTTTCTAGATCATAGTTTGGTGCAATCGGCAAGATTTACAGCAACGTTCGATGCAAGTGTGTCACGAGATGCTGCGCGGGATCGACGGTGACGATGGAAAAGAGCCGGATCGCGGCGTATGTGAGCGCGCGCGCTCACGAGCTCGAGAGCAGATTCGCGCTCTATATCTCACCGATCGCGCGAGTCCCGCATTGCGCCGCCAATCGTTAACTCGTAATCATCCGAAGCGCCTTTAAATTGTCCCGCGTACGACGTTCCTCCGACGTTCCTCGATACGTATCTCACAGCGCTACCACGTACGAGGGGAAAATATAAAAATTTAATTATATTTCATACCGCCCGTCTCGTGCGAAACCCAAAGACGGAAAGCAACAAAAATGTGACACATTGCGCATATTCACCGAGAACAAGAAAAAAAAATAACGATCGATGAGAGAAAGGTAGTCTCGCTCGACAATTTAATGTAACAACGGGAGGATTAAATCGAGAAATGAGGCGAGAACGAGAGGAGCGCGTCCGCCACCCTGAATTCGATTCGACCCTCTCGCTTTGTAATACAGACGTAAAATCGAAACGCGTGACGTAATGTGTCACGCTTAATTGGTTCCGGTGCGGTGACGGTGGCGGTGGATTGCGCAATTAATTTGACAAACGCACGGCGGTAGGCTCGAAAGAGAGACACTTCGGTGCCGTCGCGTCGGCGCGTTAAAATACCGATGACGGGCACGAAATGTATGTCTTCCAATTATAAAAAGCCTAAACGCGCGCCGGCTTCGCCGCGCGTACGACCGGCGAAGCGGCGCTGATGCAACGTTCCCGTGATGCAAACTTGCATAACAACGTATCTCCGTCTCTCATCCAGCGTTACCGCGTACGTTGCCACCACCTGCATTCGAATGCTACGATTGCACAAATTTTCCCCGGACAGGATATGTGCACGTGCACATGCACGCGCATCTGTGTGCGCGGTGTTGAAAAGAAAGGCAAAAAAAACAAGAATCGGCGAGCGGGAATGCGCGCGCGCGCGGTAAGTACTTATGAAGCGTTTAATTAGCGCGCGGCTTGGTCTCAATGTTGATGAATTTCGCTTTACTCTGATTTCAATTAATTCCGTCAGCATTGGACGTCGCGTGCGCGAGAGCGAAATTGCGTCAATCCGGATCATCCCCACGCGCAGTGCAGCGCGAAACAATCGCGATTCTCGCGAGTGTGCAATTTTGTCGGCGCGTTAATCGTCAGCCGTCGCGGTTAGCAGCAGGATGTAATCGAGAATTTGAATACGAATGTACGAGCATTTTGCTCCCTTCGCTTCAACGTCCCGATGAATTGTTGACGCTTGGCATTGCGTTTTATTTCGGTCGAAATAAAATGACAAGTACCCTCCGCAACGAGATAAATTCTTCCGTCTACTCGAGCGTCCGTCTACACGCACGCGCAGATGCACAAAGACGATCCTACGATTACACTTTATGTCGAGCAGCAGACACACGGCGGACGCAATCCGCTTGTGTGAATACACGCCGGGAGAGAAGAGATGTTTTGTATGGAACACGATTCCTCTCTAGATACATATCTCAGAGTACGGGCTTTGTGTCACCTGTGTAAATGAGAACACGTAGCCGCTCCGTACTGTATACAAATTTCTACGCTACGTCCCGATCGTCATCAATTATCCATGTGATGTACAATGCTGCGGTGAATTCTCACGCTCAGTTTTAATTAATCCGTCACAGGCCCCCATCGGTGCGGAAAAAGTATCGTCTATTTACATTTTTCAGTCGTGCACCGGCAGAATCAGTGGATGCTCTTTGTTGAGTGTTGGTTACGTCACGTTTAACGAATGTTGAACGAATCGATCTGTGAACATAAAGAATTTATTAGGCTCATGAGTATCATTTCGAGGAAAATGATATAATTGCGCGAAAATATAAAACGTCAACGCGCCTGCGCTTGTGCTTCTTGAGACACAATCGTCCGGATTTATTGCTTATTATTATTATTACATTTTTTTCTATAACATTTATTTAATGAATATAGCATTTCTAGTGACGGACAGCGTGTATTTCTGACATTTCTGTCGTCGCGGTAAAATGTATTTTTATGTTTGATGTACGCCTGGCACGAGACTCAGATACATTCTCGCGCATCCTTGCGCTGCATTACGCTGCATTACGCTGCATCGCGTTGCACCGCACAGTTTCACGCGCTAGGATGTGTGCGAAAGTCCAAGTTGCTCATGCATAATTCAGGGGACGTGTGTTTGATTCGTGCGTCTAAGATATTAAAAATTATCGTCACTGAAAAATAAATAAAAGATATTTACCATTAGGTAAAATTTACTTAGGATTTATTTGCGGTTATATTCTACTACATTATAATGCAAATGTGTAGATGTTTTCTTCTCGGATGAACTTTACCGATGGAATTGTAAAATCAGTTGTTTCTTTAGTACAAATGACATTAACGGTTAGCTTTCTCTTCGAAATGCAGCGATATCCATTAATTTTTTATTTAGAATTCGTAAATATAGTTTATTTAATTTATTTGCAACTTAAAATTAAGAAAATAATCATCATACATATTGATAAAAATACGAGTGTAATAAATGAAGAAAGATACAAAAAATTAAAACACAAAAACATATTTCTTGTAGCAAGTTAATATTTAATATTAAAGTAATAAGACTCCTTTCGATGTTAAAACTGAAATATATAGCTGTAAATCAAATGATTGTTGCATTTATTTAACTTAATATATCTTGGCAAAAAGACGATGGCAAAATGATGACATTAATGTAGTTAAAGCTAAAAAAATTTGAGCCACAAAGTGCTTTCCGAACGCTCTCTATAACGTCATTTTTGTTGAAGTTATTCTCGTTAAATTTCTCCTATTTTAATTAAAAAGTCTGCCATATTTTCATTATTTGGCACATTACTTCCTTAAATCGTCATTAAGGAAAGTGGCGGCTCGTAGCGGTGACTTCGAAACTAAAAAAAATAAATAAAAGTGATTTAAGTCTGCTGAAAGTGGTTTGAATCTTGGTTAAAACATTGTTAGCCAATAACTTATGGTTTGAGTCCCGATTAAATTTCCTCTATAAGAGCCCGAAAGTAAATTTTAGTCGAGACTCAAACCATTGTTTACCGGCTCGTAGGTTTAAGTAGCCAGGATTCGAACCACTATTTACATCTGCAGTTTAAAATATCCAAGACTCGAACCATTATTTACCGGCTCGCAGTTTTAAACAGCTAAAACTCGAACCACTATTTACCGGCTTGCAGATTTAAAAAACCAAGACTCAAACCACATTTTATCGGTTTGCAGATTTATTTAGTCAAGACTCGAACCACTTTAATTTATTTTTATTTTTATTTATTTTTATTTATGTCGATAAATATATTTGAAAATTAGCGACTTTTAGCTGTGAAATGTTTCTTGATTTATTGCATTATTATTATTTTTTCGTGAATATGGCTTATTAAGTTCTGTTTTTTTTCGCAATAGAGAGGTGATCCTTTACTTTTTTATATGTAGCATATAAAGTTAAATATATATAATAAAATTATTGTTTTTTATTGATAATGTATGTAAATAATAATGCCAGTAAATAATAATAAACAGTAATAATTATATTACCGATAATATAATTATTATATTCTTTTTATTCTCTTTATTCTTTAATATTCGTAAATATTTTTGTCGTCTTTTCATATTTTATATAGTATACCAAAGCACTTTCAATATAATTAAAAGAAAACAAATTTCACTACTATATTTCCTTCGATCAGCTGTTCGAATAAAATGGCCGCGAGGTGGAAATATCGTCAAACTAAGATAAATAATATTCTCCTTCACAATGGTTAAGATACATATTTATAAATTTTTACGCACATGCATTTTGATCATTTGGGATCTTATAGATTTCATAATTTGTTATATGAAGAAGTTCATAAAAATATTAATTAAGGATTGTGATGAGAAACATTGGCCTGTCAAGGTTGTACATCGTAGTGAGAACTTTTTGGTGGTCAATAAGCCCTATGATATGTATATAAATAGTAACAATCCTGACAGAAGGGTGAGTTTACTGACACGCGAAATATACATATAAGACATTTATATTAATAAAGTGTTACATTTTCAGAACACTCTCCAGTTAGAATTAAAGAAGATGCTACCAGATTTGGTTAATCCAAAACTATGTCACGAATTCCACTTTGTTCATCGGCTAGATTATCCTACAAGTGGTGTGATTTGCATAGCATTAAATAAAAAAGCAGCCAGAGCAGCATCAGTTGCCTTTGAGAATCACACAGTGCAGAAATTCTATTTGGCATTGGTACATGGCCATGTACATGAGCCTTACATCGTAATTGATAAAGCTATCGGTTAGCAATATATAACAATACTAAAATAAAATTAAGATAGGATAAATTTAGATTTTACTAATTTCATATTCAGATTTATGTCTTCTTCAACTAGGTGATGATATTCGAGAGAAAAATAGTAATCATAAGATGTGTACAAGTGACAGTATTTTTTGTGAAAAACCACGCAGGTCTACTACTGTACTAGTAGTGTTGGAGCATGGTTTTTGGAAAAGCAAACCTGCCACTAAAATATTGCTGGCACCTAGTACTGGTAGACGACATCAACTGAGAGTACATTGTCATCATATTGGTCATACTGTCATAGGAGATTATACTTATAGCGAAGGAAAAGACATAGAGCCACACAGAACCTACCTCCATTCTTTAAGGTATAATTTGTACAGAAAGAGGCTCTGAACTTCCTAATTCTTACTAATGCACTAATTATATTTTTAAGGTTGATATTAAACTGTGATATTGAAAATATAGATGTAAGGACAGCAGATCCATTTGATGCCTCTATACTATCTGATTATAAGGCAACAAATATAGTAAAGCTCTTGGATGAAAATATATTTCATGACATATACAAACTGATGGAATAAAGCACTGTTTTGTTACATAAAATATCACAGAGATTTATTGAATTACCCTGACTCCAGATCTATTAACTTCAAAATTGAAAGTAATCCTTGGCAAGTGTGAGGCTAGCATTATACAAGCGTATCGAACGGAGGCTTTTCTGTAAAAGTGTATGGAAGAAGTAATCATGCTTGACCATGTGAGTCCTAGAGCTGGCTGTTCATTGTCAGAAATAATATTATTATCTATAATTGCAGAGACCTAAAAATATATAAAAATTAAATATATAAGATAAAATATATAAGAATATACAAGAGATATTAATTAATATAAAAGATATTAATATATTATGTTTTCTCACCTGGTTAATACAGATCACACACAGGTCACCATTTTTACATAATTCATGCAACTGTCTCCCAATTTTCCTTAAACTTTTGCCTCGTGAGGGATCCTCCCAATCTTCCACCCTGTAAGGAGCAGCTATGGAATCAATGATTAATAATCCTATTTTGTGAGCATTCATCAGTGCTGGGACTTTGTGATGTAGGCAATATTCCAATTCATCCTTTAACATATTTAACATAAAGTTTGCAATGTAATTGTTTTTTATAATTACACTTCATATACTTTGTTACATATATAGGACAGTAACTATTTTTCTTAAGTTTATTTTAATGATGTAAATATATTTTGTAATAATTGAAATACATTACTGTGAAACTGTAATTACCATAGTGGATGCATGATCTACAAATATTACATCTCCATTCACAGAATGAATCTTAGCTATCTCAGAGTTTTCTATTAACTGCTGCAACCGCTTTGATGGGAAGAGAGCTTCTGTGCAAATATATATGGCACCTGTCAATATTAATAATTCTATATATGTTATTCCTTCTTTTATTTAAGAATATTTATACATTTAAATTAGGAATTTTCGAAATATTGTGTTATGTCGAATCGCTGCAGAAAAAATCTTTAGTTGTTATTAGATAAAATCGCATGTAATATTCCACAATAACTGATCTTTACCAGCTTGGAGACCACCTGCAGTTGTAGGCAATTGAACAGTAAGGCATAACTGCAAGGCTAATTGCGTTTTCCCAGTACCAGCTGCACCATAAAATTGCGTGATACCGCGACAAGATATGCCATCCTTTAATATCGTGTCCAATTTTGAACAACCGGTTGTTAGAAACCTTTCCCGTTCTCCAATAGCTTCCGCCACTAATATATCATATAGAGTAAAGGCCGGTTGCTCCAACTTCTTGGTAAGTTAATCGATAGTTAAATCATATGTTTGTCTTCGTTTTTCCTTCAACTTAGACAAAAACCGAGATATGATTTAACTATCAGTTAACTTACCACGAAGTTGGAACAATTGGCCCTAAAATATTACGTTTCATTCAGGCCTGTTCGTTTTATTTGCACTGTTGAACCGATGCGATAAGTTAAAGTGAGACAAACGTAGATTTTCTCATTCTAATTTGTTGCACCAGTTAAACAGTGCATACCAAACAAACAGGCCTAATATCTAACTACTAAAAACTTTTGTGACTCGTATGACTCAACTCGGAAATAAAGATTTCTTTTCTCAAAATAATACCTAACAAATGTTCCATTTCAAATTTTATTGTTCGATATATATATATCGCACAAACGTCGTTCCATTATTTAATGATTCAGACAACCAGTTTTTGGTTTAACATATTTGAGTATGTCTCTAGTAAATTGAATATCAGATGGTATATATACTCGTAATTTCTATTGCTCTTATGGCGCCATCTTCTTTTCATAACGGAAAATATGTTTTCGTATTCTTATGTAAATAGGATAAAAATATTAAAAATTAATTTATAGGAAACTGTTTATATGAAAACTGTAATATTATAATGTATATGTATATATTTTATACATTAAACAACCAAATCTCAAATGAAGAGCATTAAATATTCATATCAAGTTTGTATTTTTTTCATGGTTTTTATACATGTCTTTGATACTTCTTTATACAAATATCTATTTCTTAATGGTTTTCTTTATTTTGCGTTTCTTCATGTGCTTCTTCATTTTAGTTTTTCTTTTCTCAGCTTGTTGTTCCTTAACTGCTTTCTTACGTGCCTAAAAACAAACATATGTCAATTTACTGCACATTATAATACATATTAATATTAGGTGTGTGCAAAAGTTTTAGTCTTCTTTTTCCGCCGCCCTTATTTCAGAGAGAAAAAAAATAAAGGAAATCTTACTTTTTTACTTTCTGGACTCTCATCTCTGGGTCTAACTATACTTTTTGACACTTTCTCTTTATCATTTTTTTGTATGTCTTTTTCACTGTCGTTTTCGTTATCATCGCTGTTTTCGCTGTCATCGCTGTTTTCGCTGTTTTCGCTGTTTTCGCTGTCATCGCTACTCTTGCTGTCATCGTTACTCTCGCTGTCATTGTTATCTTCAGTATTATTATCGTAATTCTTACATTGTTTAGCAGCAAGAATCTCTGGTACTTCCGCAGGCTTTGATAAATCCGTTTTTAAACCAATCAATGTCTTGTAGATTAAATTTTCCTTGCCAGATTTGGCGAGATTTATGTCACGTTCAAAATCAATCACCTATGAAAAAACTTAGCTCAGAAGTTTATATCCAACTCCGACAAAACTTTTGTTTCTAAGCAGAAATTATGTACTCCATTATGCAACGCAATAATCGATGATACCTGAGTCAATGATTGAGGAATATAAGCTTGTTTAAATACTCGCTCCTCTACTTGTTCCTGAAGATCACTTTCCTGACCATCTTTTTGCTTCTTGTTTTCGTGCATCGCGTCCAAATATTCATTCATATTATTTTCATTTATAGTCGGATCCGTTATGAAGTCAAACAGCTCTTTAACCGTCATAATAGCCACATTTTCCTTCTTGAAAAATCCTAACAAGAATAGTACGAGTGAGCCAGATAAATATATAGGCCCACAGAGTGGTCTTCATTATATTTACAAGTTAAACTATTCACCAAATGGTTTCCTGTATTATAATACCTGTGATATTAGTACAATCCTTTCTGAGAAATTCTAGTGCCATGGGATGATCATGCACCACAGATTGTGAAACATCAATAATTACGAGTGATCCATTGTGGTATAATATATTGTACTCGCTCAGATCGGCATGAACTAGTCTACATTTATTGTACATCTTCCACATAATTTCGATACACTCACGATACAGTGTCATCGGCTTCGAAGCAGTGAGTACTACATCCTTCAGTTTTGGTGATGCCCAACCATTCGTACCAATAAAATCCATTAATAACACGTGACTACGCAACAAAATTGGCTTAGGTGCGTTTATACCGGCTTGTTGTAGACGCACTAAATTCCGCATCTCTTTTTCTGCCCAAATACGCACCATTTTGCGCGGATTGTGTTTAGAATACCCGCGACGGAAACGGAATTCACCACTTACATACTTATCTCGATCTCTAAATTGTAAGATAGATGTCTTGTATATCTTGATAGCAATCTCCGCACCTGTTGCTAACAATGCATAATATACATTGGCCTCCTTTCCTGTTGAAATACAACCATCTATCCTTGCTATTAGTCCTTTATTTACCATCTTAAATAATATCATTTTTGTACGAGCATCCAATACTTTCTCAACTGTTGCACGATCCTGCTTGTCTTTTGTCCTTACACGTCCCTTCTCGGTACGTTTATTATTTTCTATTAATACATTTGCTATATGATTTGGCAATGAGGGACCCTCATACTTTTCCATATTGACTTTATTTGCGTGACGGTGTAATAGTTTATTCAGTGGTTGATAATTTTTGCCTTTGTTGGCTGAATTTTGGTTCTTAGTACTTTTTGAATTTATTTGCACCTGGATATTATCTTCATCCCAATCAGAGTCATCAATGTCATTTTCATAGATATCATCTTCACTGTCTATAATGTGCAATTTAGCTGTGTCTTCCTCAATATGTAAAATGGAATTTGGAAAAGATAAAGGCTCTCCTTTATATACTTCTGTATTATGGATTTGAAACTTATCACTATAATAAATAATAAATTATAAGATAAATTTCTTCATGTTGTATAAAGTAAATACAATTGAAATCATTTTTATTTCTAACTTACTTGCAAATTACTTCTTCTTCAGCATCGCTAAATTGACCTTCTTCGAAACTTTCTGCCATGACTGTATATTTTTTATGAATAATAACTCATTAGTTAACTTTATGGTATTGTCCTTCAATACTATCATAATTATGTGCAATCTTAAGCTTCAATATGATGAAAACTTCAGTATCACATATGGTTTAAGTATGGCATCAGAGAGAAGAAGGAGAGTGGTCACGGGCCGCTTTTAGCCGAGCCTAAAGTCACTAGATATATAAAGTACCACAATCGTCCTCCATTTTGGGACCAAGGCAAGCGCGGGCATTCAAATCATATATTCGTTATAAACATTATTATATGTATTATATATATAAAGCGATACATAGTTAAGTAATATATGCCATTATTTCTCATGAATATTCAAATTTAAACGTTCTGAGCTATTTCGTTGAAAGAGATAATGATTTATAATGACTTTCTAACTTGTAATATAGTGCATCTTTATAGCTAAGCCTTAAATAAAAATCCTGTTAAAGTAAAGTTTACTTGAATTTCATCGAAAAGAATAATTGTTATCTATTTAGATCTCCGAAACATAGTGTACAAAAAAGCTTTATTTTGATCACTTATATCTCGTAAAGAATCTAAAAGAATGCTCCAATCACAGACAATAATCACTAAGCGCTCTCTGATCACTTTGTTCTACTAAACGCGGCCAATGGCTGCATTCAGCAGACTCAACAGTTGGACAACATTATTAGATTTTCCATTGAATCTCGCTCCTGATCGGTAAATACTTCTGGGTCTATGAAGAATCTAAAAGAATGCTCCAATCACAGACAATAATCACTGAACGCTCTCTGATCACTTTGTTCTACTGAACGCGGCCAATGACCACGACTCTATTCTGATTTCCCCCACCACGCACGTACGCATAGCCAGCTCAGTCTATCCATGTGGACCACGCCGTATATGCGCATATACTATTGCTTTTAACCATCGGTTTGGCTTTAAGGCTCGTCTACAATAGCTGTAAGAGTAAGGCTGTAAGGCTGTAACGTAAGCTGTCAGCGAATGAAAATATTTCATTTCGTGTCTTGCAACCTTACAGACTTACTCTTACAGCTAATGTAGACGAGCCTTAAAACTCCGTTTAAAGCAAGTTGTGGAACTGGGCCTAAAAGCGGCTCGTGACCTCTCTCCTTCTTCTCTTTGATGGCATCAACAAGCTGTGAGATGCCATCTACAATAAGTCCTAATTTATACTCAACTGCTTACCAATGCTTTTGTATAACATTGTCAACATTTGTTCGTCTGCAGGTCTTGTGATCTATGACTTAACGCCGACGGTTCTTTTGTTTACACCAATATTTAAACTATTCAATTATGTTGAGATGACAGAGAGTAAGTTTTTTTGAAAATTCCTATATTAATATTGTTCTCTAACGTACTTATCACGACTTATTTCATCTCTGTAATAATGTGTACATATATCTATATGTAAAATAAATTAATATCGTGTAGTTGATTACACTTTTTAATATTTCAGAAATATGATGATTGAATTTTTGTTTAGATGACTAATTAGAAATAAAAAATTGTTTTCAAGGTTTTCAGTGTATACATGTAAAATTAAATATAATGTTTTCTCTATTCATTTAATATTAACATAAAATTAACATAAAAAACATTAATTTAACATAAAAGTAAATTTTTAATAAATATCTAATATTTATTATTAGTAAAATTAATAATATTGTTTTATATAATACTGTATAGATCTTACAAGCAGTTGGACACAAAGAAAAATATACAGAAATATGCCGCTTTGCAAAAAGTATTTCAAATTTATTATTTGTCTATTTAAATTGTATAATTAAAAATAAATAATAATTATTATATAAATATAATAAACTAAGTATAAATTAAACTCAATACAAATTTGAGTTCTTATATTTAAAAAATAATTTACAGGCAAGAATCTAATGATTCAAACTATCAGCATTCAACCATGGAGGATATCTTACGGTCTATGCAAGAATGCAATGCTATTCGTTATACATCTTATAGGACTGCTGCAAAAATGCAAATATTATACAAAGAACTGAATAGTAAGTTTTCTTTTATCCAATTTTTTACCAAATGAGGGGTTTATTGTCTTCAACTTTTATTTTATTTAGTGCAACATGTACAACTGGGATTAATAGCAGGAGTTTTTGAACGTCATAGACTATCCATCACTGAAAACTGTGTTAATCTAGATCCAAGTGAAATTGAGGATGTTCTCTCTGATATCTATTTTGCAGCACAAAAAGAAAGTAATTTCAATTTTGATGTTGATCTTGTAACAAAGCTTGCTACAAGTTATATCTTACATACTTTTGATAAGTAAGTACATATATCTCTTTTTATATTACATGAATATTTCCAATCCAGCTGTATTTTAAAATATCTTTCTTTTTATAATACTAGATTATTTTAAGTAAAACATGTCACAAAAGAGCATTCTTTAACAACCATAATCTTAATAATATAAATTTAATATTGCAGACAAAATACTAGAAATATTTTGGTGTTCTCAGTCAAAGTTGCATTAGTATTATTGAGTAATGGTAGGTTGCAAGACAAATATGGATATCTGTATCAACAGCTAGCTGACCATAATGCATGTTTGTCCCGAGCCAGTTTGCATACATTATTAACAAACATCTGCAAAATAACAGAAATGCTTGGAGAAAGTATAGCATATGGGTATGAACAGATTCAGCTGCATATAGATGCCTGTTTTGTAAAGGTATAATAGAATTGCTTTTCTTATATATATATATATATATAAGAAGCAGCTTGTTAAATCATCTTATTAATTTCTATATTTTAGTCTCAAGGCTGTCTTGGAGTCACTGAAGCAGAATTCGCCACATGGATCATGCAGGAACCTCCTCTGTTGGTCTGGATAACAACATTTAATCGAATCAAATCTGCAGAACACAGTAAGTTGCAATATTAAATTATTATATACCTAAACATGACAATAAACAATTCTTCCAGTTATCCACAACGTCAGATGTTCCTCATGTAAAGTGACACCAGTGCAGGGGCCGAGATACACGTGCTTGAAGTGCACAGGATACCACCAGTGCCAGGATTGTTTCCTCTTGGGCAAAACATCAAATAAACACAAGCTGAAACATCCGATTCGCGAATATTGCGTGAAGGTTCGATATTTTGGCTTTTACGTTTCTATATGCGAATTAAGTCACATTCATGTTATATATTTTTTTTTCAGACTTCACATCGCGAAGTTACAAAACTGATCATTGAGCTAATTAGGAATAAGCTAAGACTGTGTCCTACTAGAACAGTAGCGATAAATGCAGAGGATTCGATCGCGGATGCTGTCAGGTTGCCAGCTGCACTTTTGTATAATATTTTTACACGTATTCATACAATATACTATAACTGTGATATTCTTTTATACAGTAACGATACAAGACGTGCAGATTGTGGTTCACTAAGGAGCACAATCAGGCGAAAGATTCTCAGTGATCCGCAAAAAGAATTACAAAGTATTATAACGCACTTGGAGGAAGAAAACCGGCAACTGCAGATCGAGCTGTTAGATATACGAGGCACCAAAGCGGAGAGGCTGCAACGTCATAGAGCGACCATCGAATCTCAATTGCAGCGACTAAAAACACTCAAGGTATATTGATCAATCGACGACTGTTTAAAGACTTATTTATTAAGTTCATTTGATTTTCTTGCAGAAATATTTATTTACCGACATGGGTCAAGCGCCGCAGATTATCACTCGTATGCAGAGCACTCCGATGTTGCCGACCTTATCGTCCAGAGTGGCAGCCTTGCCGTTAGAATTTGAATTAAGTCCGATTATCAGGCAAGATAATGTTCAACAAGGGATCAAGTTGCATCATAGAAAAGACAAAGTAACACCGAGTAGTTTCGATACGTTACCTATGGAACACACGGCGGAAGAGGACAACGCTAATGCTCTTTCCTGTACCGAAGAAGCTTCCACGAGTTCTGGATTTAATATACCGGAAAACAGTCGTATAGAATTAAGCACGTGGATCGGAGGCAAGTGTAGAACGCAATTGGAAGTGATCATTAATAGCAGCATGTTTATGAACGTACGTATTTCATTATCAGGAACAAGAAGGGGAGAATTAAACCCCACCGATAGTGGCTTCTCTCAGTGGTTGGCTGCCGGCAACTCGAATTGCAAAGAAGACAACTATACGGCTAATGCAGTTAGTAGTACAGATAACGACTTGTCAGCTTCGCAATCTCCCACCGGCATCCACAGGGACAATACTCCGTCTTCTTTGCAGCGTCCTGATAAGCATTCGCAGCACAGTAGCTTGCAAAATATCCAAGGAGATCTTAATGATATATTAGATAGATTGCAGAATATGGTTGCTAATGATTGCTTACTTGATGGTAAGTTTATATAATCAAAATAAAATGTAGAAAAGATACACTACAAAAGGATATTCACAAACGATCGTCCCACGCTGGAAAATTATCTTTTAATAATTTTTTATTCTGATTATCTTTTGATGTTGTGCATTTTCTCATTGATATATTATTAATTGCAGAGACATACGATGGCAACGACAATTGTAAATTGAAACGTGCTACCACAGAAATGGAAGATTTATTAACTGGCCTCATTGAAGGTATGGAATCTCGTAAAAGTAAACTTACTACGATTGTTTGAAGACTGCCTTAAGTATACAAATTTAGATGTCGTAACGTTTAGAAATCTTTAGATCACATTCAATCTTTTCTCTTACTTTCACCGCAATCGTAAACACTTATTTCTTGATCCTTTTTTGATAGACTTATTCTTCCGAAAGCGATATGTAAATATGCCACTTTACGACATTATATCCGAATGTGATCTAATTATGATAAACGATAACGGTTGATAGGAAGATCGTGCGGTATCATGCACATCAATAATCAAAATGCCATACTCGGCATTATATGTGAGAAATGGCCATTTCGAAAGATTAAGTGTTTTTTATATGTTTCGTACGTGTATTTGTATAATATCTGTGCAATCATCGGAAGAATAATCTATATTGAACATTTTTATTAATAATGAGAAACTATATAATATAGCATTTATAAAAGGATTATTTTACGATAGAAAAAATATAGATAAATTTTATATATGCAAATTATTCTCAGTCATAATTCATTTAGGATAATTATAGGATAATTGTAATATTCATTTAATTGCACTGCAAAGCAAAGTCATTTAATCCGTCCATTTGTCTTTTTTTTATTTTTATACGGTGCCTGAGACTTCGCCGTGACTCTTTGCACATACATTAATATTTTTATAAGACATCAATATTTTTCAAAGTACAGTATATTTTATCTTCAGTAACATAAAAGTTTGACGTACGTACATACACTCGATCTCCTTGTATATTCTTTCAATAGCTTTAAAAAAATGGATTCTTTTACCTTTGATCATATATAAAAACGGGTATTCTACGTCCTACATTAAAGAATAACATGCGTCATTAATCGAATTTACGGAACCGACTAGATAATTGATCGTGACGTAATCTACATACAAAAGAGTAAAATATGTATGTGTAATGTCAAGTATACAATATGAAAGTCTTTGAAGTTTAATACTGAACGAAAATGTCGGATGTGTCACTACATATCCTTCTCTAGATGTAACGTGTCAGTTAAATAAGTAATTCTAAGAAGCTTCGAAAAGTGCGTTTTTTCCGATGGCCGATTCACCGTCCATGCCATCACGCGGACATTGCGTTCGAACCATCGCTCTATTACGCGTCTAAAATGAAATTATATTATAGTTGTGTATTGTCCACTAAAGTGCATTTATAATTCTTATAAATATAGAAGAAATTGCAAAATAATGAGTAACTTAATGCGACCGACTTACGGATTTACTATGTCCTTGTGCAACAATACGACAGAGACACCCACGATATAGTAGATGAAGCGTGGTAGCAGCCACTCGTACAAGGTCTCCAAAATACAAGCTGCCAAATGCTTAAGTGGATTGTGAAATCGTACCGGGCCAAGCGCTTCCAGACCAGCATATGATGTTCTGGAAAAATAATGCGGTCTCCACCCGAGACTCGCCATGATGCGTGGCTCTTTCTTTCTGATCTACATACATTCGCGCATAATATATTTTTATATTAACTTTAAAAATATAAAATAATAGTTTTAATTATCATATATTATATACCATATACAAAATGATTGGATTAAAAGATGTGATGAATCCTTTCTTAAACAATTTCGGATATTTTTTGTACGCATCCAGAACAATTTGCACAACATCTATTCGCGTCTCCTTTATATCTATAATTACTCTTAGCTCATTGTCTAGACATTGCTGCAATGCATCGTACAACAGTGGGATCCTCTCTCCATTAGAAACTTTGTTCCTTTGATAAAGCAGTTATTTTTCTTTACATAAGACTACTTCTCTCTCAATAATGTTTAGTATAATAAGGTGCATTTTGTATGCAAACTATGAAATTAAGTCAAAATATAATGTTACCTAAGTGGATGATTATGACTTATGTCTAAATCTCGCAGTTCCTCCCATGTCATTTCGCTAATTGTTCCCATTTTGCCTGTAAGTCTCTCTGTCGTTGAGTCATGGAATATTATTGGAATGTTATCTTTTGTTAGTCTTAAATCAAGTTCTACTGTAGTACAACCTTTCTCTTTGCACTGTAAAAAATATAAGTAACATAGAAAGTTGGAGTAATGTGTATTTAAAATAGACATACATCATAAAAACTATATGGACGGATGATAGAAATATTCAATAATTAAACATAAACATAAATAAATATATATTAACATATACTTTTCATGTTATACCATCAAGCAATAGCAATGTTAAACAAGGCAATAACAAAACACAAACTTACAAAATACTGTAAATGTACTCTTTAAGCAATTTCTATTATAAAATGTCAATCATAATCTCTATAGCAAGATGCAACAAGTATCAACGTATCTCAGGAACTTTGAACATGTTTTAGGAAAACCAAAGGTCAGAGCTAATGTCGATAAAAATTTAATTAGAGGAATGAGAGTGACTGGTAAGGTCATATAAAACAGCACTAAAATATATAATTTTACATTTCTGAAAGCCGACAAACTGTTTTCAGGATAATCGTATCCTCCACCACGGTGGGCCACCACTCGCATGCAATATCGCTCTTCGTTACCATGATTCTCAGACATGGAGTTATCTTTTTCCAGGTGGAGTGGATTCACACCCAATATTTCCTGCACAACACTGGCAGCTGGAGGTGATATTCGCAACAGCTTGAGCGTGATCAGGATAATCAATGAATCCCAAACAATCCAAGGAATACTAAATTCATATAGGACAGTAACCAACACACTCAGCGTCGTTTGCAGGAACATCCAGAGCAAAGCGCTGTTTACGATTAACTCGATGATCTCGTGCATTTCGATGTTAATTCTCTACTCTGTTTAATTACACGTACAAGTTATAGGCTTGAAGGCTCGCATTTGCCGTTTTATCAGCGTCTTATCATAAAAATGGGGAGCGGATGGGTTATGGGTCGCGAGAGTTTAATTTTTAGTTTTACCCAGATAAGATTATTACTTTGTAAATTACGATCGCAGCGGATCGTTATGAAATATGTGAATACGTGAAAGATTAATTCGTGATGTAGATATTTTGTTGACTTTTCGTATCGTACACATCATTCTTCTCTTTTCGCTTTTGAGCCGTATCAATTTGTCACGCCGTATGTATTAATTTATGCAGATTTTTATGTCGTTGAACGACAGAATCATGTGGCACCACGAAATTCTGGGTCAATCAATAGTAAAATGTCACAAATCCGTATCACACACTCATAATGACAAGTATGAAATACAGCATAGTGGATTCTGTACTGTCACCGCCAAAATTGAAATCGTAGTATGATTCAACGACAGGAGAGACAAATCTTTTTTTTCACGTGATATAGCCAGAATAATTTCTAAACTCTCTCTCTCTCTCTCTCTGGCTGCATCCAGGACCATGAATACTCAGTCAGCTCTCCGTGAGAAAAAATTACATGTTAATTAAATGATTTCGATTACATTTTGTAACAAATTAAAAAATTGACAGCGTCCCAAAACGCAGACAAAAGACGCCTCGTCACGCGAGTGGCAGAGGGCGCCTCGAGATGCAAGTGTCAGAAAGCGCGGCCCTTTTGCTATTATGAAAATGTATCCAGAATTTGCAGTCTTTAATCTTTAGTGTTACTTCGTCTAGATTTTGCCAGATTTTATGCTGGTCCATGAATTTGTCGAAAACAAGGCTGATATACACCTTTAATCATATATTTGGTAGAGTAAATTAAAAATATTTGTATATTTGGAAATATTTATAAATTAATAAGCACTTCTATATCAGAAAGCATAGAGATGTATATATATATTCTTTCAACAATCCGCTAAGTAAAATACGCGTAAGACAATAAATTCAAGTATTTATTATTCATTACAAATATTTGCAGTTTCCTTAGACTATAATATTCAGAAACAATGTCGAGATCGATAAACAGTAACAAAGATCTTTTCTCGCTAAGCGCACTCTCATGCGTTTTGCTTGTATTGATACATTTGACTTATCATTAAATCATAAACATTCACGAGACAGGATTTATCGTGAATCGAATGACGCAAATACATAATTTCGCGTACAATTCAGAGATCAAATAGTTTTGAAGTATGCAAATCTTTCGAGTGCGACAAATATTCGCTGGCCGCGAATTGACTGAACATTAACGAGACTGATAATTTCCTGTTAAAGATTTAATATTATTCTTTCCCCTCTGATTGACGAATTCTGCTGGACAATAGTATGTTAGTATATTAAAATATGTATTACGTGAACAAGTGGCGCGTCCTAATTTCTCGCGCGTACTTTGCACGCAGGCGTTTCTGAAGTCGCCGCGTTATTGATTCGAATGCGCAACGTCCGTGATTGCCGACGGTATTCTCAGAAATGCGGACGTCGCTCGTCGGGTGAAGGAAGGACGCTCGTCGACAGGTGCACAGACAGTAGAATCTAGCGTCTTCGGGACTTTTAGGTCTGGAGGGAAAGCTGCGTCGCCACCAAGTGAGGCTCGGAAGATATGGTTGGGCCCAACGTTTCCTTGTGACTAACCGTCCCGGAGGGTGGAACGGTCGCCACGCAGGGTGTATCCTTCAGAACGCCTTCCGAACACGAGCGTGTAAACACAGAACTCGCGACGCTGTGCAAGGTAAAAGAAAATTTAAACATTCTCGGAAACAGAAAAGGGAGTTACCATTGGCAATTCCTTTCTATTCCGATTATTTGATTGAAAAGCCGCGAGCAGAGACTTTGAAGAACTTGTTGAACTTCTTTGAACTTGTTACATTTTTCTAAACTTTTAATAATCAAAATTTTATAGTTACTAAAGTTTCTCTTAGCTAAGAATACAGCCTTGCTTTGACGATCTTGCTTGGTCGACTATTTATTTTTCTCTTGTGAAACTTATTCATCTCCTTGCAGGTATATCCTGTGAGCCCTGCGGCAGGGCCTGGCGCAGCAAGATCCGTATGGGAGCTAAGTCCCGATCCCGACATGGTCGGGCATCTACCGAACAATCCGATATCCGCTACGAGCCATCAGAATCATCACAACTCGGGCAAAGATACGCGACAGACAAGTCGTCCTGATGACAACATCTACACCGACGAGGCCACCACCGGTCAAAATCCCACGGACGAGACCAAAGAGATCTTCGAGTTGCTCAGAGCTGGGTTAGATAACGCTTCATCCTGAACAGAATCTAAAAAAATTTCGTTCAGTAAAGCTAGTGATTTCGCCTTACATTGTTATTAACAAGTACTGTGGCAGAAGAAATAATAATTTATTTAAAAGCTCGAAGAACGAATACCAGGGATGGAAAAGTAAAAAGAGATCGTTTGTACCGCAGTGAGATCGAAGCGGTTGAGGAACTGGTGGAGAAGAACGGATTGAGCGTGCTCAGCGCGAGGGATGAATGGGGATACACACCTGCCCATTGGGCTGCTCTAGATGGCAATATTGAAGTTAGTTTCGAACACCATGATCATTAATTTAAATATCTCTTAAAATTATCAAGGCACACTTAATCATGCTTAATATCTAAAGAGACGTAAAACTGCTTTCTCTTCGACAGGTCATGAGATATTTAATAGAGCGCAACGGACCCGTTGACCAACCGTGTCTTGGCACGCAAGGACCCAGACCAATACATTGGGCCTGCCGGAAGGGCCACAGCGCGATAGTACAATTACTACTGAAGGTACACAAAATTCCAAAATCGAGAATGTAAGAGAATCTCTCTCTCTCTCTCTTCTTTGCATCCATCTCGTAGGGTTGCGTTCATTTCAGGCGGGAGTCGCCGTCAATGCAGCCGACTTCAAAGGTCTGACACCTCTGATGACCGCTTGCATGTTCGGCAAGTTCGCTACCGCCGCTTTCCTGTTGGGCTCCGGCGCGCTAGGGCACCTGACTGACATAAACGGTGACACCGCGTTGCACTGGGCTGCGTACAAAGGCCACGCCGAGCTGATCAAATTGCTGATGTATAGCGGAGTGGATCTGCAGAAGCCCGATTATTTCGGTTCCACGCCACTCCACTTGGCCTGCCTGTCTGGCAACATCAGCTGCGTCTGGATCCTCTGCGAGAAGACCAAGATCGAGCTGGAGCCACGCGACAAGAACGGCAAGACGCCGCTGCAGCTGGCCAAAAGTCACCGTCACTCAGATATCGTAGGTATCCTACAAGCGGAACATAAGCGCAGATCTAGATGGTTACCGCCCATCAACGAGTTATGGTACGTTCAGCTCGTACACGGTTACTCATCCTCTTGGAAACACTCAAGCGCACTTGAGTCTTGATGAGAAATAATATTGCATTTTCGGATTTCAAGGACGCTGCTCTTCGGCGGAGCAGGCAACAGCAAAGGGCCATTGCTGCTGTTCATGATATCCGTGCTGGTGTGGGGATATCCGATGTACATGTTGAAGTGTATTCCACTAACGTGGAATCTGCTACGCGGCAGTCACTATTGTTTCATTTACTGGAACACCCTCATGTGGATCTCGTGGATCGTTGCCAACAGGAGAGATCCCGGCTACGTGCCACAGAACAGTGATACCTACTATAGAGTGATAAAACAGGTAGTACATATGCAAAACGCAATACGATTGACATTATAATATCGTTGCGATACTTCATGTCTCTCTCTTTCTCTCTCTCTCTCTCTCTCACATACACGTTGTGTCTCAGATTCCCTATTTCGACAAGTGGAAGAAACGAAACATCTTGCTGTCGCATCTGTGTCACAGCTGCAGATGTTTGAAGCCGCTCCGGGCTAAACACTGCAGGATCTGCAACAGATGTGTCACGTATTTCGACCACCATTGTCCTTTCATATACAATTGCGTCGGTCTGAAGAACAGGTACATAGTAAAGTCAAGTTATACGATATTGTTTCTCTGTTCAATTCTTCAATGCCGCCGCTTGTTCCTCTTTACAGAATGTGGTTCTTCCTGTTCGTGATGTGCGTAGCGATAAATTGCTCGTTCACCTTATACTTCGCGTGCTACTGCATAGTGATCGAGGGAATCCAGCTGCTGTACGTCCTTGGCGTTTTAGAAGCTCTCGTTTTCTGCGGACTCGGCTGGATTCTAACGTGCACTTCGGTAAATACGGCATGACGGGACATTGACACCGCACTTCTGACGCGTGGATGTTCACCATTAGCAATTTCTTTTTCATACAGATCCTACACGCCTGCATGAATTTGACAACCAACGAAATGTTCAATTATAAGAGGTATCCGTACCTAAGGGACAAAAGGGGCAAATATATGAATCCCTTCAGTCGCGGGCCCGTGCTTAATCTCATCGAGTTTTTCCTCTGTCCTCCGGATCATCAAACGAACGATCCTCAGCATTACCACATCCTCTCGGAAGACGTCATATAATTCGAGCGACATACGAGCCTCCGAGTGATTTATTTTTCACGCACTCTCGCACGGAGAAGCGTCAAGCGTAACCACTAAATATACATGACAACGATATGAATAATTATTTTTCCAAGTTATATGCATATTTGCACATAAGATATATATATATATATATATATATATTATATTATTATTATCACTTAAGAAAGATTCTCGTCTTTCGTAACTTACATTAAGTACGCGACATTCCGCTGCCTGGGCACAAACTCACAGGAACATAGTAAAGAGTTTTATATGAGTTAAAGTTTCACAATAAATACTCCGTGAAGCTGAGTTACATGATTTATTAATTGCATCATGCCGGTCGCACAGATTAGTATAAAATACTGACAAAGTATAGCTAAGTGGATGAAAGATAATACTATATAAAATATCAATATGTCTCGCAATAGGCCGACGGTGTGCTGTCAGGCCCAATTGAAGTCGATGGAAATATAGTAAAAATATTATCAATGTGATTACAATAGTACTTTTATACACAGTATTCCATTTGGAATGCATAAATATCTTCTAAAAAAGCTTCTAAATAAATGTATAATTCGAGTATATATATATATATAAAGAGTTTAAAAGAAGTTTCTTTGGTACGACGTACTGTGCTGTTTCTCGTACGATTAAAATATGCGATGGAAAAAGTTACGGCCTAAAAAAATCTAGACTCGTATTACAGTTGTAATACGGATACATGAGATGAGATGAGATCGAAAATAGAATATAAAAAATATACGCACACGTACAAAGTTCGTGACTAACAAGCCTATTATAAAATCAATCAGTGTACAGTAACACGATTCGCAAAGGGACAAATGAACACGATATACAACCTTTACTTCAATTCGTAACAAAAGTCGTAGTTCGGCGGTGGCTCGGGTATAGCGGGTGGATCTTGCGGAATATCAATTCCTTCGGCGTCTAGAAGTCTTAGCTTAATATCCATCGATAAAAGAGTCTCCAAGTCGTTTTGTGCCTCCTTGCTTATCATTGCAGTTCCTGCAGGAAGGTGAAACACGCCATGTAAAACCTCATTTCTGCATATTGCTCACTATTAAAAATAAATATTGAACATATCGAATTAGTAGCATACCAAGTAAAGCATTGATGCCATCCGTCCAATAATCGAAAACCTGCTCGTCGGGGGCGACGAAATCAAGACTGGACATTTCGACGGAATCCAAGGCCAAGGAGAAAGCCAATTGGTGAGTAGTTTTCCGTCTTTGCAAATCTTTCATGTGCGGACAATCCCTGCCGGTTATCAGATGTCGAATTTCGACTACCGCCAATTTCGTTGGAAGATCGTCGATAGTTGGCACAGACTTCTCATCACAGTCTCCGTAATGGAACACTTTGTGATTTGGCGATAAGCGGACGTACCAGAACTTATCTTTGATTCTCTAAATGTGTCAAACAAGAGGCGTTCGTTAAGGGACAACCCACGCATTTAACACATGTAACATCGAGCGTATTTGATACATCACATACTTGTCCTCTGGCACTGTACTTCATGAATCTGGTGCCCTGAACTAGAAAGCCTAATCGCTGTTGCTGAATTAACTCTAAGATTTCCGGAGTGATCTGCTCTCTGAGTTCAACGATTGGCCTCGCGTGGCTCTCCCATTCCTCCCTACTTGTCCTCTCCTGCTGCCAAAGATTAGTTATCGTCGAGTAAGTCAGTTGCTGTAACTTACTCTTGAACTTATCTAAGCCTGTGGGCTTGCACTGCAGTGCCCTAGTGATTTGTTCGCGTACAACGGAAAAGACTTTAACAAAATCCTCCGTGGTGGCTCGCATTTCTTTCCATGTCTTGTTCAGTAGAACTATACAGACGCAGTAGAACTCCTCGAAAGGGTGGTCGTGCGTAAAGAACATCGGATGATACGATTGGCCTTGTTCGCTGGGTGCTTCACCAATACGCAATACCTAGTCGAAAAAATATCATTCGTTAGTCTTGTACTTCATGTTGCACTAACGAGTATACAGTCTTGCAAACAGCGTTTGCAATCTCACCTCGCAAAGTAGCTTAACGAGTTCTACGCTCGTTCTACCGAAGGGACATTCGTGCTCGTCCGCGCGGCAAGAATTCTCAAGAACGACTTTCGTATAACCCTCCGTGTGATTACGCGCGAAATATACCATACAGTCGAGCGCGAGCATACCCGGTGGTGTCTCGGTAAAGTCAAGAGCAGGATTAATATCGAACTTGAAGCCTAGCTTTTTGTAATCTTTAGCAAACAGTCCTTGTTTACGAGCGGTAATGTCTCCACCAGTTGCACCTTCCGTGTCGAAGGCGATCCTGCGAAGTTCCTTGATCTTGTCGTGCGCGTCCTGATCTTGCGGGTCCATCTTCGTCATCATTCGTTGTTCCAATAAACTCAACATCAACGTTTGCAGTACGTACAGCTGATGCGCCATTTCCGCACCGACCTATGAAGATTTTGACATAAGAATACGACGACGAAAAACGACTATAATTAACTACTACTGCTGATAATTATAAATAATTATACCTGTCCAGTAGATTGTATGATGTTTGTCAGAAACACATTTCTGACTTGTTTGGATTGTAATGTGGCGGCAACAGCACGCCTCTTATACAGATCAGCTTTCAAAAATAATGCATTTATAAGTGCTACAGTGTTCTGTTGAATTTGAGCGTTCATGCATTGCAGATACATTACAAGATTGGGAAAAGTCACTTCCTTTTCCACTTGTCCATATTTTCCCGTTGAGTTCAGGACTATGTTTTCTAAAATACTTAGAGAAGCTTCTATTATGTTAGTATCCTGAGTTATCGACTGATTGTTCACATAACTTGCTACTTTGTTGATAAAGGGTGTTTCCAATATATCCCATGACACAATTCCATGATCCATCAACTCTACAAATGACTGAAGGGAATATGCAAGTGCATTTCCTTTGTACTTTCCACCTTCTATCTGAAAATGAATACTTGCTGTATAATATAAAAAATATAAATTATCATCGATAATGATATATTGTTAAGCTAGTGTGTGTGTGTGTGTGTGTAAAAATTCTCTTACTTGTGAAATGATTAATGCCAATCCTTTTTTGTTTATAAATTCTAATGCAAATGTCATGTCTATACTAAGTTTACTCAGTTTCTGCAGAGCTCCTACTTTCTCCTCCATTGCCCCGTTGTTAAGTTTAGCCAAGATATCATTTGCTGTTTTTGATGGTGAAAATTCCAATCTGAGAATGCTGCCATTCTTTACTTCATTTCTGTTTTTTTCCGTGATATAATTCTGATTATTACTGTCAGAAAACTGCAAGGAGTAGGATTCTGCATCGGACAAACCCCATCCATTACATAACTCCTGAAATTACAAAAATATTTAGTTGATTATTATAGCATGTTAAGTAACTCCTTATTACTCCTTTATTACCGACAAAACTCCTATTAATACTAATTGTCAGATTGTATGTACTAGTTTTTTGTGCGTCAATTTTGTTGCATCAATCTGTATGAAGCAACACGAAATTTGGTATTGATTTTTCTTTAAACCCAATTAGACCAGAAATATCTTTATTCACACGAGTCAACCTTTCGTACCTGAATAATTCCAGTCAGCGGTTGCTTCTGATTAAACTCAATAAGTTGCGGCACTTGTTCTGTCATTTGAACGGCAATCTTTACGATATTCGAATCCTTTTGGACCGGCATTTTGATTGTCTGCGTGTACATCAAGAGCGCAAGACAATTCTCGTACGACGAGACTTACAGCAACGATGTCCGGTGCTTACCGGTCCAGTTTATTCGCTAAACTGACAAGACAGGGAATTTTGACGTCTCTGTCATAATAATCTTGACGGCTATACAGCTACAATGGTCACGTGACACTGCAGGTTGGACTAGGCGAGTTCGTTTCCGTCCGCTGGCGGAAATGCACACACGATAAATTTACGACACAATGAAATAAAAATTCAATATTGTATCCATGAATTGTTATAAAATTATTGTAGGATAATTTTCAGAGGAAAGCAACGATCAATATCATATATCTTGGGAACGTTATGGCTTTATTTTCATGTGGATTAAATATGATCATAAATGATAATTTACAAATTGATTTGTATGATCAAGTATTACAAAAATATACGCATACAATGATCTTCTATATAAAGCATCAAGTATCATGAGTTGTATGTACTGCGAACTAAAACTTACGAAAGTCGCATTGAGACTAGTAACTTTGTTGTTTTTCATATATTATCACACAGCCGTAGTTTATATTTCAATTCTTGTATGTTTTTCTTCATTAACACATAAAAACTGTCCTTGTAGAAACATTCCTGACTGCTTTCGGATTGAATATATCAGTAATAATAATGCGAGATTGAAAATATTGATAATAATTGATTACAACTGCAATGATAACCGCATAATAAATTCAACGAATTAACAAAAGTTGATGTGTGATAAATCTGTAACTAGTGTTGCAGCATATGATACATATTCAGATAACGCTCTTAATCGGTAATGTTTAAATCATATCTCAGTTCTCACGTTTCAGTATTTGCGCATAGAATGCACTATATCTATTAATTACATTGCTGTAATATCATAACTTTATCCATAACTTGAGAATGAAAACTTATAAAATATTTGCATTGTACCAATTAATGGCGATGAGCTTACATTCTAATTGTCTAACCATGATCATTAATGCACAATTTTCTTTCTTCAGAAATTAAAATTTCCAGTCCCATGGCACACAGAGAACACCGTCGCTCATAACTGAATAATAATGGGTCACCCAAAGCATAATGCCCTCCAGAGATGGTGCCAGGTATCTTTTGTGTAAAAGCAATCGCTCGCAACATTGTATCATTAGGTCCGGCGTAATACTATCGTCTTTATTGAGAGCAGCTAAACCTAGTTCTTTGATAGTTTTGCGATGAAGTTCTCGTTCCACATGCTTTATACTGAAACAATTACACAATAATCACAACATGCTTGCGCTAATCTATGTCAAAAAATAATCATAAATGTATACTTATGTTTTGTTTTTCATAGAAAATGTCGTACTTATTATAATGTTGTAATCTTTTCGTGGCTTCTTCTAAATTCTCAGTAATAAAGTTCACTAAGAGAAAACTCGGACATGACGATGGCACAATGAATTGTCCAGTAGGTGACAGCATCAGAGGACCCGCTTCACTATAAGTGAATTATCAGATATTTAGAAACATTATATACGCAATGTTTAAAAGTTGTACAATGATACTAACGCTTCTATGACAATTTCGTAGGTTGATAAACTTGCTGGCCAAGAACTCGGGTACTTTCTCTTGCCACGGTAATCTGAGAGTGTTGTTGTGAGCTGTCGGAGTTGTTGTTCATACTGGCCGACCATTACTTTAGGCATGAATTTCCTGCACATATAGAGTACCCTGAGCCTTACCATAACTCAAAAAATATGATGTGTTACGCACCGTCGACCAACTTTAATGTCAAGGAGCACTTGGGACACTGCCTTCTCAAATGCTGGCAATTTCAACAACACAACGTCGTGCTTCCTTACGTTCTTTATGAGCTGTAAAAAGAAACGAACGAAAGAGTTCAATATATGAAAGCAGAGTTTGCACTGTTAAAAAGTGAGTAATTTACAACTTACATCAAGCCAATTATGTCTAACCTCACCGGAATTTAGCATAACGTTGCCTTCCAGACTGATACCGGTGTCATTTGCAAATACAAGAGTCCGATCCTTCAGTACTTCCATTGGTTCCGGATGATGTTTGGCCAGAGCTTGGAAAGCCAGCAAACAACCACGATAGTGAGCTATATTCCAACCACAGTCCCATATAATATTCTTTAGTCCCAAATCATTGCATAGTATTTTTTGCAGTTTTTCCACCTCTTCTCTTATTGGTTTACATTTTTCTAGTTTAACATGCGCCTCGTTGATGTGTTTGTCCAAATACGCTCTGATCACGATTAAAGACACATAATAGTGATATCTGATATCAAATAAACTTCAATGACATTGTACTCACTTTAACGTGTCTGGTTCTATATTAATTTTTTGTTTCATAATAATTGAAGCATAAATAGGGTCATCTTCCAACTCTGAAAAGTCCAATCTTTCTCCAAAACGTGTACGTTGCCAGAATCTGGATTTGTACTTTGTAACAGGAGGCTTTTGCTCCTCGATTTTATCGATAAATGTGGTAGGTAGATCGCATGCTTTCAAGATGGAAAGTATAGCTTGCCTCAAATCTCTTTCCTGCAGTTGTATATTTACAAGTGTAAATTTACCAGCTTTCACTTCTTTCTCATTTTTCGATCGCAGATAAAAAGGTAAAGTGGTCGGCCGTATGGGTTGTTTTTGTTGAAGTGTTTCCAAGATTGAACTCAATTGTTTCAGAGAGTTCTCATTCACTGTCTGCATAAAGAGATTATAGATTAATAATATGTACATAAATCAAATAATAGTTACATCATTTGCATTAATTTATAATTACAAGTAGTAAAAAGAAAAATTATAAACATATATGAAAGCAACAGAAGGCATATATATTTATCGTTTCAAGAATATTTGCAAGAAAATAATAGTTTGTTGATCTTTGCTATGAATAATTCGTCTCTTACGCGTCTGACGCAGAGTGTCAAATTTCAAACGTGAAACATAAGTGACACAGAGTGTGCACGTGACTTTTAAACTGATCCACGTGTTAATCACGTTCGCGCAGGGCCGTATTTCTTTATGCATTCGTTTCCACTTTAGTGAATTTCTATACGCAATTATGTTTTCCACGGCACCGTAGTGTACTGCTGCGGCCCTGTACGCGCGCAAACAACCATCTTATCACAAACAACGTGAACGAACGATCTGACGCCAAGTGGTCGCGATGAAAATTTATTCCGATCCGACCAGCCACACGCATGTACATAAGTACGCCGTTCGTGCGAAGATCGCACGATTTCATCGTATGCAATCGGTTTTTTCGCATCTACAAATAATTCCGCATTACGTATTACGTTGATCGCGACAATTGCTGATCGTTTTATTCAGCTCAATGATTTCGCGCGTACACTTCACACCATTGAAACAAAAAAAGCAAAGTGATTTTTAAGCGAGACAAAGAAAACAGCAACGTACAAGGGCAAAGTCATTTTTTTTTCCTCAGTTTTCAGTTTCACATGTTCGAATCTTACTGAGATAAGATGAAAAGGATTTTTTAGCTCAAGCAAAACGATCTATAAAGTGCACCTAAGCGGACAGATTTTGTATTTTGAGTGCAGAACGAAGCAATCGACGTCATATCGATGCGATATATTTCTCGAACGTTAACAACATAATATGTAATTTAAAATAGCGACGCAACCGTCGCAATTGAATGTATGCTTACTCTCTGCGTGGGATATTGGCCGAACAGATCGGGATGAACAGTGAAATAAAACGGCCTCAGTGCGGTAGCGATCTCGCCGGTACTTAGCGCTCTTATCGCGTCCCTCCTGCAAAAACTGTCAGAGAGTCGTTAAGGAAAGATCGCACTCATCTCGCGAGAGCAAAGAGAATTGAGAGAGCACCGGGAGATCATGAGAAAAACAAGGATGTGTGTTACCATCTCCTCAGTGTGCAGTACATCCTCACAGCTGTGTCACTGCCGTAGTCACAGTTCCTATGTTACAGGATGGGCAGGTCAATAGGATGGACGACGCGCCATATAACCTCACGTCACGTATCATTCGACTGCGGGATACACCGTGACGTTCCGCCAATTATATATAACGTGAAAATAACATGCACTCTCGGTGTCATGAACTCCGGGTGTACCGGTATTACGCGCATACACACGTACTTCGTGCGAAGACAGCGCATTTGTCGGTGATCCAAAGAAACTGCTCCGCGCAAACTAATGTGCAACTGTGCAGGATTGATAAGGTAGATTGATAGGACGATGGAGAGTACGATGTCGCTGCTTTTGTTACGAAACACCGTCGGCATTATCAGATAGACAGTGTTAATTGGTTGTCGAAAATGTGTCGGAAATTCGGATCCTTTCAGCTACATTGCGTTATATTTTTGCGTAAATTGGGGCGACATCTTACAGGCCTACAATAAGTTTCAGCCAAGCAAATTGACCAATCATAATCGAATATTCCAAAAAATAGTCGATCGTGATTGGTTATTTTGCTTGCAACCGTGAAGCTCTTAATTAATATAGAATGGGCTTTTATATGTTCGCTCATGATCACTGTTGATCACTGTTGATCGTGTTCTTTCGTCAGCTTTCGAGATTTTGTTGAGCCACGAGTAAATCCAAGTAAATCATGGGATCGATCGTTGTACCGTCAGTATTACGATTTAGTCGTATGACGGTTGATGGTTTATATCAAATAAATAAATGTGGCCTAAGCAAGTAAGTAAGCTTTTATTTTTCATTGATAGTAGCAGCGTAATTAAACGCGCGTTTCGGAATTATATACCGCAAATCGGCATGTTGAGGTTAATCGTTAGATAAGGATAATTTTTTTCATAATAAAAACATAATTTATGAATCAACATTAAAGGATAGTTTGATGATTCTCTTAGAATGTCAAAGTTTTAGCTGAATTTTGAGTAATCGTATAATTAGTTACAGTGAAAACTGAATTCAAAAAGTTGATAATTAGATGTTGTAACTATTCATAACAATTCAATAAAAAAATTAAAATGCATTAAGAGTTTTCTATATATTGTTTCTAGTAGTATCTACATAGAGAATTTCAGTAGATATTTAAATTTTAATATTTATTCCAACATTTAAATAGATCAAGTATAGAGACAGACTGATTCAGTATATAATTTATATATATATAAATGTATTAATATATATTTTATCTTATTTTATTTTATTTGTTAAGTTACTTAATCTTCACTTAATTATGTATGTTTTATTGTAGATTGCCACAAGTATCTTCTGTTTTTCCTTGGAAAAAAAAATATTTTAGTACAATAAAGGAAGAACAAAAAGCTGATGCTGGAGAACCTCCAGTCCAACAATCTACAGAAAGTGAAACAAAACTGAAAACAGAACTGGAGCTCATCAACAAAGAATTTATTGAGCTTAAAGAATCTAAAGATATACTTCAAGATAAGTACAAGAGAGCATTGGCTGAAGGAGAAAATATTAGAGTTAGACTTACCAAGCAAATCGATGATGCTAAACTTTTTGGCATCCAAGGTTTCTGTAAAGATCTTTTAGATGTAGCTGATGTACTAGGGAAAGCTACAGAAAGTGTACCAAAGGATGAAATAACAGAAAAGAATCCACATTTGAAAAGTTTATACGAAGGTTTAATAATGACAGAAGCACAATTGCATAAAGTAAGATATGTGCTTATTTTTTCTTCATAATATAGACAACTTGCAATCACTGCTGGTATCTTATAATATTAAATTTTCTTTGTAATATTTTAGGTCTTCAAGAAGCATGGCTTAATTTCATTAAATCCTATTAATGAAAAATTTGATCCTAATCAACATGAGGCACTATTTCAACAAGTAAGTTTTATATCTTAGACAGAATATCTTCATGATATTTACATAATAATCATTACTATTAATGTAAATAAAAATTTTAGGAGGTTGAAGGTAAAGAGCCCGGAACAATTGTAGTTGTGTCAAAAATAGGATATAAATTGCATGAAAGGATAGTAAGACCAGCATTGGTAGGTGTTGCTAAAGGATAATTACCTGATATAATAAAAGTAGATAAATATATCTATCTGATGTAAAAATTGATAAATAATATAATATCTAATATAGAACACTTGTGTATAAAATATGATTTTCCTTGAAATTCATTAAAATATTAAATGGCATTTTCATTTTATGGAAGTGTAAGGTACATATGGATTAACAGATGATATATACATGTACTTTTATACAAAGTTCTTGTATTAGTAGATTTTTTCATACAGAATTAATTTTTAAAATACTTAGATGCGAATTTGATGGAAGTTAATAAAAATGTCAAATTGTATGACTGTATAATTTATGTAATGTTAAATATACATTTGGTATTATGCTATAGTATATACAATAGTAAATTTCAAGTGGTTTAATTCATAGTACATAGTACACGTTAAATTATCAGATTTTTATCAGAATATTTTAACACCTTTCAAACACTTTGTACAGATCAGGTAAAGCAGCTATTTGTAATATTGTTGAATCATGAGCAAAGTGTTTAGGGGGAAGTAGACTCTCTTTAATTGCAGGGTACAAGACGTGTTCAGTTATATACTTCCAATCGTACGTCTCGTGCTTCGGATTGATGTAACTGTAAAATTTTGCTGTTTCTCTACAAATATTCTGGAAACATGATTGTTCTTTTTTCCAATTAACTTCCGTTGCCAATCGCATCATATACAATGGAATTTCTGCTTCATATGGAAAATATTTGTCTAAAATGTTTCAATAACATCGTTAATGTTAATTTTCTCAAAAATTAAAATGTAAAACGTTAAATTCTATTTATACCTAATAATACAGGCAACGATCTTAAGTTTCCAACTTTATCGATAACAATCGAAAAGTATTCATTCATCATATCTGCTTTTTCTAAAAGTAATTCTTTTACTCTCGCTGCTAATTCTTCTTTCGGCCCATCTTCCTCTGTCCATCCAGTGTCTCCCGAATCTAAAGCAATCATTGCTAAATCAAACAATGATATCCGTTCCTAAAGAAAAAAAAAAAATATATATATATATATATATATATTTCGGTATCAGTTAACTTTAGAAGTGAGATCTTGTTTTCTGAGATACATACTGAAAATTTCAAGATGCCAAAATTCGCAAAGTCATAAAGCATAATTTCGTAGAACAGTTCTTCCCTGATCAAAAAAATATTACATTTAAAAAAATTAGTTACATATAAGGAAATTTGTACATATATATAATTTCATAAATTGAAATGCGAAATAGTGTGATCTTACGCTAATTTTCTGGTATTGCAAATATACAAATTTACTCCACTCTGTATTAAGGCTGAAGTTTGATCGATACATCCAACAAAAGTTAAATTAGACAAGATTTCTTTCAGTCCTTCGTGACATTCATCTTCAATTTCTTTTCTTAATTGTAAGATGCTAGTTAATTTTACTTCGTGTCTAAAACTATTTACAGAATATGACTTAAATAATTTTTCAGATTCATCAGAGCAAGTATTTCTCTCAGTTAGAGATGCATTTTGGTTTATGATAAATTCTGAACTTTCACCTTCTTTCTTAATATTATCTGTATCTTTTATAACTTTTTGTTGTTGTTCTTCTGAGTTTTTATTTTTATTATTGATATCTATATTTCCAAAATATTGATATACTTGTTTACGAGCCTTATCAGCTACAGTGTCTATAGATCTATCTTCTGCAGAATTATTCATTGTTTCATCTAAATCAGATAGAATGTCCGAAATATCCATAACATTTTCCGGACAATTATTCTTCGACTTATCATTTTGTACAATGGTAGACGAGTTGCAGGTATTTTCCGTTTCTGATTGAGTTATATTATTTATTATGTCACACCAATTTGTTGCAACATGATCAATTGGAATCTCTTCATTATCTGATGTAAAATTCTGTTCTGTAATAGCTAAATTTGGATTTGTCTCATTTTTTTTTTCTTGACGTTTATCATCGGCAATTGAATCTTCCGTGATAACAACACATGTATCAATTTCCGGTAGAACTTCAGAATTAAGAGGTGGAGGTTCTAAATTATCTGTAGATTTTTCCACAGGAAAATTATGATTGCTTTTACCATGTTTGAAGGCAGAATGTATAGTGAAATTAAATTTGTCTAGCTTCTGATCCGATGAATCTGTTCTAATCATTTCTCTGGCGTGAATCTTTTTCGATTTGTCTGGATTCCCTTTTTTATGTTCCGGCAATACCTCTTCTAGAATGTCTTTAGTGATATCTGCTTTTGGTAATCTAGCTTGCAAATAAAATGTTCTGGATGCACTGCTACCAGTTAGTCTTTCATCTAAAGCAAATTTGATTTTTTCGATTATTGCATCTTCATGAAGAAATCGAACTTCGTGTTTCGTTGGATGTACATTGACATCAATGTTTTGTGGATTGATGTCTAGTGATATATAGCACCAGGGATGAGCTTTCTTTGGCAGGTAGACGGTATATAAATCCTCTAACATTTTACGAATAGCTGAAGGAAACGAACATTTTTTATATATATAAAAACTTTACAAAAAGCGATTAGCAAAATTGCTTATACACATAGTAAGAGACTTACAAGAGGAATCGACCAGACGATTGTTAATAAATAAAAGCATCAACATCCGTTTGTTTGTATAGTTTGGATTTGTTACTAAAGCGTGCATTTGAAATTTATAACTCTTATCGTTGAGCTCAACTTCTAACAATTCACGAGCAACTGGATTTCCATACAATATTCTTATGTTATTCTGTTTTGTTGAATTATGTGGTGTTCGAACCTGGACAAACATAACAATTACATGTTATTCTAAGATATTCCATATACATGTTACATAATATATTTATTATTATGCATATAATTCATTTTACCTGTGGACTTGGTTCACCATGTTTTTTTAATGTAAACCCTACTGCTTGATTATGTACAGCGTATCTCATAACTACTTCTGTAATTTTAGTGAATTCTTCTGACGAACTTGACAAAGCTTTCCTTCGAGTTGGTACATTATAAAATAAATTTTCTATTGTTATTATAGTGCCTTGATTTCCAGCACATGGTACTGGAGGTGCTTTTAGTTTGCTGTTAAGATATGATGCTCTACAATGTTGTGTAGCAAAAAAGAAAGTTTATGTTAGTAGAAAATCTATATAATCTACAAAATTATGAAATTAACAAATTTATTGTTGTTTTACTCATTGCATATTATTTGCCAATTAAATTTATATACTTGTAAGCACACTTTTCATCTGCTGTCTTTGTAGTAATACTAAGAAGAGCTACATGACTGATACTAGCCAGAGCTTCTCCTCGGAATCCAAATGTTGTCAATGCATTAAGATCTTCAAATTTTTGCAGTTTGCTAGTTGTAAATCTTTCACACACAATCTCCATGTCCTCTTTTCGGATACCAGTGCCATTGTCTTGTATCTGAGAAATTTACTTACAGTTGTTACAGATGATTATTTTTACTAACTAAAAATATATCAGGGTAAGTATACCTGTAATAATTTTAAACCTCCTTCTTTTACAGTAATTTGTATATTCGTGGCTTTGGCATCCAGACTGGGGAACAAAAGTAAATTAATTATTTTTGAAGTAGACAGTGGTGTGTTAAGTACTAACCTGTTTTCTATTAGTTCTTTCAACGCATTTGCTGGCCTTTGGATCACTTCTCCAGCTGCGATTCTATTCACCACAACCTCATCTAATTTTTTTATTTTTGCTGGTGTAGACATTGTCTGAAAATGACTTATATAAATAATTAATCGTTTCTATGAAACTGAAAAAGTAGATACTTCTTGCCACCTGTCATTAGATTTTCACAACACGTGGATTCATACAATTTAATTTCGTGCGATTCAACAAAGTTATTTGATTTTACACATAAATTATAAACGTAATCAACAAAATTAAGATATAATAGACCTTATATTTAATAAATTTTTCGAAATAGTATTTTTCAAGTTTATTATATTATCCGTTGGCGCCAATATCTAACTATCCGTATTACATGCAGTGTCGCCAATATCTAAAAATAAAATTGTTCTCTTTACCGGTGTTCACACTGTTTTATCTTCATCCATTATACATCTTATAAATATTTTCTTTAGATGGCGTTAAATTAGAAGTTAGATGTGTTACGTTCGCAATAGCCATTTTTGTCGTGCATTGAGTAACGTTGTTACTTAAATTAGACTATCTCAGAATATCTTACAACGATCTGGAAATAGATTATATAGTTTCACAAGCCGTGACGAACATTTTATCTATTAGTGTTTCGAAATTTGGCACACTTTGTAAAATTTGTAAATGTTATCCTTTGATACAAAGATTTCATACATATTATATTGCGCACTATACAGTCTAACAATTTTTCTGTTGCAGTGGCAAAAAGAGTAATGGCTAACACATTATGGGCTAATTAGCTATTGGGTGAGTTAATAATAATTGGCTCTTTATCTGCATATACACATGGTTTTTTATTTGACTTTTACCGTAACTAATTAAACTCGTCATAAAGATAAATGACAAAGTAATATTTCTTTAGAATTTATTCGCATCTTTGAGTCATGATCTTCTGACATCATCTCTATTTTAAGCATTAACTCTTTTTGTTCAAAATTACGTATTACGTATTTATTACGTACGGAACGAGAAATGTCTTGAAAGTGCGCAATTAATTCTGGAACGTTGTTCTAGAAAATTAGCGAAATCTCGATATATGATCGCAAATTTTCTAGAAAACCGGAGATCTTTCGTTTCTGCGCAAGCGCGATCTTTCTGGCTTGAATGGCTATCCGTTGCGCGCTCTTTTACTATTTCTTCCAACAGGAGAGAGGACGATTGTATTATTTGCAGGTATTAAATCGAATTAACGTATGTACATTCAACGAAGTTCTTTATTTTACTGGTGCACTATATTATCTCGTCTAAATGAAACGTGATTCGCACAGGGCTAATTATAGTCACGATTCCTTCAGCGTGTTCTCGAATTTTCTCGTGTTCGTATCCACCTCTTTCTTTCCTTTTCTATTTCATATATCGCTCGATGCATTTAAGTCTCTCCTTCTTCCTCCCACGCGTTCACTAGTGGCTGCTCTGAGAGACTTCTGTGATTGGTCACTCGCAGAAGCTTCTCGAGCGCGGTATTAAAAGCGCAGCCCGAAGTTGCCGTTGTCAGTCTCGCAGAGAATTACAAACGAACAGTTTGCACGTTGCGTAAAATCGCGCGAACACAGCTTTGAATACAGTCTTTGAAGTACTAGAAAATTGAATATAAGGTGAGATACGAAGCGTTTTATATTTGCGAGGCCTAATCTACAATTAGAGTCTTTTCGTCGAGAAATAATTGTGTATTGTAGCGACTGGATTATTTCCCGGAAAGTATTGCGTCGTATCCATTGCTGACGTCTTGTCGATATTACGGATGCTAAATAATTTCTTGTTGCGTTGTTATTGTCAGTCAATTTGAGTAAAGTTAGTTGTAATAATAATAAGTGCGTGGCAGTGTTCGGCATGAAGTTATCGGTATCAATTTTGCAAATTCCGTCTATCATATTGGTTTTGAGCCTTCGAGTATCATAATAGAGAGAAATATGTTGTGAAATATTTCTAATATTGTATGTCTATAACAATACACCAAATTAGTATCAGAGGAAGGGTTCAATATGAGACAACTTTTCGAGAAATGTAACGACATGTTTGTTGCGTTGCATTATTTCGAGCACGGCATTCGCGATCAATTAAATAGCTTCGAGGTCGATCGAAGCTGCTTGAGACGTCATTCCATATTCGGGAACCATATTTCAACAACGTTGTTACCTGGCGACGATAAACATACATCTTATGTTGCATTATCGTTGATTTTCAGTATCTGATATATATACCGAGATCGCTAATAAACGAAGGAAATAACAATGTCGAAAGCACCGGCAGTAGGAATCGACTTGGGCACTACGTACTCTTGCGTAGGTGTTTTCCAGCATGGCAAGGTTGAGATCATCGCGAATGATCAAGGCAATCGGACCACACCAAGTTATGTTGCATTCACCGACACCGAGAGGCTGATTGGTGATGCGGCAAAGAATCAGGTTGCTATGAATCCCAGCAATACTATCTTCGGTGAGTAAAATTTTCACATTTACAATATAATTTTCAATATGATATTGGATGAATAGAAGAAGGAAAGAATGAAACTTTCCAATTGATGATACTAATGCATGCGTAATTTTTCGCTTGTATTCCTATTAACTTATATAATATCATTATTTTGATATATTTTGATACCTTGCTATTAATAGAGTTATCTGCAGATTATTGAATAAATTGAGAATTATGCTTTAATTATTTTTGAGTCTATCGGTTGAGTACGTATCGATTAAAGTTGCTGAATTATCGTATTTTGTAATATAAATTTTTATATGTGGGATTAAGTGGTAAAGCTAAAAAAAGTGTTGATAAAAAATTGGTAAGATATACATATAGCCTTAACACGTTTTGCGATTGTCAACTATATTTTTTATTAAAGTATTAAACTTTATACCTTTTTTACATTTGAAATGGAATGAATATAAGGTCATTATATAATTTTCCTTCGGAACATTTTGTGGCTGAACTTGAAACTATATTGCACTGTGTATATTTTGATTGCGACTTACTGCATTAGTGACCTTGCACAATGCGCATGCCTTTGTCATAGCGTTCATTCATGGACTATGCATTCCGGCCTCCCTCCCTTTGACCTTTTTTCGAGCGCCTATCATAATTCTTTACATTGTAGCTAGACATTCTAACATTTACTCGTCGGTTTTACGTAATTCTAATTTGCGCCTGCGCCAAACATTGCAGTTGATTCACGCTGGCTTGGGATCAAATGACGCAAGTGATATCCTTCGCTATAAATGCCAAACATTTATTTAATATTTATTACGTAATAAATGAATATACAAATGCTACTATTACGTTTATATACAGTGACGAAAATTGAATTTTCTAAATTTGTTTTTGCCCTTCTTGAAATCTACAGTAAGTAACTGCTTAAAGATCGTTTTAAATAAAAGTATGTTAATCGTTTCTAAAGCTGTATTCAATAATATTATTAAGTAATGAATATCTCTACTCAGCGACTCGGCGATTTAGTACACCGCAATCGTCCTACTCACAATCCAGCTCACAATTCCAAAGGTCTTCTTCTTCATTCCCTTGCACGTTGCAAGATCCTAGAAAATAAATTTTGAAGAGAGAAACAGTTTCTAATTTTTGGCAATTCTTATTTCTTTGAAGATGCAAAACGTTTGATCGGTCGCCGATTCGAAGATGCAACGGTACAGAGCGACATGAAGCATTGGCCCTTCACAGTGGTCAATCAGGATGGTAAACCAAAGATCAAGGTTTCTTACAAGGGTGAGACGAAAAGCTTCTTCCCCGAGGAAGTGTCCTCTATGGTACTAACAAAGATGAAGGAAACGGCGGAGGCATATTTGGGCATGACTGTCACGAATGCCGTTATTACCGTACCAGCTTACTTTAATGACTCTCAGAGACAAGCGACGAAGGACGCCGGCGCTATCGCTGGTCTGAACGTTCTCAGAATAATAAACGAGCCTACAGCGGCTGCGATAGCGTACGGTCTCGACAAGAAAACCTCGGGCGAGAAGAATGTCCTCATCTTCGATCTTGGTGGCGGTACTTTCGACGTGTCCATTTTGACGATTGAGGACGGCATTTTCGAAGTGAAATCCACAGCCGGCGATACTCATCTTGGTGGTGAAGATTTCGACAATCGAATGGTCAACCATTTCGTTCAGGAGTTCAAGAGGAAGTACAAAAAAGATCTGAGTACCAACAAAAGAGCAGTAAGACGTCTGAGGACGGCTTGCGAAAGAGCAAAGAGAACGCTGAGCTCATCGACACAAGCGAGTATTGAGATTGACTCGCTGTTTGAGGGTATTGACTTCTATACGTCTATCACCAGGGCCAGGTTCGAGGAGCTCTGCGCTGATCTGTTCAGGAGCACTCTCGAACCCGTAGAGAAGGCATTAAGGGACGCGAAGATGGATAAGGCTCAAGTCCACAGCATAGTTCTAGTCGGTGGCTCCACCAGGATACCAAAGATACAAAAGTTGCTACAGGACTTCTTCAATGGCAAGGAGTTGAACAAATCTATTAACCCGGATGAGGCCGTCGCTTACGGCGCAGCGGTCCAAGCGGCCATCCTGCACGGTGACAAGTCTGAGGAGGTACAGGATCTGCTTCTGTTGGATGTGACTCCATTGTCACTGGGTATTGAGACCGCTGGCGGTGTCATGACCACATTGATCAAGAGAAACACTACAATACCTACGAAGCAAACTCAAACGTTTACCACGTACTCGGACAATCAGCCGGGAGTACTTATTCAAGTTTACGAAGGAGAGAGAGCGATGACTAAAGATAATAACATTCTTGGCAAATTTGAGCTTACGGGAATTCCACCCGCGCCTAGAGGCGTGCCGCAGATCGAAGTTACTTTCGATATTGACGCCAATGGTATATATTTATCATATTCCACAAATTAATGCATATAATTATATGTATAATTTATTTTTAATATATAAGTATACTTTTAGTATATAAGTATATTCGATTTTTTGATTAAGAATTTTATTTTTATTTTCTATATTTACCTTTTTGTAACTTGATTTTTAGGTATTTTAAACGTTTCTGCGATTGAGAAGTCTACGGGTAAAGAAAATAAGATCACGATTACCAACGACAAAGGTCGTTTGTCGAAAGAAGATATCGAAAGAATGGTAGACGAAGCCGAAAAATATCGATCGGAGGACGAACAGCAGAGAGAAAGAATCTCCGCTAAGAACTCTCTCGAGTCGTATTGTTTCAACATGAAGAGCACGATGGAGGATGACAAGGTTAAAGACAAGATTGAGGCGTCTGATAAAGAGAAAGTGATTTCCAAATGCAACGAAATCATCTCGTGGTTGGACGCCAATCAATTAGCAGAGAAAGAAGAGTTTCACGACAAGCAGAAGGAACTGGAAGCTATTTGTAATCCTATCGTTACAAAGCTTTATCAAGGAGCGCCTGGCGGCGCTGGTGGAGCAGGGCCCAATCCTAGCACTGGTGGTGCCGGACCAACTATCGAAGAAGTCGATTAATTTAGCTAATTCGTTTTTCTTTTCGCACAGCGTGGACAACGCCAAATATCGTTTCTACTTAACGCAGGCCGCATTGTTACATAATTTTTGCATATTTATATTTCGATTCGTTTCGTGTAAAAACATCTGTATTTTTCATTTTCTAAAGTCCATTTAAATGTTGTTAATGTTATTTTATTATTAGTTTGTTATAATAAATAAATGTTTATGATTATATAATTAATATTGGTCGTATATGTTCTTGCTTCGTTTGCGGTGAGTTCTACTTCGTGCTTTGCTACTGAATTATTTCACTTCAAATTTTCTGGTCGATAAAATTGAACGAGAATGATTAAATATGTGGTAATCACACCGACGAACTGAAAACAAATTTATTTTACTGAATTGCTATCATTATATCTTCTAAATAATTTTATACTCACGCCACTGAGCAAAGCATTGTTCATTTCGAAAAAACCACAGGCTGTAAATGCCACTCGATGCTGTTGTAGTTGAATTGAAAAATCGTTGACCTCGTTTCTTACACAGTCTCGGTCCAGGTTTTTGCGCAAAAGGCTTTCCATCACAATGTAATTTAGATTGTAGGCGTTACTCTGGTTAGAATTTCGTTCACTATTCTGCCTTTCGAATGGTTGTGGTACTTCTAAATTCGCTTGATTATAGCTTATGCTGTTTATCTTTTTGAGATTCGTGAATTTGCAATTTAGCACGACTGCGTATATGATTATTCCGGTTCTGTAGGATTCTTGTGATGCGAATGTACAGATCCAACACATCGTACCAAATTTTGCGGCGTATAAAACCCAAAGGATATTATTTATTAGCATGAATCCGTAGTTTCTTTCGACAACACCCATGTAAATTCTAAATAATGTAGCTACGACCATGGTAAAGCAGTTTGCCGAGCAAAGGAGAAGATGAAAACCATGAATTTCATTTATCGTGATAACTATATCAGAAATTCCTGCGTAATAGAGAAAAATTGCGATTAAAAAAAAATTAGAATAATTATCATAGACGATATAATCATATATTCGTTAAACTTATATTTAGATTGCACGTTTACTTGTATAGATCGTCCAAGTATTTAAATTGCACTTTAAATTTTGTGTCGGTGATAATGTACACATATGTTATATCACGAAATGGTAAAATGATTCAAAGTCCTAAAAATTGACTGGAAATATTTTATACAAAATATCTAAAAAATATTACCGGTATGTAATTCTCTGATACGCCTGACTTTGATCGCAATCCACGTTATATCCAATCGCTCGTCCAACTGCTCGATCATGTCGTTTATTACACGAAATCTGTGGTAGAGCACGTAGACGATAACGTCGAAGACGAAGCTGTTGATCAACGACTGAGCGATAGTATAGTAGAGCAACAAATCAGACGCAAATATATCTTCCGGAAGCGTGAAGTAATAATACAGAGCATGTATGATCATTGACAAAGGTCCGAGAATCAATGTTGTTAGAATAGCCAGAACTTCGGCGTTTCTTACAGATCGATTGTTCACAGGTGTCTCTTTTCTGATTTTTTGATCGAGGGTCTTCATTTTGCTCATTAACTCATGCCATTTGTCGTAGTGCCGGATACCGTGATAGACATAGTAATACGCCGAGACGTAGCACACTACCTTGTTCAAGTAGTATATGATCTTGAATATGTCGCTCTTGAAGACACTACCGAAAGTGAAAAAATCTATCGCGCCGTATGCGACGATTACTGAACAGATTCCAAAGTGAATGACACGTAAAAATATCGTAACAGCCTTGGGACATTTTCGTGGTCGTGCTACACCGACACCCAAAAGCCAGGAAACGTACATTATAGGACGTAAAACATGCTCGATCGAGGGACAGTTATCTTCCACTTGCACTTGTACGTTGATTTCTTCTTCCATTGTTGCTTCGAGTCTTCTGATTAATCAATAGCGAGCGAATATGGTTACGAATAATTAAGTTAGAGCCATTTGTGATAGAATTGTTCCCAGAGAATAGCTGCGAAGCGTTGAGGCTTTTCTGAAAGTAATGCAGGACTCTGACGAGTACAGTTTGTTCTTTCTGGCGATTCTAAGTATAAAGATAAGATAAAGGACGTGATGTATTGCTAATGCAAAATTAACGAAGTTTATACTGTTTGCTGTTAGCTGCTACTCGTAATGCGGTTTTAGTAAATTAAATCGGTCCAAGCGGGCATAAAGAGGAACCCGCGCGATTAATAATGCACAATGTTTTGAATAGTGTAAACGTTAGCTCTTTCATATTTTTTTCTCACGCAGTATTTTCGACGCAATATTCCAGGCTATAATTAATATAGCGGCTGTTTAAAATATATCAATAAATTATATTAATAATTATTAAAATTACTACGCATTTTAAATCCCACTCAGGAGCATATGTATAAAATATCTTTATTTATTAGTTAAATATGTGGCTTCTATAATTTTTTTATTACATCTCGTATTCCTTGAAGTATATTAGTAGAAATAATTTTTTATTATGATTATTTTATTAATTTTGACTTGTAAATCATCATCGAATTTCAAGAAGTGATGTTTCCTTATTTGAATTAAAACTAACTTGTGTGTGCATGTCGATATACATAAGAAGAAAGAACGATGTCTACACATTTGCGTACGCTTATATCGAAAAACGAGCTTTATTTGGCCCAACGACTATATTACAATCGTATGGTACAGTAAACATTTAAAATTGGGATAAAACGATAACGTTGTACATCGACTTTTTATAAATCAGGCGGCAAGTCGAGTTGAATATTTTGTAGAGATGAATTGTGTGTTTGTATGTATGTGTATGTGTGTGTGTGCGTATGTGTTTTTTTTTTTCATTATGTTCTTATATATGTGTGTGATATAACTTTTATATCTCTTGTTTTTATCTCTTTAATAATAATAGACCGATCGCGCGACTACGACCGAGTTTAATAACCAGGTGCGATCGTTGCCGAACACGTATATATGAATATTTTACATCTGTGTCAAGTGTACATGGATCTGCATGTAAGTACATATGACTATGTAGCGCGTTCACGCTATTGCAGCTTTCGTAAGTGTAAGAACATCTTGGAGTTTAACGCTCGTCGTCCTTTTCTTTTTTTTTCTTTTTTCTAATTATTTACTCGGGGAAGGCAGCGTAAATTATCCGAACACGAGAATGTCGATATACGTCGTTTTGTTATAATAATACGATATATTTCCGACAGAAATACCTTTCTCATTCTCTGTGACATTTCATTCTGTCCATTTTTAATTACGAATGTATGGTCTCATCGTGTAATAATTGTTCTTAACGACTTGTGTTACTATATTTTACACTTGCGAATCTAGCTTGCGGCCACGGGTTATACTTTGGAGGCTTATGACGCAGTTCCAAAACACGATGATTAATGTTTGCAACTGCGCGATTGTGGAAATTAACGTTTACGTAATAGAGAAACTCTTACAACTTTGTGGAGTCATTTTTTCCCATTTTTTGCATACGACGAGATATCTTGACAGTAAAATTCTCTTACTATTTGAATTTGAGAACGCAAGACATATTATGCAAATACATTAGTTAAACAATTCAGATAGTAACAATTTCAACAATGATTAGGGAAAGTGAAATTTATATACATAATCGGATTTTGAGTTTCGTTTTTACATAATAATTGGTAATATACATTACTATATAGCAAAGAAGAGTAATCAGTAGCGGATTAATTTCAACAAATGCACTATGATATATGTATCTAGCATATATTCATCTTCCTGTTAATTGTCTAAAGAGATACAAACAAAGTCTGTGTATATCTGATACCGCGTCGTGCGCGTGTTTATTCACATTTGATGAATAAGTCATTCTTTTTGGTCATATTTAAAAATGAGTTAACGGAAAAAAAGTTTATATTGAAAAGTAAAATGACTTCACTGGAAATTGTATAAGTTATTTCCTTCATAGGAAAACGATTTAACTTTTTACAATAGCAGCAATGAAGTGTGTCTCTTATAGTTCGTATAATCACATTCGTTTTCCAGACAGGAAATTACCGTACGATTTTTATCGTTTATATTTTACGGTTAAAAGTATGTTTAGTCTCGATTTGAGATCGAGATTATCATCTTGACAGCTTCTCTGTCAAATCATAATTTTTCAGTAGAAGTAAAAGATTAATACGATGACTTGGTAACGACTTATGATATAAATCGACTTTGTTCAATCAGAATCATTGATATGCAGTTCGACGAACAATTTCGCGAGCTTGTACAAGTGCGATTTGACTTATACAAATGATTATACGACGATTACATGTAATCATTGAACAGATATGTGACATTGAAATTATCTCTGATTCAATCGAATCTTTCGCGTAATGATAATTGATCTTAGTATACTTGAATAAACGTTCATTTGTACTTCGAATCGAGTACTAATATTTTCATATCGTGAAGGAGTTACACGAAGTTTTAGAGGATTCGTCTCTTTTTAATGATGTTGTTTTTCTAGACGAATCAATGCCTTCATCAAATATAAATCAGTCTCTGATATATAGAGACACATTTTGATATACAAATTATATAAAATTATGGACCAAAATATATACAATCGACTGAAAAGCTTTCATCGGTTGTTAGTTGATATATTATTTCCTTTCTGATATATAGATAGTTGATCTCTAAAAACAATTTTTCCAGAACTTGATAAAACTTTAAATTTGTACAATTAAACAATTCCTGATACCGAAGGAATTTAGTTAATCGTAAACTTACGATTTTCCTGTCATCATGAAAAAATTCCTATTTCATGAAACTTATATCTGGTATTCGAACTAACGTAAGTCCGATTCATCAATGTTGCAAAGCATTGAAACGCTAAACTCTTTTCCGCACTCTTTGCTTAATTCGGAATATCTTGTCGGTGTCGATTTTTGATAGCATATCAAGTGCCTAAGCGTAAATGCATCTTTCGCGCTACTCTCAGACGTAGTTATCAGCACTTCCAATTGAATATATGTACCTACAAATATGTCTTCGCTCATATTCTTACCGAGACATTCAAAGAGAATTGTCGCTTTATTCCATTGTTTGGTTTAATTTCCTTATTAGCCTTCGTTCTTTTTCGAATGTCTTGTTGCACATTCGTAATTATTTGTTTGTCTGCGTAGATACCGAATAAAAATATGCTTTAGTACATTGCCACCTTTTAACTCGTTTAAGTACACTTGTGCCGAGTATGTTCAATTAGAAGGTGCCGTTTTCATTCTACTTCACTTCTACTTTGTCCACGTTATAAAGTCAACTGCAAAGTCGATTTCTGATAATGTGACGCATGAAAGAAAAAGGCGAAATAAAAAATTCCGTTCATATCTACATTAAATTGGCACAGACCCAATTGTCAACTTAATGTTATTATTTCGATCGCTGAGTTAAAAAATTTCAAAGTGTGGCAGTTTAATTAAAAAAAAGAATACATAGTACAGAAAACATATACACAGATATTCCTTAAAGAATTGTAAATATTTTAACAACTGAGGCTGCAAAACTCGATGTTATGTAATCGTTGCTTAAGAAGAAAATTGTGGACGCAATTAGATTCTACGTCATATATATCATATAAAACATATAAAAAACACCAACTTTTTAACGTGGACACGGTAATGGTATAACTTACTCTTGCATTTGCACCTACTTATATTAGAGCGTGTCGTATCTTTTCGCAAGTGTGTTCCGATATTTCTCAACGTACACATGTCTTCCTGTTGACATTGTGACATGATGTAGATGCCGCTGTTGATTGGTATTTGCAAATACAATAAAAAGGTTATTAATAAACCGCGCGAGTCCAGTGACATCGTCGTCGATTATATTTGAAAAATGTCATCGGAAGCCCGTGGCGCAACGCTCGTGTCGAAGATGGACGTCGTTGGCGTTGTCATTGGCGGAATTTCGCCTATTCGGGTTGGAATCGCGTTAGAAGTAGTTATCGCCGTCGTAATCGTCGTCGTCATTGTCATCGTCGTCATCGTCGTCGTTATTGGAGCGGTTTCTGATACGTCTGACGTCGTCGGTACCTGCTGCAAATGAAATCAATCTTCGCTTCAAGCTTGATGAGTACGTATAGATTGACTAAATAATATGAATGATTTTAGAAGAAATAGATTTCAGATGAATAGACCGACGATGAAAGATTATCTTTCAGACGAGTTACCTCGTTGTAAAAAACTTCCTTTCCTTCTTCGACCGAAGGCAGCAACTCGTCCGTAGAATGAGGAGTCCTAGGGCTAGGTGTCGGTACCACCTGTTGCTGTTGTTGCTGTTCTCGCTGTTTCGCCAGTCGAAGCTCCTGAACCGCCTGGCGCTGCTCCTTCTCGTTCCTCTCTTTCTCGAGTCGACGCGCGCTGTAGCTACGGGATGAGGACGTTGAACTGTGAACCGACGCTAAGCTAGGACGGCGAGAACCTATACGAAGAGAACAGACATATCGTGAAGTTGAGATAAAGTCCTTGGTGAAGTTATACGCTAATTTTTTTCTACGCTAGGAAGAATATAACGTCGAAAGGCAGAAAGAATCTATTACACTTGCGTTACTAATGGTACGGTTGTATATAATTGCTAAATGCGACAATAATATATATTTTTGTGATACCTTTATCGACACGGTTAATATTCGACGAAGCGATGGGAGTGGAAGCTCAGAAGAGAAAAAAATGCTATAAGTCGGATAAAGGAGACATGTAAACGCACAACAATGATAGCGGGGACATCAGTGAATTCTTAACGAACCGTAAAAAGTCGTAAAGGCAATGGCGAAGTCAGCGGTAGGACATTTTTTGCTGTTGAGATGTGCCTTGGAAGATGATTGGAAATTTACATGTCTATGAAAACATGCTAGATTTATTGTAGCAGACACCAGACCCAACTAGGAAATTTTATAATGTATTCAAGGAGGTTTTTATAAACGAAAATGACTTGTGAATGATAGGTCGGGGTGTTCGAGGAAAGTATTATCATGTTTGTGCGAAAAGTAATAATGTCTAAGTAACGAATTAAAAACTGTTGAAATTATAATGGAATTGTCCGCGTATCAAATAATTTTACAAATAATTTTGCGCACTATAGATGTTGCATTGTGCTAAAATTTGAAGGGAATAGCATTTGAAATATAATTACTTTATATATATGATATACATAGATAGATTTGATTTATACTCTGGATCGGCACTAAAACGCCCATAAATATATAACCTGCTCAGAAATTGTTCGTGAAATTTTATCGGAATGCATATCCTCAGGCGCGTATCTAATGATACATTATACAAGTTTGAGAAACATATATCTCTGACGTAGAAAATATGTAAGCTAGCGAAGCAAGCTATTCTAAGAAATATCGTATCTATTATTTTGGTGTTATGTAAAGGACTGCAGCTTTCCCGGCAAGAAAATTAAGAATATATCCTCTTGACATACGTGTCTTTTCATTAATATCAGTTTTAGGGATAGTGTAGAAATAAATGACAATTCTATGGGGTCCTCACCGAGAAACTGGTCCTATGTATTCATGCGATTTTATAAAATTTATACGTTTGTTTGTGTGTGTGTGTGTGCAGCGAGCTGACTAGTGCGTAAAGATTTCGTGTCTCTCTCTACCTGTCTTACCAGAAATAATTTGTTTCGTTTACGAGCAACGAAATCGGCCGCTGCCATCTTGCTATCTCGTAACACACTTGTGCTGCGTTATTTTACTTGCAATGTCATATTTTCTCACGAATGTATTGCAGGTCTACTAATTTACGCGGCTTTTCGAGTTTTTGTACGATTGCTCGTTAATCATTGTCTTACTCGAGACAATAGTCAGGTCAAGGAAGTTGCTCGTGTTTCTTAATTTCTTAGTTTCAGGGAGGAAGAATGTTTCGTGAGTTGTAACTTGTATGTACAATTGAATGTATTGAAACAGTCCAGTGCACTTGCACTCGCAAAGGGACTTTATGACGTACGATTCTTTTTGTCTTTTCGTGAAGTAAATTGAATCATACTATCATCGACATAAACAATATGAGTCTTCTTCAGTGTTATGAAAAAATTTAATGGCCGAGTGTAAATGTACCGTAAGATATCGATACATCCGATTGTGCAAACATGTAACTGACAACCGTAGAAGTGACGCGCGACAGAAAGTAATAATAATTATGTTACAATGATGTACTGTGACAACGACCGGTTCTTCGTTTACACCAAGAACAATTAATTATTATCGAGAATAATCGAAAGAGTTGAGAAGAAGAAACAAAAAAATAATTGCACCACAAGCTACAAACTTCTTCTTTGATATTTGAGTAACATCACATACGTAGAGATTGTGGAATGTGGAGCGGCAAGTTCGTTCACAGTGAGCGAAACGTTACGAACACAAATGAAATTATCGAAGACTGAGTTTTCGGTAGAAACAGCCAGATACGCGGACATCTCAAACAGTTACCGGCAATAGTCAGTTATCATGATGCAGTAGCGACAGTAACAACGATGCTAATCGTTGCGGAGCATCGTCGTTACTACGGCTATCGTCAGTCATCATCATCATAACCGTCCATCCTTTCATCGTTACCACCGTTGTCAGCACAAGAAGCCAATTGCATTGACGAACATAGAAAAGGTTACACGAAGAAGAATACACGAAGACAGAGAGCAGAGGAACAGATAGTCACACAACAGATAGCCACGACGGAAGGACAGCAGGTAAACACATGAACACTGTCACTGTCAGGGTAACATTAGGGTGAATGAACATAGCGATCGAATGGTGTCGACGACAGTGTCCCGATGCACATAGATATTTCTGTACTAGCTGTTTCATGTTTATGTTCGAATCACATCATCATCGCACCGAGCACGAACGCGATACCCGATGTCGATATGCGTGGGTCGACAAGCAAACAGGAAGAACGTCATGAACGAACGTCAAAGGGAGACAGACAGATAGATACATAGAGAAAGAGAGAGAGAGAGAGAGAGAGAGAGAGAGAGAGAGTGTGTTAGAGAGAGAGAGAGAGAGAGAGAGAAAGAGTGAAGGAGATAGAATACATCATATGTATACGGAAGAAGGACACGAGACACACTGAGGGAGCGACAGAGGCAGAAAGAGATCGTTGATCGTCTACCGAGGCCGTCGGACGATCCCTCGGCTACGTCACTAAGGGTACGTCGGTGCTTGTTTCCGCCTTTGGTTGCCTGCAGGTGACACGATATAAGCAAGATGGCTGCGGCTCGTGCCGCACCTGCTCGGGACGCTGGTACCAGGGGTCCACGACTACCGCCACTGCTGGGCCTCCTGGTAAATGCACAGCTGAGGGGCCCAGCACTGCTACTCCGTTGGCTGGATCGCGAGGACGGTCGCCCGTGCAGCGTCAGTGGAATGCCTGCGAAATTATTTTCGAGAAGTTATTTCCGTATGGAAATACGTGGAATTCGCACGACAAAATCGTAACTACTTCAGCTCTTAAGCCTTCTTCCTGTTCTCGGATGTGACGAACGTTCTCCGTATGACCTTTCGAATGAGATCTCTCGTAAGCCGATGTCATCCGGCTGAGGTTTTAGGCGAGATATTTTCGATGCCGTCTGTCACTGTGACGAGATATTGCACGTATATCGATAGGATAGGATATCGTTTAGTCTCGTCCTTCTGATGACAGATAGCATGTAATAAAATTTCGGAAGATCGTATCTAATTAAGAGAATAAATGCGAAGAGAAGCTCGTTGAGATTTCTCTGGTTCTGGGAGGTTTTTCTGGTGATATCTTTTTAACTTCTCGTCGTTGGAAGATTATTCTTCTAGAAAACTAAAAAAAAAAAAATATTGATTCTTTCATTATGCAGATTATTTTACAAATGACGAAGAAAGTATATTTAATTTCCCGTGCGCAGCTTTATATGTTTTTTGGGAATGTATAATTTTATGCATTCTATCATTTCGTGGCGTATACATTATCGGTACGATTTTCAAATATAGCCCGACGCGTGACGTCGTGAGCAATGAAGTAAAATGAGAATAGATGCCTTCGAAATATAGTGCCTTGCACCTTTTCAATATAGAGATACGCTTTATTGATTTTGTAGGTGCAGAAGTAGGTTTTACACGAAAAGGGAGAATTGCTGTAAAACGAAAGTTAAAGCTCAATGTGTACGTTTGATGCACGGATATAGTAAATGGTGCAGGAAAATTATAGGGAAATTATGCAAGTTAAGAACGCAGTATTTTATTCCTATTTTGTTTGTAAAAAACGAGAACGTAGTATAAAATGTAACACATCATTGCTGTATTTGGTTAAATTAAATTGTTAGTTTCAGCAAATCATAACATTGACCAAAAATTAAGTAAAGCGGGCTGGGTATTGTTAAGTATTCGACCCGATACGTACGCTCCGCACGTTAGAAACTTCATTTCCTTATATTTTAAAAAACGAGAATCACATCCCTTTTTTTAGGAGTGTCTTCAATTTTACTTGTAGTAAAAAAATCGCTTTCTGCGTTGATATAATTGGTGCCATCTCAAGATTAATATTTTCCCACAACTGTAATATATTCGACAAGGTCCCAAAGTTTCTAAAGATATTAACAGGTCATTACTTACCCGTATCGCTGGAAAACAGCATGGATGGCGCATGGTTGGCATTGGCGTAATGCCGCGGCCTTGAATACCTCGCCCGGCTAAATAGTTTGAGCACGAAGCATATCATCGCCGTGAAGATGGCTATCCCCGATGCTATGCAGAGTAGGGTTGGGAGGTCCGTAGTTATCAGCACCAGATCTATCGCAAGAGATTACTACGAATTAGAAGGACGCGGCTCGATAACCCGTTGCGAATCAATATCGGAATAAATTTCCTCAAGGTTCGGCTAGTGACGAACGAGGTCACTTTATTTTAATACCCACAGTAATCAATCAGGCGCATTGTCCGCGAGTGTCAGAATTAATTGTCGCGCTTCTATACGAAAGAACATATTTGATTAATAATCTGACAGCGATGGGTGAAACTTTTAATCGGCAGTTGAGCCAGCAAGCGATTCGTGTGTAACATTCTTGAAAAAATATGTTTAATATGTTTAAGACGACGCACCTTCCGCGCAGAAAACCTTCTTGTTAGGCCTAGAGAGAGCAACTCTGTGATATCCATCTTCGCAATCGCACACTGCATTATGCTGAACTTGGGTGCACGTCGAATGTTGATCCGCGAAAGTGCACGTCGCACGATAGAAGCACTGTTCTCCGAGTCTTTTGGCTGAAAGTAGAGATCGATCGTTCGAAACGACCACGCTCATTGAGGAACATAATTTTTTATTCAATAGAAAGTTGATCAAGGTCGTGCGTTTAAGTGATAGGCTTAATCTTTTCTGAGGTCATCGATAGAACTTTACTCAATCATCGAATTCCGTGTCTATATTCGTCCCAGCAGATTGCTAATTCATCGCTTTTACATTGATTTTTATTCCATTTCTAATGCAAATCCCAAAAACGTGGCCTCGCACGTGCCTGATTGAAAGATAATATTTCCCTTTGGCTATTATTTCACTCATGAATACAAATTTCTCACGTGTACAAAAGATATCTCAAATCTTTCAGAGATAAGCTGAATGATTTACGAATTATTCAAAGTTTTTTCCGTCTTTTCGTATTGATTCAACCACATTTGCCATTTGATACGATCTAAGCATGTTCATAAGCTACTAACATTGAGATTTGCGAGATATATTTACGGTTTTGCTTGTACGTACACGATAATCGGGCATGCTTCACGTTCGACGCATAAAACGAACATGCGGCACAGAGCCTTTTCACACCATCGCAGATCGGAAAATTCATTCAGACCATCAGAAGCGCGCGAACATTTATTTTCACCGACCGTTACCATGGAAGTTATGATATCGGAACGACCTACTTGCGCGAGGGTTACTAGTCACTAGCTCCTACGTACGTTTGGCACATCCCTTGGTAGGCCCGAGACGAACGGGGTAGAACTTTTCGCACTCGCAAAAGCCAGTGATTTCATCACAGAACACGTGCTGTAACTCGGGATTGCACATGAAATCGCAAGGCGAGCCCAGGTACCGCCCCTTCTCTGTAAGAAAAGAAAAGAAAAAATTATCTTAACATATTCCAACTTCTTTCCCTCGACTCGTTTCATAAAAGAAGTTTTTATAGAAGGAGTCGCGAACTAGAAAAAATTTATATTTTTTAGGGAAACATAAATTGGAGAAATAACTGATACATTCTCTGTAAATTATCTAAGTCGGTAAATTATCAGTTATCAGATAATCCGTAATTAACGAACATTTTATTATGTTTATGAGAATTTATAGATTATAAGTTATTCAAACGACGCGCGTAATATTTGACATTGCATAATTTATAAATGTATAATCGGGATTGATCTTTTCAAGATATAAACTATTTTACAAATTTAATTAATTTGCGCTATCCGGGAACGATTACTAATTGGAATCGAGACAGCTTTCATGGTTAATTTGTTATTCAATCTGTGGCGAATCGATATTAATACTTACAATAATAAGATATTGTTTTTCATATATTTATGTGTGGAAAATTCTGAATGTTCAAAATTTGTATCCAAAATTTGTCTCTGCATTAATGTACAAACATATGTTCTCCATTGACATGTACAAAAAGGTTGATAAACTTTATGCATTTTTTTTATTAATGACGCGCGCGACAAGAGAATTATACTTGCTACATTATTGTTATAGCATTTCGATAATATTGATTCAACGAAATATGCTATCGAAACGACACGAAACACGTATTAATCCGATTGTGAAATTTAGCTACAATGAACCGACAGTGTGCCAATCTATTCGCTATGAGTTCACCCTCATAGCATTGTAACTGTATCGCTACTACGTCCTTTGTTCCTTTCCATTAGTGAGCCAAGCGATAGTCACTAACTCCCTTGGCACGCTTTCAAATTGCAGTTGCGACAATGTGTCGGCCGTTATAAACTTTTCTAATTAAACATCTCTCAAATTGTTTATAGTAATGCGTTCTTCGAAATTCTTGAATTCAATGCTTGAATTCAATCCTTGAATCCTTGAAATCGATTTTTTCGTTAGTGCTGACAAACGCATTGATGTGTTGCGAACAAACGCATCGCGAAAATTCTTTGTAGATCTCCCGTGTTTACCGCTCTCTCTCTCTCTCTCTCTCTCTCTCTCTCTCTCTCTCTCTCTCTCTCTCTCTCTCTCACTCTCTCTCTCTCTCTCTCTCTTTCTCTCTCTCTCTCTCTCTCTCTCTCTCTCTCTCTCTCTCTCTCTCTCTCTGTGCAATACGTTACTATTATTTTTATATTTTTACTTTAATGATATTTATATCTCGTGTAAATATCTTTATTTATCAATCGACCACGACGCGCTTCTCATCGGGCTGTATTATTTGGCTCGACACATAAACCGCTTGTTTAATGACATTGACAGTCGCGGAGTATAAATGTTCCGCGTTATTTAACGGCGCCGCGGACGCGTATGCACAAATGCGGAGATTTCAATATTACAGAACTCATTGTCCGACGGATAATAGTGTCCACGCGACATAGTTTACATCGAGTCGTGACGAGTGTCGTACTCTGCTCACAATTTCGCGCTCTGCTCTTAGAAATGTAGCCTCGCGGGTGAATTTCTTTGCCAGGCCGTGTTTAATTTCACGATAGGAGTTCATTGCACGCATACGTGTTACGGCCCCTTTGCGTGCGTTCTATCGTTTGCCCATCGAGCGAAAACTTAGATTAGCGTGATTTTTAAAGAGTTTAATGCGAGTTTTTAATAATGGCCGATGGATCGGTATAACCTTATTAAGAATAGCGTCGAGAAAAATTGTGCTCGAACCGTTAACATTATTTTCATTTATTTTGATACATAAATTCTGATTGTGAAAAGTCGTGAAAAGTTTCGAAAACATGTTACACAAATTCGAAGAGATATTTACTTCTGTGCGTGATATTTAAATAGATTTATATCATCTATTCGTCAACATATTGACATCGTATAAAATAATTCGGCCGTAATCATCTGTATTTCTTAATTCAACAATTAAACCATTTCGGAATGCATCCCTAGAGGGAAGAAGGAGAGAAAGACGGAGAGGGAAAGGAAGTTTTAAAAGAAGTTTAAAACATCGTCCTCGTTACATATTAATTTCATGTCACAGTCAATTAAATGTTAATTAAATGTTAATTAAACAGTTAATTAAATGTTTAAGCTTTGCTTTTTGTATTATTTAGTTTGTTCCATCCGTCTGCTTTTACTATACTGAAAAAGTGCACACGGTTTATGAATGAAAAAGCAATAAATGTACGTGAATGATACACTATCCTTTCTCTTAGTGATTATTTTCGTATGAAACGTCCTCTTTTGAAAAAAAGCAGCACAGCGTACGATGTGTGTATTTCGCACACGCGGACCCGCAAAATGAAGAGCTCGCAGCATCCATTAAAATCAATACTGGCTTGGCGTGCTTGGCGCGAAAATCAAGAAGAAACCGGGTTTCCTTCCCGGTTAAATCAATGCGTGCGCTAAACCACTCACTAGAGACACTTTCCATTTGTCCGGAATGCAAAAACGGCGTTACGTGTCTTGCAGTAAATCGCGATAAAGCACGAATAAAGGAATATAAAAAAATAAGCTGAGATACAGATACGAATGAAGCTAAAAAATATTATGGAAGATGAAAAGAATATGCGATACGATAGTTTAGTGTTTGATAAGTACTTGGAATCTATTTCAGGCTTTTTTCATGAAATTTGAAGTGACAATTAGGATGGATGTTTTTACGTCTCGTAACGTTTTTACGTTGCGAGAAGAATGTTATTTTTGAAGAATCTTTATTTCCGCAAATTATCATAATTTACTTAAGTAATTATCATATTTGCTTTTATCAAGGCACAATTTTTTAAAATTTCATTAGAAATTATTAAATTTTTATAGCCAGTAATATTATTTTTAAAGACATATTTTATGCTCTTGAGTTGATTTAAAAAACGTCGCACATCGCGTTTTTCTTATCAAGCTGTTAAAATTGTCGGCCTTATTGTACCAATATTTTGTTGCATTGTTGAACATACAATCAATAAGTATCACATTTTCAAGAATTTTCGGGATCGAGGTTGCTTCTATTAAGCGGATGAACATTCTCGAGAAAAGTCTGCGCGTTGTGGAGCAGGCGCGAGTAAGGCGAGGTCGGTAAAGGATAACCTTGAGATACATCACCTTCGATCGTTATTGTCTTACATAAAAGTGGAGTATCATTTCCTGAACTTATTCCGATTGCAAATAAAACAGAACTCTTATATTAGTTTCTAATCGAGCAAACTTTTGCGAATGATGCTTATGATACTCGTCATTTTATTCTCATTTTTATCAAGTCTACCATTTTTCTCTATTTGTCTTAAACTTTTGTGTAATCTTCATTATTTGTCGTCTTATTTGCATCTTTCCGAAGGAGTCACAAATGATTCTTTTTATGGTAATTTTATTACTTGTGGAACAAAGTTTTTCTAATTAAGAGTTTAGTATTCCTTTCTTTTTAATAAGTACATACATATAATTAATTTTTTAATGAAATGCGCATTTGTAATTATAGTTTATCATTGAGTTAAATCAGACGATTTCATTTTTTATTTAATGAGATTGTGCACAAACGATACGTTTTATCTTGAAAAATTCAGGACAAAGACATCTGAGAAATTGAAATCTTCATAATTCTCTCTGTACTTTGTACTGCAATTTCTTTAACAAGCGGTGTTGTTTATGATAACACTTCTTTCTGTTATTATTAAAAATCTTGCTATTAAATCCAAATTATTCTCTTGCGGTATATCTCATTCGTGTTTCACAAACATCATATGACAATGTAAAAGTAAGAAACAGCTTATTTCGAGTTTATTCCAATGTCCTAAAATCATCGGCGAACAATTTATTCGCCGACAATTCGCCGTTATTCGCGAACAATTCTCTTCTTACTTTCACATCGCTTTCATATCTCGGTGCTTCACGATCGAGCTTACAAGTTAGACAATGACGATGACGATGAAATTTATTTTCTTTCTTTCTTCACTCGTTCTTTAAAATGATTTACTCGCTGACGATTTCTATTCCTCTCAAGGTCTTTAAACACCTTCACCAATATCACCTAGGTAACAAATCATCATCACAATGCTACCATCGAGTCGTCCTACGCAGGTCCTTTCGTCAAATGCTCCATCAGGACTCCGATAGTCGACGGCAACTTCACTTCGGATGTTAGGATTTTCAACCACTAAAACTACACGCCTCTCAACTATTCAGACGAAAATCCTCGAAACGATTTCTAGCATCATCAACCACCAACTTTGAGAACTCGTCGTTGAAGTGGGCATTTCGTTAAATATCAGCAGCATTGCTGATCTCACTCCCGGTAGCCGGTGCACTTACTATCTCATTCGTCGTCATCGTATCAATCCGCCCGTGACACTCACCCGCGGTAATATTTGTCTCGAGATAGTCCTCGTCGTCGCCATTGGTGGGAATCTGACCGTCGTCGTAAACGTCGACGTCGTTGTCGAGGGAGCTGGACCCGTGCACCGCGTCATCACCTCCTGGCCGTTCTCGGGTTCGGCGTACCTGCCGCGTGTCGCAGGTGCAGGCAGGTATCAAGAAAACAAGGCAGGTCAGCAGGAGCCAACAGCAGCAGCAGCAGGTCAGTCTCAGGGCGGAGGGAAATGCGCTCATCGCCCCCGCGGCGCGAGTCAACCCCCGAAACCGACCACCGACGGCGCATCGACATCCTTCCCCGTCGCCTGCTCCCCCCCCTCCCGCCCCTCCTCCCGCCGGCGCACCCTCTCGCCCTCGATGGCCCAGAGAAGCGCCTTATGTCGCGTACGCCACGTTCGTGTGTGTATTTTCTTGTCTACTTCCGTGGTAACGGCGGCGACAGCGATCGACGACGTACACGGGGTGCACCCCGGGGATACGCGAGCGGCCGACGCCGCGCGAGGCTTAACCTCCGCGTGTTCGCAACCCCGAGCACTCTCTCTCGAGCAAGAGATGCGATACGGGCCCGCACGAAACCGCGCCGTCTCGTTCACTGACGCCGCGGATCCTCGGCAGAGCGACGGGGTTGCAGCTGCGCGTCGCGACGCTTCGGCTCGTCTCACCTCGCCTCGCCTTGCCTCACCGCGTCGATCGCGAACAGGAGTTAGTCTCCGTGAGTCTCTCTCTCTCCGTAGGACGGAGTGGGCGAATGCATGTATGTGCATTGGGGCTGTTGGGCTGACACGCGACGGTCCCTTTCCTTCGCAGAGACTTTCCAAGCCTCGACTCGGAGAGAATCGGGGGAAGACTCTCCCTACCCTGACCAGAGAGTTCACCGGCACTCGCTGAACGAGCGTGCCGAATTGCAGGGTGTTGAATTGCGCCAGTGCGCCGTGATCGATTCACGGGGGGGAGGGATGAAAATAAGGCACCCGGCCGGACCCGAACCTTCAGCGCCTGGAGTCAGGTTTTATCGCGCGGAATGACGTTCGCTCCCTTATCATCGGCGGACATCTGCGGCGACGAGAGTGCAACTGGGGCAGCAATTATCTGAACGGGGTTGACCGATATATCGTGGCCCGTACACGCCGACGGTTACTTCGATTACGACGATGTTTCGTTATCGTTGAACGGTGCTGAGCAGCTTCCATTCGCAGCGTCGTGTCTCATATTAGACTTATCTACGCGACAGTCTATTTATAGCAGGCTCTAACAATATTGACGAGATGCATCGCGGAAGATCGCAATTACGTCCGCGTCGCTGGTAAATCAGTCAGCCCGAAAGTCGTGGCGAGGACCACTTTAACAGTCTCTCTCCTTGCCTCTTTATCTTTACGCAATATTTGAATTTATTACTGTTGTGAGGGAATATCTTGATATATTTGCTTAGAAAAATAATCATTTTCTTAGAATCGCGCTTGACAATGTCGCTGGTAATAGCAACGATTGCTTGAGAATATGTATTAATCTTTCAGAAAATGCTGCAGAAATGCGTAACCAATAAAGTACAATCTAATTTATCGCTAGTTCGTTTACAACGACTATCTTTACGTTGATGTTCTTCAGATACAGGTAGGATTTTCGCAGGGTGAAGATTCGGTAGTGGGAGTATCTCGCATTAAATGGACGGTTGAATTACCTGCAGAAACAAATATTTCATAATTATAATATCACGGTTAGTATATGTCATATGAGAAAATATTAATTATGGTTGGACTTTCTCATCTTCATAACGTTATCTACGTTAATCTACGTTAACCTAACGTTATCGTAATGAACGAGTAAATCGCGATCAATTGCGATTAAGTGACAAGAGAGCTGTGAAGGTATCTTTTTTTTATTGTTATCATTCATCTTATTTGTCTCATGATTTATTCCATATGTGTAGGCAGTAAGGCATCGTGCTTACCTTTCAATGATTACATTTTTAGAAGTTTTACTCGATACATTTAGCTCTCAGAAGCTACATTATTGTCGACGTATTTAGAAATATTACCTGCAATCAGTTGATCTCTACGATGCTTGCGATATATTAAGTACACCGTCGTTGTCAGACCTATCACGATTACAGCAACAACAGGAACAACAGACCAAGTTATCCTGATGCCGTAAGACGAAGCGTTGTAACAAGGCAATTCTAAAAAAAAAAAATGAAATATGGAGGAAACAAGTCTGACAGATTCTCACACCGTCGTATTCTCACAACATTATGTGCTAAATCGTTTTCTATCTTTAATATTAACTCTGCGAACTTTGCGAAAAGTTCTGCAGCTTTGCGTTAAATCCAATTTTCCACTCGGCAGTTTCATACTTCTCTCCTGAGTTTTCATTTTCATCGCAATAATAGATAGAAAGCTGCTATTCTTATTTAATTCGCGGCGAATCGAAATTCTGATGTTTCACGAACGACTCTTATTACGACTAGAAATTTTTGTCATTGTAGGTAAATAAAAACGATATCTTCTTGAAAATGAGTACGCAAGTACCTGTGCTAAGTAAGCAACTGACAGCAGGAGTCGCAGCGTCGGCTTCGTCAGAATATATCATATAACAGAGCGATATGTTACTAAGAAAGCTATCGCACTGATAGCAGGACAACGCATCCGCGAGCGTCTGCATAGTTGCGCTATCCGTGCTGTTGATGATCGTGATCCTGCAAATAGCATTAGCGCGTCATCATCAATCTCGCTCGAAATTGTGCAGCGAATATAATTTCGCGGAAGCGCGCAAACGCGGATGCCCAAAGCAGGCGAGAATACTTGCCTGTTGATATCGCTACGGTTGAGACTCATCGTTACAACGCACACGGTCGGTTCTTCGCAGTCCCAGCCCCTCCATCCGACGTTGCATTTGCAATTGTACTCATCTTCAATAACGCATTCACCGTGTCCGCTGCAATTGCGAGTACACGCGGGAATGCACTCTGCTACGAAGTCGTAGCCGGTGTTCTCCACAAAGTCATCGTGACACACGCAATGATCCGGCGCGACGCAGTCGCCGTTCTCGCAGCCGCGCTCGCAAATTGGCTCGCAGCCGCTGCCGTTTCGCGACTCGAAGCCGCTATCGCACGTGCAATGATTCGGCTCTGTGCACGTGCCGTTAGCGCAGTCCTCAGCGCAAAGGGCCGCACAGAGACCGTTCGTGTCCTTCGCGTAACCGTCCTTGCAGGTGCAGACGTTGGGTGCGGCGCATACTTCGTTCGCTCCGCAGCGAGGGTGGCAGTCTGGCTTACAAATGCGCGATGTGCTGTTGTCGAGCGAAAGGAATTGCTGATGAGACTCGACCCAAAGCGGATAATATCCTTTGGTGCAAGTGCATACGTTTGGAGCGGTGCATTCGCCATTGATACACTCGAACTCGCAAACTGGCTGGCAGATGGGACGAAAGTCTGCCGTAGAATTGTCCGATGTCTGATATCGGAGTACATAGTACACGGTGATTTTGGCACATAGCAATTAATAATATTTATCTTGTAACTTGTAATTTGTAATATTTACTTAGTAATTCGTTATACTCACACTGGAGGCGTTTGAAGGGATCGCGCGATATCCCTTGAAGCAGGTACAGTTATTGGGCGATGTACACTCTCCGTTCGGCCCGCAAGGGATCTCGCAACGCGGTTTGCATATTGTTTCCGTGCTGTTGTCATAAACAAAGCCCTGGTCGCAGGTGCACACTCCGGGCGCGGTGCACGTACCGTGGTTGCAATTGAATTGGCAGATCGGCTCGCAGATGTAATTGGAGTCGGCGACAAGACCGTAGCCGTCGTTGCAACTGCAGGTCTCAGGTGCCACGCAGATCCCCATGTTGCAGGGCTCGCTGCAGACCGGTTCGCAGACGCTAGCATTCACCGTAGCCTTGTAACCGTAATTGCAGGTGCAAACTTCCGGCGCCGTGCACGTGCCAGAAACGCAACCCTCGCTGCACTTTGGCGAGCAGGTGAAGTTCGGATCGAACTGGTCCTTCTCGTAGCCTTCCGTGCATTTGCAGACGTTAGGCGCTACGCAGCGACCGTTTGTGCACTCGAAGTCGCAGATAGGCTCGCATTTGTACGGAAGGTCGTCGCTTGCTTTTCTGTAGCCTGGGTGGCACGAACATACGTGTGGCTCGGAGCAAAATCCGTAGTTTCTTTCGCACTCTTTGTCGCAGATAGGGAGACACGTAATCCCGTCCGAGCTCATCCAATAGCCCTTGTTGCATTCGCAAATATCAGGTTCGACGCATGTGCCCTTAACGCAACCATTCGCGCATACCGGTTGGCACTTTGTACCGTTTGTGCCTTCCGCGGTCTGATAGCCCACATTGCACATGCACGTGTTTGGAGCTACGCACACCGCCTTCTCGCAAGGTGTCGCACAGTACGGCTTGCAGAGTGAGCCGACTTTTCGATAACCCTTGCAGCAATTGCGTTCTGTTGTGTGTATGGTATGATACTGAAAATAAAATTCACGAGACGGCGAATCGTACACCATTCTATGAGATATCGAATGGTTTTCAGGTCGAATAATTGATCAACCTGATAACGACGAGAAAAGCATGACAGTAGCATATAAAAGTTTGACTACTTTGGGCTATGAAAAAATGTTCTCCACTTTATATTTCTATTTTCTACTTCTCACTGCGTTATATCAAAATATTATTACCTCTAGTCTGTAATTCTGACGAGTCTTGATTCTATAAAAGAACCATGATTTCGCTCTATAAGTTTCTGTATAAGGAACGTATTGCGATATCAGGCGACTACAACAGAAAAGGAATTGACAAAGAATTCTTTAACTTCTTCTCTTAAATTCCCATTATTGTTAATTAATTATTATTGAATGAATAATTTAATATAAAAAATAAATATATATTTTTCTTCTATTCTGTCTGGAGAATATTATAATAAATATGATAATACCTGACTACTACAGTGCATACTCCTTCTTCGGTAGTATGTAGCATTGGATCGTGTAATAAATAACTCGGGGCATATTCTTTTAGATAGCTTGAGGCACAGACTTCACTACGTGACCACTTTCCCACTTCCAGTAGCAATACTCCGGTAGCTAGAATAATTGTCAAACTTCTGAATAACTTCATTATTTCTAGCTTTTCCACGGTGTCGACATGTGCTCTGTAATATTTAGACTGGTCATTACAGTGCGTTCTTCCCCAGTGATTTATCTCCTTTATCTCTTGCTCTGTACCAGCGTGTATTATGTTGATGTGCATGAGGCAGGATGTGCTGTGCTATCAGTTATAGCTGAAAAGCTGTACACATACTAATGCCGCAAATAAAAATTATTATTAAAAGTACCAATGCCAAAGGCTGAACTGAGCTAAAATTTCGGTTCAGTTCTTTTAACAGTTCAACAAGATACTTAATAACGATTTCAAGTTCGGTCCTTTAAAAATTGTCTTTTGATTAAATTGTACGAGCATACACGCGCGCGCGCGTGTATGCACGCGCGCGTACGGATACATGTATCTCATTCAGGGAACTCGACAAGCAGTGACGTAACGTTTGTGTTTAGATATCAAATTAAATAGGAAAGTTCTCTATTACACTACTCAAAAAAATTATGGCATAGAAAAATATGCGCTGAATATTGCTCAACTTTGAACAATGATTACTCAGCGACAAATGGTCGTAAGACGATGATCTCCTTTTTAAATTAAAGGTTGAAGTCTCAACTTTGACATGCTTTCGGTTGGTTTTAGATCCAATTCATTTCTATAGCGTGCGATCCCATAATTCAATGGCATGTTTTTGATTTAAAAATTTTAAAACTTTGACAAAACGCACAGGCTTGGGTAATTTTTTTTCGAAAATTCTATTTGCGGGAAATGAAAGTTTGATTCTTTCCCTTTAATTAAAAAAAAAAAAATTCAAGTCTCTACGATTTTTTTTCTCGATTTTGCAGCGTTTTAAAGAAACCTTTACATTTTCGTTACTGAAAATAGGGTTTGCGTAGCTATGTTCAATAATCTTTGGTATTGGCACACTGCCGACTCCGGGGAATCTTCTCGTGGAAGTCATCTGTTGTCTTCCCTGTCTCTCTCGTGGTTGTAAGTTACCCGTTTCCCAGAAATGTAACCAAATTCGCGAAACCGCGGATTGGTTAATACCGCGAGTCGCCTCGTCACGTACCTTTGCAAGAAGCCTTCGCTCATAAGCGCAATAATTAATGCTCGTTGAGCCTGCGACAATGGATGCATGTTTCTTTATCATAAAACATTGACCATGAACTACCTTGTTTTATATTTAATGCAAAAATTCGGTATCCCATTAGGTAATGCCAAAGTTGACAGTGATTTCCTACAAATCCTACCTTCAATAACGAAAATGTACGGGCTTCTTTAAAATCCTGTAAATGTCGCGAAAAAAAAATCGTAGAGACTTGAATTTTTTTTTAATGATAGGGGAAGAATCAAACTTTCATTCTCCGCAAATGAAAATCTCGAAAAAAAATTACCCAAGCCTGTGCGTTTTGTCAAAGTTGCAAATTTTAAATAAAAAATGTCATTGAATTCTAAGACAGCACGCTGTAGGAATGAATTGGATCTAAAATCAACCGAAAGCATGTTAAAGTTGAGACTTCAACCTTTAATTTAAAAAAAAAATCATCATCTTACAACCATCTGTCACTGAGTAATCATGGTTCAAAGTTGAGAAATTTTCAGCGCAAATTTTTTTATGCCATAATTTTTTTGAGTAGTGTATTTTGCAAATCTCTCAATAGTTATTAAAGAATTAATTCAACAATATTGGTGAATGAGTGCATGGGAAGCAATAAGAGTTCTGCAAATAAGCTCTCGTCCAAGTTTTATAAATATTTTTTTATGCTTCCCTGCAACTTGGAAATTTTACAATTAACGGTAAATGATAAAAATTTAAGGTATTTAAATGGTTAACAATAATTTATTAAAGATATCGCAATAAGCATACTACAATGCATGTTTATAACATTATTAATTAATAAGTTGAATTAATGATAAGCTAACTTGTGCATTTCCATTAAATTAATTAATTAATTAATTACCGAGCAATTGTTTTTGCATCAGTTGCCTGAAATTATTGTAGAAAGTTGAAGATTCCACGTGTTATTATTCCGTGGGGAGCACGATCAATTTCAATTAGTCTTCTTCTTCAATTAGTCCTTGCATCGAGGTATTTTGAATATTTCTTTCAGCTGTTAATTTATTAATTATATTTGTTTTATCACTCGTATGCCATATGTAAAATTGCATTTCTTTAATATCCAGCGAAAATAATACCTAAATAGTTTAGTTGTCCATTTCGATATTTCCGCAGTAAAATATATGTTGCTGTAGTTGCAATTAGAATTAATATTCCAACACTTATTGTAATACCACTTAGCTTGATCATTTCTTTTTGATCCTCGTATTTGCTCCGCAATTGAAGACATTCTGAGAAAAGTGAAAAAAAGAAAACTTTCATTTGTCACGGGTATGGTATACAGTTAATTTTGATTATAAATAATTACATATATAGAATATTCGAAAATTACAGTGTTTTATAAATTTTCTTTTTGCTATTTGTGGTTGTAAAAATTGTGTCCTAGCAAGTAGTTCTAGCAAAATTATAGTTTTAGTAAATTCAACATAGAAGAGTGCATGTAATATTTTAGAAAGTAAAATTGTACTTTTTATAAATTTATTTAACAAACCTCCATCTATTAAACAACCGATTCGTATGGCATTCTTCGTATCATCGATGTGTGTCTTAAAGCACAAAGTCTCATTGTTTAATTTATTAATGCATTCCGGACATGCTGGGTTATTCGTGAAAACATGTTCAATCGTGGCGTTGTATTTCTCGATAATTTTCAATCTGCAAGCATAACGAATAACTCAAAAGTGATTTATATACGAATCATTTTAAATCTTAAGCGTCACAATGATTTTTGTCTCGATCAACGAGATGCCGCTTTCTTTTTCTTTCATATAATACATTGATTTAATACGTATTTATACTAAACATCTCGTTGCGCGTACTGATGCTCAAACTTACTAGTCACTATTTTTCTCTCCCTTTTTTTTTTTGAGAGATATTCTGGTTCCTGTATACTTTCGTATACTTACGTGTCAATGCGATTATCGTCGTTGTTTAAAATTAAGACGCACACATCCGGTTGATCGCAATGCATTCCGGTCCATCCGTAATTGCACTCGCAGCCTCTGCTACCGATGTTGCACTCGCTATGAGTGCCGCAGATATTCTCGCACGCATACACACAGGTGTCATTGATCTTCAGGAAATCAGCGTTACACCGACAATCATTCGGCGCCACGCATTCACCGTTATCGCAGCCTTCGCAACTCGGTATACATTTCTTTCTGTTTCCTGGCTCGTCCTCAGGGACGGTCAGTGATCTCTCGGTTCCGCCGTCCGGTTGTTCTAAGATGAATCCGTCGTCGCATTCACAGACTTCAGGCGCGACGCAGGTGCCGTTGTTGCACATTGTGCAGACGGGCTTGCATCCAGTGTTACTTATATTCTCGTAACCTGGCGAGCATTGGCACACATTTGGCGCTACGCACGTTCCGTTGGTGCAAGGGATGTTGCAGATCGGCTTGCATCTTAATTCTTTATATCGCAGGCTGAGAAATTCGGAAGGTTGGTAACTCGGGTGATAGTTCGTGTTGCAAGCGCATATGTTGGGGTGCAAGCAGAATGTATTCTCTACGCAGGCCGGCTTGCAGACAGGTTCGCATGTGTTCGTGTTGTTCTTGGACAGTCGGTAGCCTTCGTTACAGATGCACACATTGGGCTTGGAGCACTGGCCGTTTTCGCAAGGCGGGTTGCAAATTGGCTCGCAGAAATCCTTGTTCAATTCTTTCCTTCTTACGCTATCGATAAACCCATGTCCGTACCTGCGAGTATATTTGTTTCGGTATGCTACAACGTCCATTGACATAACGAGCGGCTTTGCAGAAAGGCACATGTAACATACCAAGGGAACTTAATACGATAGCCCTCGTAGCACACGCACTTCCCTTCCTTGCAGTAGCTATTTACGCATGGCGGATCGCAAACTCGCTCGCACATTAAATCTGATGTACTCTGCAAAAGCGACTTATCATCGCGAATTACGCACGTTAGAATTCTTCGTTTTTACCTGATATTTATCTGACGCAAGGACTCAATGTTGTCGCGCTAATACAAATAATGATCTACTCGACAGATTATAATGAGACTGCAAGTAATTGGACTTTGGCATCAAAAGGGATTAATGTGAGATTAATGTATAATCTTGTAGATTTAATAGCTCGCGTCGGATTACTCACGTTACTATCGTCTGCTTTGTTTTGCGTACTATTAACAGCTTGATATCCTGGTAAACACTTGCATCGGTTCGGTGTCGCGCAGTAACTGAATCTGTTACTGCAGGCAGGCTCGCAGTATGGTTCGCAAAACATGTTCCTTTTGTCATAAAGGCTACGATATCCTTCGTTGCATATGCAAGTGTCTGGTGCGATGCATCTCCCGTTGTAACAAGTTTTCGAGCAGATCGGCTTGCAAATATAGCTCGAGTCGTCCAGTAATCCGTAGCCCTCAAAACACTTGCATTTCTCAGGGGCCACGCAGGCACCCATGACGCAACCTTGGCTGCAAATCGGCTCGCAAACGTCCGACTTCTGTAGCGAGTAGCCGTTTTGGCAAGTGCACACGTTGGGTGCTGTGCACGTGCCACCATACACAATACAATCTTTGTCGCACTTGGGTTTGCAGACGAATAAATTATCTAGATCGAGCTCGTAGCCTTCATTGCAAGCGCAGATGTTGGGGGCTTTGCACACGCTGTTTATGCACTTGTTCTTGCAAACAGGTTCGCAGCTCTAACGTACAAAAGGAAGTGTAAATGATAATTTCAATTGAATATAATATAATTACCGATTGAGCGAAATAAAGTGCGCCAGCTGTACGCAGTCCGATAATCTGATTAATATGCACTTTTAGATCCAGACACGAATCAAACGTGTATTTATTAATCAGATTTTCATAATACCAGTTACTTGCTAAATGTTTTGTTTTATCGAAACGTAACTGGAGCATCGCATCGGCACTCTTCTATCTTTTCTCATACTTCCGCTTCCTCCGATATTAATGTTTCTTTAATTAGTCACACGACAAAAATGTTATTCTCACGCTGTGCTCGCGCTTGACTCGAGACCGAGCGTAACTTTCAAAATGCCAAGCGCAGAGTAACGGCAAGGCTAATATTCATCCGCATTCGCGATACGACTACATTGTTTTGTTTACTCACCATAGATGCACTGTCATTGCCGGTAGTTATTTCGGCGTATCCTGACGGACAGGCACAGTGGTCGGGTTTGTCACAATATGATCCATTTTCGCACGGCGATTTGCAAATCGGTTTGCAGATGAAGTTGACGTAAGTGCTCAACGAATATCCATCGTCACACGTGCAAAACTCAGGTGCGGTGCATCTGCCATGCTGGCATGCAAAAGTGCACACAGGAACGCAGGCAAATTCGTAATCGCCGGAGCTTTGTTGGCTGTATCCGGAATCGCAACTGCACACGTTCACGCTTGTGCACGTGCCGTTTCCGCAAGCAGGCTTGCAAACTGGCTCGCACGCACCATTTATCTCTGTATAGCCAGGGCAACATACCTTTTCTGAGCGCCACGATGTGTAATACTTCAAACAGGAACAGGAGATATTTCGCATTAACAACATCAACGGAATTTATCTGCTCGATGACGCGCGGCTGTGAATTACGATACAAGAAGGATAGAAAGTCTGTCGTCAGGTCTTACCTCGGTTCTGTAATTCCATCGAACTTGGGTTCTGTGAAATATACTCGTTATTTCCTGGTTATACGTTTCCAAATACGGGACTCTGCGGCTGTTTCGGAAACTGCAAACGACGAGTAATTTTAGCAATATTAGCACCCTCGTGTACTTCACCGGTTACGTTGCACGGTTGGTAGATTTTGCTACTTCGATTTGTGGAACACGACGGAAATCTGTCTAATCGTCTTACCTGACGATTTTCTGACAAGACACAAGATTGCTCTCAAGGATCTCAGCCTCGGCAGTATGCACAATTTGTAGAATGCCGAAAGTACATATAACATACCAAAACTTCATAATTATTAAATATATAAAGTATGTTCGGATGAGGTCACGATAGCAGACGGACTGATCAATGCGCTGGTTCTAGCTGGTGTATCGCGTTGTCAACTGGCCTGTTTTCTTCCTTTTCTATTATAAGCACAGTTAGCTCATTATCGGGATTCAACAGGATGCTGGCTGCCGTTAGGCAGTAAGAGTAAAACTCATACAACCATTCTGTACTATATATGTACTTGTACTTTTACACGTACACTTGTTTGTCTAACAGTTCGCGCGCGTTTTCATCGACGAAGTCGAAAGTTAAGAGCGTATCAAACAGTCACGATTGTGTGCTCACAGACTTGTACTTGTGAATTCATTATGATTCAAATCGAATGACACGGTGTCCACGGGGTGTGCCCTGTGTGCGCATACAAGTACAAATATTCTCCAAGTTAGATAATGTTTATTTCGTAGGAAGTATGGCTGAGAGGTTATTAATTATTTTATGTTGCAGTCGTCGATTTACTTCGCGATTTACGAATGTAAAAGACGTAGCGAAACTATCGATAACAACTCACATATCTGCACGATACAAAGCAGAGAATGTCGTTTTATAATTTATTATCAGTTGGTGGTTATACAATTCACGTTGATTACAATGCCTGGAGTTATTCACGTCTCACGTCAAACTCAGCGCGATCGTGCTTGATGTACTCAGTATTGAATCTGAAGAGAGCAGCGTTTACTCCTGCGGGATGCACCTCTGACGGCCCTTGACCCCACTCTCCTTTCGATATCCGGGGTTGCAGAGGCAATAATTCGGCATAGTGCACACGCCGTTGAGGCAGCCGCCGGCGCACACTGGCAAGCACTTAGAGCGCCTGAAGTCTCTCACGTCGAGTATGTACCCGCGGTTGCAGGTGCACTCGTTCGGTCCGGTGCATTGGCCATTTAAACACGGGTATTGGCACATCGTGTCCGTGACTTCGCCCTCGTAGCGGACGCACCTACCGGTGTAGGGATCGTTGAAGAAGCCTGAATCGCAGACGCACGCGTTCGGTCCAGCACACCGGGCGTTCGGGCCGCAGTCGTGAGCGCAGTGCGCCGTAGAGTTGACGGACGGGTTGACGGGGACGCATCTACCGGTATCAGGCTCGTTGCTGTATCCTGGCGAGCAGGAGCAGCGGTTGTGTCCGACGCAAACGCCGTGCGCGCCGCAGCCATATCTGCAGTCTCCGGGTTGCGGCGACGGGCTGGTCGCGGGGACGCAACTGCTGGTGACGGGGTCCATCACGTATCCGTGACCGCACTGCGACTCGCCCGATATGGACTGTGTGCATCTACCGTTCTGGTCCAGCGTGTGGCCTGGTCTGCAGTTGCACTGACCCGGTGAGACGCATTGGCCGCCGAAGCAACCACGTGGGCAGTGAGGAATGCAGGACTCGCGGTCGTTGGGAGGATTTGTGTACCTGCGACAGACGTAGCACGTTGATGGTCATCAAGCGTGCGATTGCATCTCTGGACTCTGATCCGACTTAGCCAGTGAGAAATGTTTACGATACATCTCGATACTGTTTAATTTCCACACGAATGAGCAGGACGAGGAGAAACGAGATGAAAGGACACTCCGTCAGGAGAGCTGTGTATGTTGAAAGATGAGGCAGCAACTACGTGCGGAACAGCCCTCTTACGAAACGTTACAGTATTTATAACTTGATTATGCACAGAACGCGTCGAAGGTGGCCATCCATATTCAAGCGAATAACATTATCCTCGCAAATCACCACGTGAAGATTACAAAATCGCGAATTTCTGCATAAAAGAAGGTGCAAGGGCTATAATTATTCTCGGCTATAATGTCACGTCTCATGAATGTAAGATCAATTTATCAATTACAGATATTATCACACTCACGTACGCACGCTCGAAGCAAAGTTTAATTATCGCGCAGGACACCGTCCTGCGATGCGTCCTGCGTGAAATATTGCGAAATTGACGTAGAACTCGAAAGTGAGGATACGATACGACATTAATTACCCTTGGTGACAGGTGCATACACCCGGCGCGGTGCACTCGCCGTGCTCGCAGCCACCCTCACATGCGGCCACGCACTCCTTGCGGTCATTCAGAACGAATCCTGGCCTGCACCTGCAGACGCGCGGTGCCACGCATTCACCGTTTCTGCATCCGTCAGGACAGATCGGTTTGCACTCGCCGTTGACCTCGTCGTAACCTAGCTTGCACACGCACACCTCGGGGGAGAAGCAGTAGGCGTTCTCTTGGCACCGGTACGTGCAGACGGGCATACAGACACCCTCTTCGGCGCGCCATCCCTGTTGGCAGCTGCAGATATTCGGCCCGGTGCAGTGGCCGCCGAAACAGCCGAGATCGCAACGCGGCTCGCATCGGCCGGTCGTCACGTTGCGCTGGTAACCGTCGCAACAGTCCAAGATGGTGATCCAACCGTTGTTACTCTGATAAACAGGATTTCTGTAGCTTTACCGTGTGAGTGTGTGTGTGTGTGTATGTGTGTGGCAAAGATTGTTTCGAGCACGATTGTGCTCGAAGAGGCTTCTTCGATCAATGCACTGTTTTTCGTTTGAATCCGAGACTCGGATAGTTTTATTATTAGATAAAAGTGGCACGCGCTTGCCAAGTCCCGTTTGACAGATCTCGTGTTACATTGTAAAAATGTTGCTTTCTTTAAAGTCTTGTCTCAAGTCCTAAGTTAAGATTAAGTTTGGTGGAAATTTGCTGGTTAGTTTCGCTTAGGGGAGTCTCATTGCAGAAGACGAGTATTTTTACTTACAACGTGACTGCCTTCAGGTGGCTGGGGAATGGTGTTATAAGGTGATCCACTGGAATTCAGAGCTAGGACATGACTGTATCTGAAATAAGATCCGCAGAGATCTCATATTTAGAATGCTTCTAACGTGCGTGTAATATGGCATTCGTTCGCTAAAGACCTCATTCGAAGAGTTTACTACTTACGGCACTGTTTTGTAGCAAAGGCCGCTTGTGGAGTTGGTGCCACCTTGTAGACTTCCACTTGAAGGATAACGCGGTCGGTGGCCACCCTTTACACCGTCCGTTGCCCAGGTGCCAACACCCAGGCACGTAAAAACGACCAGGCAGATCAACGACTTTTGCATGTTGTATGAACGATCGCGGATTTACTAATGGTTGCTGATTTTCGGTCAGAGAGTGGACAACCCCGCGATAAGAATGTCGCGGAGGTCAGCAGTTTTCATCCTCTTGATTAAACTACGCAGCACGCTCGTTCACGGAAACAGTTATCCGTTATGCGTATCGATATGTCGAAGAGCTCTAATGGGGTCGATATATCAGTATGTGTTTGCTCTCTTTCACGTATTCTGCCGCGTGTCTCACATTTTCAGTCTTATCTAATTACTCATTAGGTCATTGTTATTAATTGGACCATGACAGACTTATCGCACTCGCTCTTAGATAAATATATCATCAATTGAATTATCGAGCGAAGTAACGAAGGAACGGACAATATATTGCAGTTAACAAAGTTAACAAAGAAACCTCAGCTTAATTAATGGTGTATATCATGAAGAATATATAATTAGGAAATTACACATAATCCGTTCTTTATCTGAGAAAAGTTATCTAGAAGAAGGATTGATAAATCGGTCGTTTATGTAATCTTTTTTCTCCTCTCCTGATATCATTTTGGAATGAATGCATGAGCGAATCAGCGCGATAATAAGACGGCGCGAGGATATATTAAACGCAATATTTATTTCTTTTTAATCTATGATAAGCTAAAGCTGACTGCAAATAACATTTCCTTGAAGTGGTTGCGAGTGTTCCTCGCAAAGCATGCGTTCGCAATTAACCGAAGAGATATATCAGATTATTCCGTGACGTGGAAATGGAAAGTTTTTCTCCTCCTTTATGGAAATCACGGGAGGAAGGCGGAATGTTTTCAGTATTATCAAAGATAACAACGTAACGTTTCCTATTAATCACCTCTTTCTTTCAGTGATTCCCAACTTACGAAAATGTTGTTACTCACACAGATATATATATATATATATATATAAAAGTATGATCTTGTCAAAAGTCAAACAGATCAGCTGTACTTTTTGCAAATTTCTCTATTTCAGTACCAGAAAATATGATTATATCTTAACATTTTAAAACTATGAAATTACTGAAAGAGAAGTTGATTAATTTATCTTCTTCACATATTTGTACAGAGATTGATATAATTATTTATGGGACAGTGGCGTGGAAATAATGATAAGTATAGAAGCATATTGTGAGTTATTTTTATTATACTGTATTGTTTAATTCACTGCAAAAAAATTAGTTAAATTCGCTTATATTTAAGGTGATATTTCTTTCACGATATATCTTCCTACAATTCATATGGCATCGGTTTTATATGGGATTTTGGCTTCTCGATTTATAGAGTGTACTTTCTAACACAACAACAATATGTGCACCACTTATTAAATTATCGTCTATGCCTGTGCCTACATCACTACTAATTTATTTGAAAACACGGAATTATCGCAGTATTATCGCAGGACTTTTCCGTTCATAAATAGAAGTATCGCTTCTTTACAGCACGATTACTGTGAAAAAGTATTATTGTCGTTATTGCGTCGAGTATCATAGAAAATTTATAATTCGTAATAATGTTGTTAATATTAGAAAAAAAAGGTCAACGACGCGCGTGCTGCTTTGTGTATAATAAAGTAAATCGAAAAGGATCGCTCGTAAAACAACGGTTTTACGTTTTTACGCGTGTTGATTCGCGCCGAGTAAATCGCGTCTATGTTACAAGGAAAATTGCCGGATTTAGCGGGCAATTTATTCTCGCGTCCATTCGTGAGCAAGTAGTTCGTCACAGTTTTGTATCGCTTCTATAATAACAGTAAGCGCGCGCGCGCTCGCTATGCTCGCTAACCCTGCTCGTTGTACCAACGAGTCTCTATTATTTCGCACTTTCCATCTAATTGCGTGTTCGCGCGCAATTGTAATCAGGTGCAGTCGCGCTGCGTTTGACGTCATTACTTCGACCCCGTCGAAACTGCAAAATAGTTGATTCAGAAAGTTGCATGCCCCATTGGCCAGACTCAACTGGCGGTCACTGACAGTGCCCGAGAGTGACTTATCTTTCCACTTGTTCTACTCAATTATAGCCACGTTTAGCCTTCGACAGTTGTGCGTAAGGTCGAAAACCAGTTTGCGCGTATTTTTCACTGAGACTGGACGCTCAGATTTTCATCAACAGCCACTCTATCTCTCTCAAGTATTCTCAAGTTACGTTTTGTCCAGAAACTCTTTGCATTTTTCTTGTTTTTTTTTTTCTTTTCTTTTTTATCTCGTTTTAATCTTCACGTCAACGTAGCGTTCTCTCAAGCGTGAATGGTTTTGACTATGACTGCGAGCGAGTATAACAGTTTCTTCGTCACATATTCTTGTGACTGGACAACGGGGGGGTGGTGGTCTGTAAGGGTATTTCGTCATACACATGCTCCGCATTATGGTCAAAGTTCGTTTGCAGGCGTATCAAAGTTGCTGGTGGCCGATCGTAATAGCCCTCTTGTAAAAGATCTAGGATTAAAAATGAACAAAGTCTCTCTATCGAGTATTCGAGAAATGATAAACTTAAGAGCCGTGCGCGTGAAGTTTGGTTAGTAAAAATCGTATAGTTTATACTGACGGTCCTTTAGTTAAGATAAACTATACAATACAATGTATACTAACACTGTCGGCAATCTTTCATTCAAATTTCGCGAAGTGTCGCCAACTTACCGCGAAGATTACCGGAAATTCGGAGACCGATCGTAGCTGTGCCGTTGGCGTAAGTGTTGAGCGATTCGATGCCATCGACCGTTAATATCGTTTCCGGTTCCGCATTGGTTGCGAACACAGGATTGGCGCGGGTCGGCGGTGGTGCTGAAATCGTACGTAATCAACTCACGTAGTGCACACGTAGCCAGTTGAATTCAGTGATGCGTATGGAGATCTGATCGAGCAGGTAGGCGCGAAAATAGCGGCACGAAAGTCGACTCGCGATCGCACAAAGGATTGGATTTCGCACTAGTCGCAGTTCCTTCGGTGGTTATGGCGGTCAAGACTATCGTCGGGATCGCTACGCGGCTAAGAGGTATCGGGGTCAAGGACATGCAGATTTCACTGAGGATCTGGTAATCGAGAAGAGAGAAGGTTACATCGGGCACCGAGCATGATTCTCAGATACTCACGGGGCAGAGTAGAGTTCACCACCGTGGACATCCTTTCACTGTTCGCGTTTTCGCGAACTGCATTTTCCGAACCCTTGCTCTTCTCATCGTCGTAGATGGCAAGTCGAACGGTCTCGAACAGCTTGGACCGCATGTGGAGGATCATGACTACCGCGACCGAGGTCAGACCGAGGGAGACGATCGCAGCTACGACGATCAGAGCGATGTCCAGTGAAACAGGCATCGTCTGGATATCGCCTGTCGCAAAAGTGTGTCTCATGTTGAGTTTCAAGTCTCGTGGCTTTTGCATTGCAGTTGAGACGACAAAAGGACACTTGTATCTCTCGCGTGTACGGGAAAAAATTTTCATTTTGTGCAACTGAACGGAGGACAGATAAAAATTCAATAAACGAGAAAGAGTATCTCTCTGTTACCGCGACCGAAAATATTCGTCCGAACATTAAAACTCGGTTGAAACAACTGACTGAGCAGAAATCTGCTGCTGGAGTTTTTCTATTATAATCGACTTTTCGTCTGGTCGAAAACAGGCAACAAAAAAAATCCCATTGCAATAACGAGATTTTGCTTTTGTTTCATATGCATCCCTAAAGAATTTCAGGCACCTTTGTGCACGGTTTTCACGTAGTCGATTTTCGGCACGCCGATGCTCTCGTCTCTTTGGACGTGTCTGAAGAATTCATCCTTCGTGGCGAATTTTTGCCGATCCTTTTCGGCATCCCTTCTGCGCTCAGGTACGGAGACTAACACGATCACAGGTCGGGCGGTTGTTGAAGAATCTTTCACTCGCGTCTCGTTTGTTGTTGTCCCCTGAGGAGGTATCGCGATGGGTACTACTGTTGTCGAAGTCGTCGTGCCCGAGATGTAATTCCAGTCGTCATTGACGTTTATAGGTGAAGCTGGGCATTACAATATTAATTACGATCCACAATTCTATCGGCATTATCGATCCTTGATTATCGAGTAACATCACGTATGAATATAAAGACAGTGCTATATAACAATTTCGACACGATGCACGACGTGAAGTGAATTTCTTTTCATCGTACTTGTGAAATTGTTGACTTTTTAAGCTTAGTGATGCATAATTTGATATCGGAAGTTACATGCTTTTTTTCATTGAAATATATACATGTATTTCTTTGAATCTTTGTGATGATGAAATATATACTTTTTGGTCGTATACTTGCATCCTATGGGCTATTAAATATTAATGCCTATTTCTGAGCGATGATGACTAAAAGATGTGATAGTGAGAAATGTGAATTATTCTCAATATTAGCCCCGATCACTCGGCACTTTTTTCTCAGCTCTTACAAGACTGTCATTATTTGAGTAGCCTGAAGAGTCACTTTTACATCTCCGTGCAAACAACTGCGCAACCGGCTGAAATGCCTCTCTCGAAAAAAACGTATTCTTTCACCTTCCATTTGTCGTTCGGTAGTCTCGCGCGGCACAGAGATAACTTCTGTGTGCTCCGTGTTGCTAATCCTGGATGTTTGCACACGCTCGGTAGTAGAGCTTCGCAAATAACCGGGCGACGTTTGCACGACCAGGGAAGCGTCGTTGTCGTCGTTGTCGTCGGCGCATCTTCCGGTTGCGGCATCGCAATCATTATCTCGGTTCTGACATGTGCATTCGTTTGCACAATTCGGGCCCCACTGGCCAGTTGCGCAATGCTCTCTGCATCTACGGAAGAAACGTATTATTCGGTAATATCGAACGATCTCGGCGACACTTGGCCGACACTTCGAGTTGCTCATTTATTATCTTCAAGTATCGCTTATACTATTTCTCGGGCGCTTACTGAGGTCCTCGAAGCCCCGGAGGACATCGGCAAGTGCCGTTCGCGGGATCGCAAGTGCCGTTTTCCCCGCAATCGCATGTCTCCGCACATCGCATGCCCCAGGATCCCGATGAGCATTCTGAACATGTGAAATTAATATATATATATTAACAAAATCTTAATATCATGGGAGCCATCTCGTGGCTCATCCTGCAGCAGACCATCGTGCGCAAAATAATCGCGCGCGTTTCGGATATTTCGCGATTTTACGTTGAAATCTCTAAGCAGTTACGGCTGATAGGTGGAGGATGACGGTGATGGCGCAACGCCATCATGTAAATGCGTGCAATCAAGTGTTTCTTAATTGAGGGCGAGCGAAATCACAGCGGAGCCAGTCGAATCGCATCTGCGGGCCTTATTCGCGGAATGATAAACGCGAATGATTATCATACACCACGGAGTGTGTCTCTTATAAGGTATTAACATCGTGATTGCGTTACGCGGTGTGTCGGATGTCGTATCTGATCGACTCCTCGCCGCCCACGACCTTCTCGAACGCTCGCGGGAAAGTAGCGGCTTCGTAACTTCCGGGCTTCCGCAACTTTCGAAGCGTTCCCCGATCGCATTGACGCAACAGTCGCGTGCCACCTGCGACTTCTATTTGTTCGATCGATGATAAATTGTTTTATCGTTATCTTTGGAACACACACGGAGCTTACCCTCGACGAAAGGCGGACGAAATCGCGAGAATCGAAGTGAAGAAGGGAAGAGTCAGAAAATAATATCGTTCTGCATGATTGATGATATCGCGGCGAATCTGATATCGTGGATCTCCAGAGGCTTTCCACGGTCGATTCAAAAGCCGACGAATAATTTGTCTCGATTAATTTTCTGATAACTCTTTGTATCGCGATGTCCGCGATGTAGCGATTCTATTAGCGCGTTATGGTGCAACAATGTGTAAATTGATGCGGATTCTAACGAGATGCGTCGTGCGAAAATAACGAATCCTGCATTTATGATTCATATGGAAATGATACCTAAAACAGTCATTTCACATGCGCGTTCTCGCCATCGTGGAAGGTCAGTCCGTTTCATGGAGCGTGAAATTTCTCATCGACTCTACGTTTCGCACGGCTATTCGTTTCGGTTATAATTTCGTTTCAAAATCGTTGAGTAATGAATTGCTTATTTTAACCCCGAAACAGTCTTGTCGAACCGGATTCGTTTCGTCAATGATGCGCACGGCATTATTATGCAGACCTTGTGAATTCTTTTAGGTCCACCATTTCGTGTATATGTATATTTATAATCTTAGTTTGCATCTTTCTTACGGTCTTAGTTTACATACATTCCCCTTTTTAAATGTCATAGCAATCTATTAGCACTTAATTACACAATGAAAACATCGGCATGTCTAGTTCGATAGCTATATTTTGCAAGTAGCATTAGTCCAGAAGTTTGTTTTAATGACATCCTGAAGTTCTCTCGCTACGTGTTTATCAGGATCTGTTTACGTATTCATGTTGAAAAAGCGTATATTATGCGCATAAAACTGATAATGACTTTATTAAACATATCTGCCGAGCGATAAAAGTGCAAAGTGCAAACTGACAACACGTGCAAAGTTGCTTTTTCATAAAATAAAGGAAATGGAAAAAATATAACTAAACTTATGAGACACATGACGATATCGTTTAAGATATCATTTAGATTTTTTCATTAGATTCTTTGTACGTGCGTCGTTCTCTCGAGATGCAGGTAAAAATAAAAAGAAAAAAATCTTTAGCGATGAATATAGTGCTAAAAGTGCAAAGAAGACAAAACGCAATGACTTCACGTTAGTCTCGTCTTACCACGGATGCAATCGTCTCCTTGATATCCGGGATCGCATTGACATTCATTCGGTGCGACGCACTTCCCCGCCAAACAGTTTTTGCAAAATGGCATACACCTCGCGTTCACATCGCCATGAATCATCAGTTTTTTGTATCCCTCGCAGCATTCCTCCACGGTCTTTGACTTTACCTCCGTCTGTAGAAGATACATCCCGCGAGACGTTGTTATATGCTTCCACATCGGGATATATAAATCATTATCACAGCTTATCGGGGACGCATAATATTATCGTTAATTTCGGCAATTACCCGACAATTTTCCTTCCGTTATTAATCTCCATCTCAAGCAGCAGCGGCCCCTCATTAATTTTCGGATGGTCTCATCCGTACGATTCACGGTGGGAGAGAAAAGTGTGTCGAAAATCGAGCATCGCAGGCTCGAATGAAAGTCGATCCTACGGACGACGTAAGAGGATACACGCGCGAAAACGCATTCACGGGCATAAATTACGGGTCGAGTCAAGACCGTCTGTGTTTTTCTCCTCCTTGCAAACGTTATTATGTTACGCCCTTCACCGTTTCTGCGCTCGCACGACGCCGATCGCGTTACGTGAATTTCGCTCTTAAACGCGTTGCGCGGCAGATCGATGCTGGACACGATCGTCGTGTTACATTCTCCACTTTTACTTTTAATTACGAATAGAGCCCCGTTCGTAAAACAGGTGCGGAGGGGGGGGGAGGGGGGTATCGTTTAACTCGTCGATTTTACACACGCTTCGACGTTCCGATCGGCAACACGGGAAACGACGAAATTACCGTATATTTTCACCACCCATGTTCAGCCGCGGGGAATACTCTACTATTTCGCAATGTGACGCGTTTGAGGAGTCTTCGTTACTCCTATTTCTAACTGCAAGGGATACGGCATGCATAGCTCGAGACTCTTGCCCGCGTGAACGCCTAACGTCGCGTCGCGTAACGGTACGTTGTTAGCAACCGAAAGTTGTGCAATTCAGGTGTTTTCCAGCAACGTAGAAAACGCCAGGCGACCTCGACAGGCGAGCCGAACAGCGAGTTTTTATTCTCGCTCGTTACATTACTCCGCTCGTGTCTTTTATCGAGTGCATTCCATTCCAGCGACGTAGCGATGATATAAATATCAATTTATCGCGCATCTCGCTATGGAATATTTTTCTAACGCCGATTCTCCGTCATCCACAACCGCTGCATGTTCACAGGTTTCCGCTGTTCCTTCTGCTTTTAACTTCAATGCTTCGTAACTTCGCTTCGCATTCCGCGGCTGCTTTTGACCTCCCTATAATTCTACGCGATCGGTAATTAGCAGCGCATATTATATCGCGCACCGTGATATTCCCCAGCCCGGTTCCCGGCTCCCGGTAATTTCAGCTTGCCCGTAACTCACGCGAAGTGGCTGCTCATTTTTTCTCAATGGCGGAGATTGGAGAAAAATTCGCGCGATTCGCACGAATGGTGTGCACTTGGAGCGGTTCTTTGCGCTCGCGATGTTGCCCGCGCCTTCGCAATAACGCCACATGGCTTTGTGTTACAAGGCTCGCATGTTCCCTCAACTCCTCGGAACACCTCCGATAATTAGCGGAGCGATGGCAAACGTTACCTTCACGACGGCACACTACATCCACCTACGCATGCGAATATGCGCCGAGTCCCTTTTACGTTCTTTTACACGCGGACATCGTGTAGAGTTAGCTGCGTTGTAGTTTCTACGTCGCTCGCAAACGAGACTGACTGAGAAATTTAATATCGCTAAATTTTGCATGAAATGTGCAACATGCCGATATTGCAGACGCTTGCGGACAAAAGTTTTGAGTTGCTGCATTTCACACATCTCAGAGACCTCAAAATGATTCATCGGTTCTTTGTTGATCTACTTGATTTAGTTTTTGTACACGTACGCAGTGATGTGTGCAACATTTGTGACTGAATTTTTTCACAGCGTGCCAACAATCCGAGACGACGCACGTTCGACGATTGTGCGGCTCGGTGAAATCGCGAAGAGACTGTAGGCATTAATTAATTTCGAGCCGATTCGCACTGTCGACAGATGCTAAATTCGCGAAGTTGGCAGAGGAAACTGTCGTGTAGAATTTCTCTTTTGCATTTTGATATCATCAGCGCGTTAACGAGACGGCGATTTAAAGGGAGATCCAAGCCAAGTCGATAACGGATAAAATGGGCGATCTCACTTTAAATATTTGCGCGAGATCTAAATTAATTAAAAGGGGGTCACTCTCGTGAGATTATCTCACGTCTCGCCGATTAAGCGCGCACTATGCAAATAAGTTTTCAGATAATTGCCGGCAGCGAAAGCGGAAGCGACGGAACGACGTTTAGACGATCGCCTAATTAACGTGCGGCTTTACGATCTAGTTTCACGTACTATTTCAAATTGCATCGGAACGACTCTCACGGCACTCGCGCGAACGCAATGTTAGCGTAATAAAATATTATACAATGTCGAAGCGAAGTCGAGACTTTTTGTCTGTACGAGATAATTGAGCGGGCGATTTCGCTGTATATTCGACGCTCGCATTGAGTGTATCGCGAAGTCACTCGTTTATCTTATTTTTCCACTTTGTGTGATGGGCGTTTCAGTTCACTTCGAAATTAAGTCTTAAGTAAACACATATTGGACACGGTATACGGTTCGTAATCGCTTGCGCGTACGAACGCGTTACATAGAAATAAACATTCACTGTCAAGCGCGCTCGGGCGAAACTCGTAAGGAAAGACGAACCTCTTTTGAAAGAGCGCGCTGATTATCGCAACGCACATGATGCATTATCGATAATGACGAAATTTTCTTCTTTCTCATAAGCCGCACGAAATAAGTTCATTGTCCACGTAATAAGCGAGTGTCTCACGTACATACACGCTACCTCGCATGACGCGCGCGCGCCTTACAAACGCGTTCTCTCATCTCGCCAGCGCGGGAACGCCTTGCGCACGATCCGCCATTTTCCATTTTAGGCTTTGATCCTTCTCCCCCGACTTCGATATAGTACCCGCGGACCCGCGTATTACCGATTACGTAATGCATAATTACGCCACGTACGAGAGGTCGTTTCATTTCCGGCCAGTGTCACGATTCACGAATTCCTCAGCATGGTGGCGGTATATCCGCGAATTTTTAAGTCGGCCGAGACATCCCGAGAGGCCTCGTTAATTTAATTGGCGGCTGATTCGACGAGGCCATCATCAGATCATCTATGAGAAAGTACAAGTTTCTCTCCCCTGCACTTCTGCGGAACGGCACAGGGGAAATTGAAGTCGACTTAAATACAATGATAAGCTCGTAACTGTCTCATTAAGAGGCGGAAAAAGGCATCAGGCTTCAAAATGATCTATTCTGGCATATTTACGTCGCGTTTTAATTGGGAAACGAGTTGCTGTAACATGTTGCATATACGCAAATTATTATGTCATATTTTGTATCCTCGTACTTTCCTGTTTCTTCTAGAGAACGACGTAATAGAAAGATAAGCGGGACGTAATAGCGGGACGGAAAGATAAGCAGAAGACAGAAGAAGGTAAAAATATCGATACGTGTGTGTGTGTGTGTGTGTGTGTGTGTGTATGTGTGAGAGAGAGAGAGAGAGAGAGAGAGAAATTGTTCTCGTGTGTACAGCAGCGAAATTGAAGCTCTTTGACTTTCATCGAGTGTGTTAATCCGCGGTCAATTGACTCATTCTGAAGCGTCTGAGCGACGAAAACGAAGAGCTGGCTCGTCCGATCGATGACACGTAGTGTTTTTCGCATCAGCGTTGTGTCCGCATACATCGTGCACCGACATTCTGTTTATCCAACAGCCTTTTGCCGCGTCTCGTCTCGTCTCGTCTCGGTGTTCGCATGCGCGTTATCGTGCCGTGCGCCGGCATACCGGCCGATAAATCAACGCGAGATTTCACATCGACTTTATTACGTCCGCGCCTGGGTAATTCCCGTGTTAATTGAAGCCGATAATCGGGCCGCGCTGTCGAGCTCTCGTTAAATTACAAGCGGACCCGGCCGTTCGAATGGCCGTTCGGGGCGCACCGCCAGACACCGCGTTCGCGATCGTTTGAACGGGCGGAGGGAGTTCCCCGAGTAGCCCAAGTGTTCGTTTATCTCGTTTGTGTCACACACATGTGGATGTGCTTCCTCTCGCACAGCTCCGTCCCGGGGAAAACTGTCCCATTATCGGCGCGAAAATCGTAAACAAGTCGGCATCGTACGAATGTACGATGCGTATGGAGTTAAATGTTCGGCAAATTGTCGACTTCCGGGCGTTCAACTTTTCCCGAGGGACCGAGATGCCGTGCGAAGTCTTTTTCAGCTAATGGCCCGCTTCTGGAATCGTTTCGTAATGCCGACGGGGCCAAGACAAGTTCCACCTTCTTTCGGCGCGATTCGTCAATTCCGCATTTCACGGCGCGTAATTGCAGCTGCAGCTTGTCGCTCCCCCTCCTTCACCCTTTCTCTGTCTCTTCTCTCTCTCTCTCTCTCTCTCTCTCTCTCTCTCTCCTGTTTTTCCTCGATCTCATTTTACCTCCCATGCATGCTGTCACATTCTTTTTATTTATTTGCTTAATCAGTCGGTCGCGCGGTTGATGCGGACTTTCCCCGTAATTATCCCGGATCGGCGGCGGCGGCGGCGGCGGCGGCGGCGGCGACGGCCGAGAGCGAGAGAGATGTCGTCGTGCAAGGACGCGTGAAAGAGGGACGGTGAGTAAGAGGCAAAAGCGGAAGAATAGCGGCAGGTTGTTTTATCGCATTGTGTACACGGGGCGGTACACGATTTAAGCCGCGCAGACAGCGAAGCCACGCGAAGTGTGTTCCGAGTGTGTCCCGGCCGATCGTTTTCCACTCGCGCTGCCTGGGAAACGACATTTTTCCATAACGAGGCGTGGAAATGCGAGCTTATGTAACTCTCTTTCCGTGATGCAATTGCTAGAATAAATTACGGTCCTATTGTGCCGTGGCAGCGTGTGCTCTCTTTAGCAATTTTCCCTCGGCCAAACATTACTATGTACTTTTGACGATGCGATTTTCTATCAGCGTCGCGTCTCTCGTCCTTCGTCCGAAATTTCAAATCGTAAAGCCGATATCGGAGAGTAAATTTAAGTCGAGCGAGTGCGATAAAGACCTCCTCGGAGCGCACAGACGTCTCGGTGGAACAATGCTTCTCGCCCGTTACATACCGAAACCTCCCGCGAAACCGATCTGATGCGCTTATGGTAAACTCCTTTGTTGCGTAAGATCGTTCCGTATTTTTCTATCCCTTTGAGCAACCTGGGAAAATAGTACTTTTCCACGGCGTCGCGAAAACTTGCGAAATGCAGCGGAGTCGCTACCATTGAATCCGTTGATGATGGATAGGCAATAAAATTAGCGAGATTGCCTGCCGAGATACTCACGTCGAATTTCTGTACGGTGCTGCTGGAGAGAACGGAATCTCTCAGCGCAAATAACAGCGCGTCTTTGTTGCTAATGAATTATCTTTATAAAGCCTTTGATATATATATTTGACTCGAGATACCATCAAACGTACCACGAGAGAGAGAGAGAGAGAGAGAGAGAGAGAGAGAGAGAGAGAGAGAGAGAGAGAGAGAGAGAGAGAGAGAGAAGAGAGAGAGAGAGAGAGAGAGAGAGAGAGAGAGAGAAGAGAGAGAGAGAGAGAGAGAGAGAGAGAGAGAGAGAGAGAGAGAGAGAGAGAGAGAGAGAGAGAGAGAGAGAGAGAGAGAGAGAGAGAGAGAGAGAGAGAGAGAGAGAGAGAGAGAGAGAGAGAGAGAGAGAGAGAGAGAGAGAGAGAGAGAGAGAGAGAGAGAGAGAAAGCATTGGAAGGAGAAACGAGTGTGCACTGCAACTGAATTCCGTTAACATTTCTCTATTAATACGTCTCGGACTTTAATTTCCTTTTTCGAAGAGAACATTTACATGGAGATTCTTACACTTTATCAAGGGACGAAAGGCACTGTGAAACTTTTGATTCAAGAGAATATGTCTCGTCGGCTTTAATAACAAAGAATTATTTTAAACAAGAATAATAAATACGTATAATTAAAACTGATCCTGGCGTCGTTAAAACTGATCGATAATGATCTCAAGTACGTGTGGCTTTGGCACGAATAACAATCAATGTTGACATGTATCGATTTATATACAAATAACAAAAAATTCCGACAGACTCACCTTTATGCGATACCGCTGCCGCAGTTCGTTCCGCGTCTTCGGACACCTCGGGGGAATTTGTAGGCACCAAGTGAACGTGTTCACCACGACCGGCTCGGTGTAAGTTTCGTATGACGTGACGGTGTAACTGTAACGTTCGGTCAATTAGCTATCGACTGTTCCCGCGATTCCCTTATCGGGATTTCGAGCGGCATGCCGCGGCGGCAAGGTGCGTGCATAATAATAAGTAGTATATTGCGCGCACCGAGACACCGCATTGTCAAGGCTTCCAGGTGAAGGTCTTTCCGAACAGACGGATTGTATGTCGGTATCATCGAGAACTTTAATCATTAATTAAGCTGCGGTCGCTCTTATTACGCGCATTTTCAATGGAATACTCACTTCTCCACTCTCGAACAAATGTGATCCATGATCAACGAATTGCAGAAGGACACCATCCTGAAGACCACAATCACGAGGAAGACTCGCGAGATCCCCGAGACACTCATCTCGGTGAGATTACGGGTTCTAGAAAAATATTCTCCTCTTTGTGCGAAAGTTATTTTCTCCGCACGAACGGCGAATAATATTCAAGAGAGGATGTACTCACTTCTCTGACAGGAATTCTATTCGCACGACAAAAGCGTACGGTTTCTCTTTATCAATGTTGTCTTGATTCCAAGAATCTCTTTAGAATAATTCGTGTAGGAAAAATCCCGGCGGCTGTAGATGTTGCCCGAATAAAAGTGACGCTTCCATCATTCTCGTGTCTCACCGTCTCGGCCGGAGAAGAAAGAACTGTCACCGAACAAAAAGCGTTCCTTTCGTTACTCTCGATAATTCGAAGCTTGGGATGGATTCGCCAGAGGTACATGACTTTCTCCCGACGACATCTCAATCGCCAATTATAAATTATAGCAGCCTGAATGAAACAGTTATACCATGTGTGAATATGAGAGCGCAACGTTTGTCGTTTGGACATTTGCGCAGGATATATTCGACGATACTTCACGCAGCCGATGCCGAATGATGTCCCCTTCGAAACGACGTTCTCTTTGACAGGAAATATTAACTGACTCGAATTGGTCAATCGTGGCCCGGAACGAGCGTGGCATTCAATATTGAATATACGTCAAGTGTGAATGTCAGAACGCGACATCGATGTGCGCGAAAGAACGAACCGTCAGACAGTCGAAATCGATATTTTCGCGAGAGAGAGAGAGAGAGAGAGAGAGAGAGAGAGAGAGAGAGAGAGAATACCTCGAGTTACGAATTTCACAGTAATTTTCCCGATAACGGACGACGATTTACGTAAATGTTATTTGCCATCTGCTTGGTATCTGAAATTAGGCTAGAATGGAGATGTATTGTCATAAATATGTTGTTTCCTACATGTGAACTAGGAGAGCGGATGATTAATTAACAAAATAATTACATGTTCATACATGAGAAGACGTGAGCGTTATCTTTGTTGTCCGGTTTGAATTTTGGAGATGGTTCTGGTCGCTACCTTTGCGCGAAATCACCGATCGTTAGAATAATTCGTTAGGTAATCGCGAATTTAGCGAAGCAGATTTAGCAGATAGATTTTACCGTTGGAATTCGCGCCTTTACGTCATCGACGTTAATCCGATTAACTAATACCAGCGCGACAACGACGTGCTCTTACAGTCTCACATGTGGCGCACAGTGTAATCTTTTTTTCCTCTGTCGTAATCCGGCGCGATAAAAAGTGCACGAGAAGTCGTTCATTCAAACGCGTCGGCCAGCTGTTCCATTCGTGTGAGAGAATTCTGCCTCTTGTTTGGAAGCTTTACAACAGCCAGCTCTATTAATCAGGAAGAAACTATCTCGCTGGAGATACGCATTTTCTAGCGTCATTCATGATATACAAGCGTGAGAAAGCTAATCGTTTCAAACGGGACATTACAGTTATAATGTAATTGTTTATGACGGCCAGTTGATTAACGAGCGAGTTGAGTGTGTCAGAACGACTGAATTTGTGTGAACCGAATTGCGCGTCGAGAGACAATCTTTTGGATAAAGCACTGCCGAAACGTTTGTCGGTAACCGCATCGCATCGCATCGCACGTGTACACACGACGTATAACTAAAGAATAATATTTCAGAATATCCTGTCATAAATCCACAATAATTTAATTGGAAAATGTAAAATGATTTGAAACTAGCGAGTAATTTAACGAGCGAGTTTTTTTTTCTATATAAAAAACTTTTTTGCTCATCAAGAGAAAATCCCTCCGAGCGATTTACTAATTAATGTGTCAGATTTCATGACATATTTTATGATATTTTGTTGTAACAGGATTTCTAAAGTCAGAAGAGACACGGCGACGTTCGTGTAACAATAATCGAGCAGGATGTTAACATCTCGAATTGCAGTGGAAAAGATCTAAAATTCTAGAACGATTATTCTTCAATATTGATCCAGGGGGGTCGTCAACCTTTCAGTCCTCGAGGAAGAAAATTAAATGTCTTAAATGTATTTTATTGCAAAAATTACCGATACAGCATTTGCAGTGCAGATCTCGCAATTATATAATTTGCCATTACCAATATGCCCAAACCGAATATTTGTTTAGTCTTATGCGGAGCTACAGCAATCAGCAATGAAAATCTAAATGCAAATTCGCTTCGTAGATGTTATCTCAATCTGCATTATGCATTTCACTGCACGCTTTTACGAACATGCTTATGTAATTGTAATCAATACGATCGCGCCAATTAGGCCGATGCAGGAAGACCAATTTTTTTTCGCAACGGTTTATTGCTATTATGACGGAAAGACGAAGAGAGTGAAACAACGTGTCCTTCTTGCAATCGTTCAGTTGCCCGTTTTGTAAAAGGGGAAAGGACATGCGTCATGTTATCGGCACTTGGACGTGTAGTTTAAATTGCATTCGTTGACGCGTCATGCGGGCTGAGTGCGTTTATTTATGTGCAAAAAGGGTCGCTCCTTAGTTCCGCATTACGTTCCGTCTTGACGAAACGCGCGAGCGAAATTTCATTATTGTGTGTCAATGATAAACAAATAATGCAGTAATTTTAATAAGCGATAACAGCATTAATGGGATATTTTGAGCAATAATAATGTGATATAATCAGAGTGTATTTCTTCCGGATAGATACCGCGTCGTAATACAACTTTGTGCCGACGTTTCGCAAACATTGCAGGTTGCATCATCAGGGCTAGGAGAGCTCCGATGCAAAAAAGGCAGTGTGATATTTTTATCGCGTCACATCCATACAAGAGTGAAATCTTGACGAAGCACACTGTGTATGTAAAACAGTGCCGTATAATAGCAAATTACACTGCAGGATAAAGAGTAATCGTCTTTACTTCCTACTCACTGTGCAAGATGAGTGCTGCACGTTAAGTCTCTCTGATTTAATCCGCGCGAGTCTTCAAACGATGCCACCTCCTTGCTAATTCCAGGTCATCACGTTTTCCTCAATCTTCACCGGACATTACGCAACCAGTGCAAGATACTTGATCAAAAATACTTGAGCAAAAACGAGATCAGTTTTTCATTGTACGAGATGAACGTATTTAAATAAAACGCGGATGTTCGCACCACGTGGATACACAAGGAATGCTCGCGCTTTCTGCTGTATCGCGACTCATCGTTACCATCGCGATGACACAGAGATTACAGGTCGAAGAAAGTACACCGTATCGACACGCACGAGAATCGAACGTCCGTCTTGCTAATCGGACGTGAACCGGCGAGGCAGGCCGATTCCGCTCCCTCAAAATCCCCGCTGAGAGTCGGAAAAAAAGGAAAACAGAGGAGTTTCTATCTCGCGAGAACGCGACGATCTTCTCGCGAATAAACGCGCGGATGTTTCGTTACTCGAGTCTGCCGCAAGGGCCGAGCCCTCCGCTCCGGGAAATGTCACTGTCGCTTTCACAGAGCGATTCGCAACTGGCCCCAGGTTCGTAACGAGCAATTGGCGTCGCCGGCACTCGGAATGCACTTGTGGCACAATGAACTCCGACCCTCCGACAACGACGAATACAACTACGACAATGACGATGACGATGACGACGACGACGACGACGACGACGACGACGACGACGACGACGACGACGACGACGGAGCCGAGGAGGGGAAAAGCGGAGGGCCCTTGTTCCCGGAGAAGGAGAGGGATCGTCGTGCGGTACCCATCATGCTGGTACTTCAGTTTGCAAAGCGACGAGGATATCCTGCAGAGACATTGACATTGCGAAGCAGCCAAGTGTTATTGCGGAGTGGCCGGCGGCGGAGCACGACAATAACACAGGAGATAATGCATTGTGCATCGCGCGATGTTAACGGAGAAACGGATCGGACCGATCCGTACGATCCGGATTCGAAAACGTCGTTAAGAGAGCATGGCGGTGAGAGAAAAGGACAGAATGGCGATACGCTCGAATGAAGTCGGGGTCCGGTCCGGAGAAGGCGATGATTGAAACGGAAATCGGCTCCTCTTGCGTCACGTCCAATTGGCCAAAAAAAGAGGACGTTTAATCGATACGTATCGATACGGCGCATTTTTTCTCGATTGCGTTCTCAGTCGTGAAGGTAACTGCGACGGGTAACAGCGACGCGGTGAGACAATCGCGATGTAATATAAAAATGTATCTTGTTCATTTCGATCGGAATTCGCCGAAGCAGCGTCTTCATTAATTTCGCGTTAATCACGACTGGTGATTTATTCACCGCACGGCTGTACTTATCTGTTTTGCGCCTTCTGTCAATTTGCATTGTCCGGAAGTCAGTGACACATACTGCAGGCCGTGGTACTTCTTTCACCGGCGCGGTTGAAAGAGCTTACACTTCTCGTTTATCGGCTGATGCGACGGATACGAATGCCGGTGGCGTAACGTTAAAAAAGAATTGGAGTAGATAGGCGAAAGCCTATCCGAGTTTAGAGCTGTCTGTCGGAATAGCCGAGAGAGCAGGCAGACTCGCGTAATGAGATGATTGGGAGGGCAATTCACCGTGTTCCCTCTTGTTCTCGCGGCACGCAATAGATCGAGAGATCTACGGCCGGACCGCCGTCGTCGTCCGAAGCATCGACCGTTTAATCTCGTAACGCTGAACAACATCCTGCTAAATGGAGTAATTAGTAATTACGGGGGAAGCAGCGCGCCGGCAAAGCTGGTGCCGCTTTTGCGTCTCGCTGAAATTAAACGTCGCTTAGAAATAAATTCGTTATACCTACTTGTGACTTTTCGACACGGCCGTGTGTATTTGCGCTGCCGGCCATCTCACGAAGAGGCCTGGTCTCTACAATGGAGAGGCGAGATTTTACGAAACGTTTAAAAGCGTTCCTTCCTGCCTCACCAGAGAATCAGGCTTAAATATCCCGTGACGTGCTTACGTTGCTGTTGTATCGAAGGAAAATATTATTAACACAATTTCGCACGCGTTACAAACGCGGCTTCAACAGGCTCGTGTGATCGTATCGTTGAGCAATTTCGTATTTCGGTTCAATTTTATTGATACATTATGATTTGTGCAGAAAGTGAAATATAAATAAAATACCTCTTTCTTCAGTTTCTCGTTATTTTGCGCTTTCGAACGCCAATCGCGTACCAATCGCATTTCGCGATGACGCAGCGTGTGCATCCTGTCGTGCAAGTGCAGCCGGCTAAACAAACATTTTGCAATCGCGGGGTGCAATAAGCGGGCGCGCGAACGCGCGACGTAAGCTCCGTGTCCGAGCTGCATATCGTCGCAATGCACGACGCATTCCGACGATCACTCGATGCGGATCAGAAAAAATGGGCGGGAAAGTGTGTACGCTTCATCCAATAATATGGATAAAAATCCAATCGCACACGCGAAATCAATTTATTACATATGAAATAATAACGTTATATAATTATCCTCTCAGTATAAGCGTTTAAATAAATTTCACCGTTGCACAAAATATAAAACAGAGTGAAACGAACGGGAAGCTAGATTGACATACGAGATATCACGTAGCTCCATTCCGATTACATGATGCGCGTTTTATTACGTATCAGTAGGCGCCGGGCCTTTGCTAAAAGAAACATTTTTTCGCCGAGCTATTGTCTCTCCGCCGCCCGAGAGACTGATATCGTAATCTTCCGCTCCTCACGCGCCGAAAGCTCACGCATGGCCTCGTCGAGTTTTCCGCGCGTAAATTACACGTTCGGGGGCTTTTACTGTCTGCTCATTCAACGATTGCGAAGAAAGACTGCCGATTTTCGCAAGTTTCATTAAAATTCCGCCGCATTCTACGCCGCCAGAGCTGCGTCGCTCGTTGGCAGCATAAGTCGGATTATTTCCGGGGGGATGTAATGGCGCATAAATATGCGCCGCGAAGCGTCGAAATCGTTTTTCCACGACGGCACTTGCTCCGGCCGTGCTAGCGTCGTGACCGAATTCTCGCTCGATCGTAACAGAGCATAGCCGAGCTAATTAATATGGAACGACGTTTTAACGACGGTAGAGTCGGCCGGGGTGTCGCGCCGCCGCGCGATGCCGATTAATTCATTTCGCAATTTCGTGTGTGAAATCACGCGGAGCGCCGTTGCTCAATAAATGCGCGTCGCGCAGGATCGGGCACCTGCGTATGAAATATTCCCGTTTTATGGAAACACGACGAGGCGGTGTCGTCGCGCGACGACCTTGTGAATTATCGGTCTCATTATCGTATATTTGGACAAGACAGATCGGATTGCAAACATAAACCGCGGTGCCAGCGATATAAATTCTAATTCCTCGTGATGTGAATAGCAAATGTGAATTTCGCTCATCCTCTCATTCTTGGTGAATAAAAAATCCGAATATCAAATGTCAAACACCAAGTGTTGGGCAGATCCGATGGTGTCGGTAACTCGCGTATCCTCCGAGTTCGCTCGCTCGCTCGCTCGCTCGCTCGGTGAAACGAGTGCGCGAGCAATTATTATGTATATCGACGAGCATTTTCATTTTATTAGCCGGCTGTTATTGTCGAGTGGGACCGTCGAAGCTCTCTTCGCGATATTGTAATTAAGCGCGGCGCGGTGGTTTACCGACATTGAGCGGAGGAAGAAAACGGGGCCGAGAACTACAAACTCGCCCGTGGCATTTAGATCGACTCAACTTTACTGTCCTTGCGTCCGAAGTGGATAAACAAGCTGCCGTCGCAAGGAGCGGCTGTTTGCGAACGACTACTTGCTTTTCCATCGGTTTTTCGTCTTTCGCGGTACGTTCAACCGGCTGCTCGACCGTTTGCATCAGCGACACGGCCAATAATGCGACGATTATCATAGCTAATGATTGCTCAAGAATAATTGCACATCCGGAGGACTTTTTCGTAAACGTCGGCGATGCTCGCGGAGAGAACGTGCCTGGGAAAATTGGGCGTCGATAGTTTGTTTTGCAAATAATATACAACCGATGAGAGAGATTACACGAGATAGCGGGAGATGGAGGGGAGAGAGAGAGAGAGAGAGAGAGAGAGGGAGGGAGAGAGAGAGAGAGAGAGAGAGGGAGGGAGAGAGAGAGAGAGAGAACGTCGGCATTAGCTTCGGCAGATTTGTGCAATTCCGTATCCGCGCGGGAGGCCGCCTCGGCGAGAGATTTTGATTGCAAATCGATAGAAGGTAGAACTGCGTGGAACAACGAGTTGCATAACGATTACGCTAATGTGTCGCGTTGTTTAATGTCCTCGACTGAACATCGGCTCGGCGAACGTTCAATTCATGCGTCATACGTTACGAGATACGCGCGGTTTGGACATGGAAAATAGAAAGCAGTCGAGTTACAGAAATTTCGTGTGTTCGTCGCGCGAAAGCGTCTAACATTGGAGAGTTGGGCGTGAAACGATAAAATTATAACACGTTTCTTGGGATGTTGTTTAACGCGATGATGTGCTTCCTACGCAATAAGGCGAGATGTCACAATCGAATTATGCTTGAGAGAGCGTCAAAACCGATAGAACAGTTTTATTTGTATTTTTTCAATATTTCTTTTTATGTGATGTTATTGCGCTCGTCAATTTACCGACTTACACCGGCTGTGGTAGAAATAATAATCGCGGGTAAATAAAACCGAGAAAGGATAATTTTAAGGAGAGGAGTACATTTGGTTAGGCGCGGAGAGTCTCTCTCGGGTGTATCGGATTCTCGGAGGTAAATCGCGGCGTTAATAATACGACGGGTTCATTCCGAGACGCGCGGTAATTAATATCACGCGCGGCAATACACGGTATGATAATCGTTCGCAGCGGTACTTTTACGCAGCAACGCCCATAAATCTTTGAACGGGAAGAAAATCCGTATCTCGTGAAAGCGCTCGACGTTTTCGACGATGAACACGTACTCGAAACGCAATCTCCCGCTCCCGTTTCGTAATTCGAATATGTCAGAGGCGCGACTTTCATCCTTTCCAAGCAACTTTATTGTGTTAGGCCAAGAAGTAGGAATTTCCTACTGTGTAAACGATACTGCACAGATAAACCAGTCCGGTGAGTCACCGAGCAGAAAAATATCTACCCTTAGAGCTCGCGGAACTGCAAGAGCGGTTATTTTATTCGGTTTTCCATTTTTGTCACACCACATGCAGACTCCATTTTAATTTCACATCAGTCCTATAAATAAAGTGCCTGGTTTACGCAAAAAATGACAATCATAATCAATAAGAGTCATTAAGGTAGCTTCGAGAAATTGATATAATGAGCGCGAAAGATTCGGATTTTCCGAGATAAATTAAAAAAAAAAAACGATTACACGCTGGATCGACGCTGGCGCGTGCTCTTCGAATCGTATCAAGAAGCCATGACTCGTTGCATAAATTGACGGCGCCTAATCGCGCGAGGCAGTGACATTGGTGCCGCTCTATGTCTCTCGCATTGCGTAAAACGAGCATTGTTTCGCCGGGGAGCAACGCTAATCATAATTACCCTCATTACCAGCGAGTAATGCCAGATATTATTCCGGGATATCGTTGACCCCGAGTTTATTTCGCAGACGTAATGGTCTTTACGATCGCTATAATGATCTCGGCGCGGCCGGTTTCTCAAAAGCGCGCCTTTCAACAGACAGAAAACCTACTTCTCGTACTCTTCTCGCTGCTTGTCACGTCGTTAACTGTAACTACAATATTTTCCCAAGTAGAACGTGCCGCGACCGTGTCGGACGAGAACAATTCGCGTCGTCAAAGTCCGTCCGAGTGCCGATCTGGCTGTCGTTTCGCAGGCGTTACAACCTTTCTGAGGACGCGAGGTACCTTCGACCGGTCTTTTATATCCGCAGGAAAGCACAACTAGAGATATATATATCGACCGATTGGATCGGTTTCGCGCAGCAGTTTGCGCTGCGGACCCATTCGAGAGTTAGACGAGAGATTTTAGTATCTCTTAATTTATATTTATCATTTAATCTCGTTGAGAGAATCACTTTCACCGATAATTTCGAAACAGATCGACGACGACGACGACGATGAGGACCAACGACGAAATGCTTGCGCTCGTGTCGATACGTGATCGATCTCCTTCAATACGTCGGTCCATCTCGCGTCATCTATCTTGCGAACGCATTGTATGTATAATTCCATATGCCCGATACGCATGACGTAACGCATTCGCGATTCCTCAGTGATCCGTCAACATCCACTTAAGCTCCGCGAATTGCGCAACTCGCGACTACGCGAGACTAGTATACGCGCTATCGCTATCGAAAAAAAGAAGTAGGGAAAAAAGAAACTAGCGCGACGTACGAGGGTCGACTTTTTCTCCTCGCGATCTATAAGATATGCACCTGTACCAGTGCCGTCGCACTGGGCAAAAGGGGGGATTGCGATCTGCTTTCGGCATCGCTTTCACGCACAATTTCGAAACGGGCGATTTCGTCGAGTATGATGTCGGATCGTGAACGGCCTGCTTCTTTCCAGGGCTTCAATTAAAACGATTACATCCGATTCCGGCCTGCCGACCGGCGAAATTGCTCGTGCCTCTCCTTCTCTTTCCTCCTCTCTCTCTCTCTCTCTGTCTCTCTCTCCCTCTCTCTCCTTCTCTCGCGATTTTGGTCGATCGCCGATGCTCGATGGTCGTGGCGCGCCGACTAAAACCGCCGTAAAACTGTACGCGCGCGACGGTGAAAGTGGACGAGAGTGGCCGTCCAGTCGGTTGGCCTCTCATTGTGAGCCTCGCAGACGTTTCGCGGAAAGGTATGGCATGACTTCCCGGTCTTCCGATTACGCAAGTCGTCGGACCAGTTTTGGGGCAGATCGCCAAAGAGTCCCCATGGGCGTCGACTGCTCGTCCGTCCGTCCGTCCGTCCGTTCGTTCGTCTGATCGTTCGCCCGGCTGGTTTCCACTTGGAGAGCGATTTATGATCGGTCCCTGAAGCCTTTCCCATCAGTACTATCCATCAGACGTTATTTAATTCTGGCGTAGCTCTGAGAGGACGGAGATCTCTCTCAGTGCCAGGCGTTAGCGTCACAAATTAGCGTCACAAGTTGCCTCTCGTTATTAGGCGTTACCGTACAAAAACAAACGGCACGAAGAATAATGCGATCGAGAAATATTTTTCTAGCCTGCAATGTGCTATCTTTGGCAGGTGAAGTGAAACTTTTCTGATCGAGCGCACACAAGTACACTGTGCTACGCACAAAGTATAGCAATAACTTTTTGTTGCCGCGAAATATTGGCACATGTGGTTGCTGAAATAATATTGTTACTAACAGCGTCGTCAATCACGTCCAATCACCTTCTTCATCACGTTTCTTTATCGAATGCCAAGAAGAGGCCAATTGCGAGGGAAAGGTTGACGTTACGAGTTCAAGTGTACCTTGGTAACTGGCGCCTATGCCGTCGACAAACTGCGTTATGTATTCCTGACAATCAACTCGATTTCTCATTCCCAAATTAATAGCGGCGCATAAAACATCATGCATGTATGGCATCAGGTATGCGCATACGAATCACCTTGTTGAGCGTGACGCTACCGAGATAACGATTGGTATACGTCGCGTAGCAATATCTTGCCTAAGGTTGAGCAAGAACCTCGAAATTACAGGACGAAGACCTGGAGTAACTCAACGATGCTTAATGGCAAGATAACGCACAGTTGCATAACAAGGCAGATCAACCCAGATAGTCACATTCCGTGGATTCTATGGTTTTTTGCCTTTTTCTCTTCATGACTAATATATTTCCGTCTACTTGAGTCTATCCCAACTCCCAGCGGGAGCTGAATTAAAATCACGGATCGATACGCGCCGTTGCGGCTAATGGAATCGCATATCTTCTCGACAGGAAGCGGAATGGCTCCCGGCGAAAATTATTTCTCGATTATGCAAGCGAGGCATTATCGTGCGCCATATCGTTCGTCCTCTCGAAAATTTAATCGACTGTCGCGGACTCTGTCCTCGACGTGTCAACGATACGAAAATTGGTGTCAGCTTATGCTTCAACACCCAAGAAACCTTTCCACTCGGGCTGGACGATTGGTTCGTTAAGGTGGAGAACATAATATTCATCATCATCAGTTACGTATTAACTTTGAATTTCATAAAAATCAGAGAGAGAGAGAGAGAGAGAGAGAGTACACTAGCAAAAAGAAGGTATATCATAATAAACACTGTAAAACACGTACACGTAAGATGTACGTAATAAAAATGCAAGAAATATATATGAAAATATGACTAAATTAAAAGAGAATGCGATTTTAGGCAAAAGATATTGCGCTAATTAATCACGCGAGAGTGTTGTGCGAGTATAATTTGGACACAGTACGATGAGACGCAGAATTTGATAAATGAAACATTGAGAATCTAGGCAAATGGTGGGGAAACATGTGCCGTATAAATTGCATTGTCAAGTTTACGGTTGAGCAATATCGCCTACGCGATCGGCATTAAAATTACGCATTCCGCTTTCGTGCTGGTAAGTATATGCGTGAGGCGTATGCGTTACATCGCCGAAAAGTGATAAGATCAGAAATATTTCTGACCGCGCGCGATGAAATGCCACGTTGCACGTTCGATGATGCAAGGCATTTCTTTTCCCGGCTGGTCGATTTCCGCGTCTTCTCGTTACGTAAGGCGGGCGCGGACCAGTTTCTGGACAAACCACCTTTGTGCAATTTCAGTGGCGTGCCTTTGGAAACAATAATAATGGCACCTCTTGTCATAGCTCGCGAAAGCTGCCGTCCTACGCGCGCGCGCACGCCGCGATGAAAAATCAGATTAGAGAGTTCGTGAAATTAGAGGGTATAGCCTATTGTTGCGCGATGATTAATATTTATGCGCGACATTAATTTCACATTTACAATCCTCGGCGAATATATTTGCAAAGACATGTATATATTTATACAGGACATTTATATTTATTTATTTATATTACAAGTTTCAATTTAATCGAAATCAAGGTGCAATCGGTTGCTCGCGATTGAAATTTTCCCCTGAATTTATTAAGCTTAAGTAAGTAAGGGATCTAATTAAAATCCAATTTTAATATTCAATTTGATCAACGTTGTTGGATACAATAACAATGCGCTTACTAGATAAAAGTATGGTCGAGTGACGAATTGATGTGAAATTACAGATCTCTTACCGTGTATTTTCGTCTTATTTGTAAATCGACGGAGCGAAGCAATCTCGAGGATCGTTAGCAGCGGACTGACGAGCTGCTTAACGCAGCTCGATGTGAACAGAAACGCACGAGATACGCAAAGAATGACCGTTAAAAAGAATACGAGCGATCTAACGGTCGAGCGGTAAAAGATGCAATAAAATGACGAGGGTTATAAAGCGGGCCTGCGATTGAGTTTGCCGTTAATTTGACAGCAAAAGCGCGATTTCACCTGACACGATTTCGCCGGCTTTCAATTACGCAAGACAACGGAGTCGTCCCTGCGGCCTTTGTCGCCGAACAGCTTTTGCGCGTTCCATTGAGGATTCTTCTTACCGCCGAATAAAATCCTCACCGAGTGTCCGACACAAAGGAACTTCAGGCTAACGAGTTCGCATTGTACGACGATAGTCGCGGAACGATAGAAGAGAGAAAAGAAAGGGAGAGGAAAAGAGAGGTATTCGCTACCTGTCGAAAATATTGCATTATCGGATGCGTGACAATAACGAGATTTTGCAACCCTGTCAAGGGAACGTTCGACCATTCGCGTCGGCGACGGCGACGGCGACGGCGACGGGGAAAAACTGCAATTATCGCGCGCGGAATGTTGCGCGCGGTGCTTCGCGGTGGCGTTTCAGCGTCTCAGGGAATATCGACACAGGCGCGTTTACAACGAAGGAATTCAGTTTATTATTTCGTATACCTACGGTGAACAGCTAATTATTGTAGAACTATGCGCTAAATACGAGCACTACCTGTACCAACGCGCTTACACATTCACGCGACACGCACACAGAGAGAACGATTTAGTTGAATTTAACAAATGCTTATTTGGAATAGTCCAAATAAATGTTTTGATTGATCGAACGAAGTTTTGTTTGACGCAACGAAAGTATTTTGTCGCAGCTTGGTTCCAACGAAATGTTCTTGTCACGTCAAACAAAGTTTTGTTCGATCAATCGAAAAATTTATTTCGGCTATTCCAAATAAGCATTTGTTAGATTCAACTAAATCGTTCTCTCTGTGCGTGACATCTCTTTTTGCGAGTAGCCCATGCTCTTCGTATCGTAGCTCCGCGTGAATCGTCCCTATGCGTTATATGTATTTCATAAAAAGTAATTAAATTAATAGTGTATATAGTCAAAGCGATACACGCGATACACCTTTACATGGCGCGCAATGTGCAACTTACGCTACGCAAGGGTGCACTTCAGCGTACTCTCGTCGCGGCGTCGTAACGATCGTCATTTCGCTGCCGACCGTCGTGTGACTGTGTCTACTTGAACGGATGATCTGACTATTTTTCGCTCGGCAACATCGCGAAACGTCTCGTAGGAATACGATTATGATTTGGTATATTCTGGCAGATTAACGTTAACGAGCTTCTCCCCGAGCGCTCCGCGGGACAAGCGGGATGGACCTTTCCGCGCGTCTCACGATGAAGCGCTCTATCTTACGCGATGTTATTCCCGAACCAAGTACCGATTACTTTGCTTCTCGTCTCGTCTCGAGTCATTGCGCCCGATGGAACAGCGACACGATCCAAAGGGTCATCGCGAGGATACTAGTCGCGACCCAGGACGCGCAGATCGAGGTCGCGCCGTTGTAGAAGCCGCTCCCGTAAACCTGCAAGCCCGCGGTCTCTATGCTCCTCTTGCAGTAATCTCCATCTGTAACAGGTTTAACGTAATCTCAAATTACATAAACACAACACGCACTGTCCGGACTCGCCGGGCATCGAAGGCGATTCCTCCCGGACACAACGTGCGCGCGCGCGCGCGCGCGTTCTTTTCTCGTGCGTCGTAATCGATTAATCAAAACGTCCGCTTTTCTCCGTGACACTTGATAAATGATGAAGAAAAGTCCACACTTAAACGCCGCTCATGATATTCTCTCAATGGCCACAATGAGAGCGCGCCGTGGTGCGCGATCGAGCGATCGTTCGCTGGAGGGCGAGGGAGAGACAAGGCGCGAGCCGCTCTAAAATCCCGTAATCGAGATCGACAGGAACAAAAAGGAGAGCCACGGCGAGTAAAGGGAACCTCGCGGAGCGCACGGTCTCTCCCTTTCCTTTCGTGACTTTTGTTTCTCCGGCTTTGCGGATACTCGTCAAATTCGTCGGCGCTACCTTGTCCGCCGCTTGTACGCCGTTCCGCTCGAATCGCTCGCTCGTATTAAAAGGGCTCGTACCGATCTAGCGGTCTCTAGCCAGATAGATCGTGCGCGGTCTCTCTCGCGAGCGGTTTAATTTCCACAACTGTGTATTGCTACGCTGCAAGACGGCTGCAAAATGGAAGCAGCGTTACTTGGTAGTAACACGTTACTCCTTATCTGCCATCGCGCACAATGCGCGATATTACTTCATCCAGATCGAGTGACGTATCGGCGTGATGATTTTTTGTTCCATACGCGAATCGTGACTCGGCGCTCGGGAAAATCGGGAGCGATCGAGCGTTATGATTGGGTTTTACCGGGGAAAAAATGCTCGACACAACACTGATCTTACCGATTGAAATACGACATGGACACGGTGATGGAGCAATTGGCAGTAAACAGCGAGATGTATCGATTTTTTTTTCACATACTTCGCGTGAACCATTCATTTTCTAAATTATTCGAAGCTGAACGTTTTTTTTTGCAGCAACGAAATATGAGTCGCTTCGCTCGTACGGCCAAAAATTTGAGAGATTCCATCGGTTTATATTTTATGAGAGAATATAATATCGGAGACTCTCGGTAAGATATTTAAAATATTATGCTGTTTGGGTGTCGGCGTATTTTACACAGTCACGGCCCACGCGGCTGAAGAAGCCGCGAGTAAAAAGCGAACGAAGATCGAATGAAAGTGAAATTATATGACCGTGTTCCTTGTGTGTGATTTCTTTTTATCGTGCTGTTACGCACGAGTCCCGTACATCTGCTCTCGCTGCATCGGGATCGGGGTTTTTGCGAAGGGAGCTCTCATCTTATTTGTCGCTGAATATATTCGCCAAAAGAATCCTGCCAAAAGAATCGCAGGTTCGCGCGTAACTTCCTGCATTTTCCCTCACTCCCTCTCTCTCTCTCTCTCTCTCTCCCGGCTGTTTTGATTAAAAATATTGACGAAAATGTGTGCATGTCGAGTTGCATAACCAGTGCCGTATACGTCCGGCTGCTATAACGAATTCGCGTTGCCAAACCAATGGTACAAACGTTGCCTGCATAATCGTTGCAATCAAGCAAAACGAACCTCTACGATGCGAATTGGTCATTCAAAGCAACTCTCTAACGTTACGCATTTTCACTCACTAACTGAGACACGCTTACCCATGACTAATCCCTTTTTTCATCTCGTGATTTTCATTTCCTCTACAACATGACAGACAGAGTGCACGATACGGGAGAAGGTTTCTTTTTAAAGATACTTTTAAAGATACTTTTTAAAGATACATTCAGCATGTCTCAACTTCAACATTTGCATGCGCGTATGCGCTTTTGCAGGTAAATGCAGGAAAAGAGATTGAAATTTAAGATACGAACAGCACTTTTAGAACAAGCATACAGGTTTAACCCTTTAACGCCTACTGCTAACTATAGTTACCAGAAACGCATTTAAGAATTCATAACTTGGTCAGAAAAGGAGATATTTTCGTTTCCTTTGCATCACTGTAAAGGTAAATTCTTCTTCTAAAAATGCGTATATAGATTGTATGTAGGTTCGGTTTAGCCTGTTTTTAGCTCAGTTTTAATAACATAACATGTTTCGCTAAATTTCAAGTAGGCATAGTTAGAGCATTGTTACTGACATCTAAAATATGAATGAATAGATTGGTATCTGTTATAATTTTATACATTTGGAAGCTTTCTCAGATGCAAAATGTGAAATTGAAAGAATATAGAAATTCAAAATGGCGAATCCAATACGCGGTGGACACGAAAATGAAGAAATCAACCTCGATTTTCGTGAAACCTGGTGAACTTGCAGTTTTTTATGCGGCGAAAAATGAAGGGACTATCTAAAAGGTGATCGATAAGGCATTCTTCTGAAGTAGTAAGCTTGACGCTCTGAATGATAAACTTCACTCAATATAGTACACAATAGTCACAAATATAGTAAAGTTTCAGCTCAAAAATGTCAAGCTAATTATCAGAGTTAGGTCGTATAGATTACCCTTCACTTTTCTCTGTATAGGTTGCTCATTTCGTACATGCTTTCAGGATCCAAGTCATATTACATACTAATAAACAAAAAATGAACGATAAAAAAAACCAATATAAAATTCTCTGATGTTTTCTTTGGTTATCGCTACTCGTAGTCTCAGTTCGAAAAACCTCAAATTTTATTCTGAAAACACACTTATAAAAAAGTCGGGCGTCAAAGGTTAAGGAAATTTCCATTTCCATTCCCCGGGCGTTTCCAGCAGACTGCAAACACCGCAAGAGCGCCACTAAGAGCCCGCTCCAGACACGACTTTGTTCTCGAGCAAATTAGATTTAACGGACAAATGCGAATCGATGGAAATTTTCTCATCTGCTGTGCTACATTTCGCACTCTACGACAGGATACGCCACGTGTCTTTGACCGGATCTGCAATAGTCAGCTGTCAAAAGAAATCGGTTGCATCAGTCGCGACTAGTGACCTCATTACGTAACGCGTTACGTACGAGCACATAATCTCAGGTCGTTCCTCGATCGGATCGAGCCTAATCTAGTTTGATCGCTCGAAAAAACTCGCGCGTCTCTTCGGATGCATCTAGGTGGGCCGCTGCGACGACAAAAATGAGAATGCACTCTCGTGCCGAACGTGTCTCACGACTCTCGTTGTCGCGCACTCTCCTTTTCTCCCCGTCTCCTCTGCTTCCTGACTGCTTCATTCTCTCCTGGCTCTCTTCCTCCAGCTCCGTCTCTCTTTCCGTACTCCGGCTTTCGCAATTTCCCAGTCTCGCGGGAGGGGAGCTGCACTTCTAAACTTTACAATCGTCCACGGGAGGGCGGTGGCGGCGGTCGTGTGCCGCCTTTACGCTTTATCGCGGAAATAGCGTGAAACGTCGTGAAACGTCGATGGGACAAGAAAGCGCTCTCGCGCGCGGCTTCGCATTGCTCGCATTCGCGTGATCTCCGGCGTTTCTTCCACGGTTGTGGCGAATTTCTTTCATGTCCCAGCCAAATTCTTCGCGGCGTCTGACACGATTTCTGCCGCGCGTTATTCAGCCGCGCTTCTGCTTTCAGCCTCCTCATCGGCTTTTCATCGACGAGGTCTCGGCGATGTCGACTTTCCCTAATTTATCGCAACGTAACGTAACGTAACGTTTTCTCGCTTTATAGGGAATTTAGAACTTGATTTCGCGAACTCGCGAAGTGCGCTCCTCCGTTATGGTTTCGAAACGCGTCGACATAATTTATGGGATGAGCGCGCGCCTCGCTCCTACGTACATACGCTTGTACGTACACGTCCAAGTTCCTCTTTCCTCTACGTAATCGTTTTTATATAACGTTCGGCGAGCGAGCGGGCACGCGCGCGCGTGCCCGCTCGCTCGCGTTAAAAACACCGGCGTTAAGAATTTGGCAAGATGTGTGCCCTCGTGCCTAGGTGCAAGCCGTTAATCTCAATAATTTCGTCCGCACACAGCAGATCATAATTCAGCGGGGTGTCGTCACACAATGAACATTCGTAGCGCTCGCCGCTACGGTAAGTAGCACGTGGGAACCGCAACCTTCAATCTGTTACGGTAGGAAATTGCATAATTTGTAGCAGGTTACGTCGAAAGGCACAGCGCGTTATACGACGGATACGTTCTACTACGTCACGCGTAGAATAATCGATCCGAGCGGCCGACGCGGCCCTGCGATAATTACGCTTAACTAAGAGCGAGCGTAACGCGCGCGTGGCGCGCACGGCAAATCGCGCCGTAAATCGCGGGACGAGGCTGTCGCAACGATCGAACGTAAATTATTCCGCGTCAGCTCATGAGCGAGCGGCGCGGCGTTTCGATACTTGCCGTAAGACCAGCCGACGACTTCGCCCGTCCGCAAATTCTCCGTCCTCAGCCAATCCTCCAACGGCCGGAAGTACTCCCTAAGAGCGGATCCGTCCAGCCTGAACTCGTTGGTGACCTCTCGGAGCGTCTCCTGCCACGGGATGGACGAGCCTCTCTCCATGAGTGTCCTGCGGATGGGAACAACATGCTGATTGCGACGCTCGAATGTTCATTAATTTGCTCGATTTGATCGACGCATTAAGATTTCGGGTTCAGGTTTCTCGCGAAAGTTGCGCTACTGAAGCGTTTTCCAAGAGAATCTCCTCCGTTCTTTTCGAAAAAGCTGGCTCAGAGGCAACCGCGACTGGAAACACCGCAGAGACCGAAGTCGCGCCTTTCCAAGACGTCCGGCCTCTTCTCTGGCGAAGGCGTTTCGAGTGAAATGATTACGACGAGAGTGAAACCTGTCAACCTGCAGTGAAAATGCTGGAAACTCGCGAGGAAAAGCGCGTTGCGGACTTTCTTACTTCATTCAGCGGAAGCTGCTATTTACGACGCAGTCCTCCACGCGAAGGGTATGCGTGGACCGCGCGCGCGTGGTCGGGAAAAAGATCGCGCGCCACGCATAATCCGGCTAGGCGATTACATAAAGGATAATCCGCAGGCAAGGATTATTCAGTAACGCGCGAATGTCGGTTTGCGTCGCGCTATTTACGGCTCGACATTCTCCCGTGGCGTCGGAGGCGCTTCGTCGCGCGCGGAAACGCGAGGGAGAACTCCTGCGAAGACTCAGGACTATACGAGGACCGAGACGGTCGGTGTAAGGACAACACCGCGCTGCATAATGAGCGGTGTAATAGCGGCGCAATTTTATAAGGTGCACCTAGGTCGATTCCTAGGTGGTTCTTTCTTTAGCGATCTTTGTGTAGCTGCTGTGTAGCTCGTGTACTCCTGACGATGGACTCGTGTACTCTGACACGCCGCAATCCGTTTCCACGGCGAACCGTTTCCATCGCGATTTCAATCTGTACCGGCGATATATCTCGGCGGTTATGACAGCGGAATGCCGCTGCGGTGTTTATTACGCCGCACCGTCGTCGTCGTTGGGAGTTCCACGAAGAGTTTACGCCGACATGCTGTAATATCGTAAGATAGAACAAGCACGAGCGGCCTAATTGACATCGCCGCGTTATTATCTCTCATGCGTATGATATTTCACTTCATTTTGCCCTTTTTCCACTTTGCTCCTTTGCCGTCTCTCGAGCTCCCTTACTATTTCGAGACGCAAAGGTACTTCATTTGCTCAAGTAGTCTCCTTCTGTGAGACACAAGAATATATATTCTGCACATTTTTAGCAACCATTTTTCCTTTCTAAAGCTGGCTCGTCACGATTCTATTTTCGTTATAATTTCACACGCAACACAGAATATAAATAAAATTCTCTTTAGACATATGCGCTCGACATTTTAATTTTAATTACAGAGCACCACCTCTAAATTCGGAATATTGAAAATTAATATCGCATAAAGCGAGACACAGAAATCCGTATTAAATAACGTCTCTCATTTTTTCTCCCCTCACCTCTCTCTCTCTCCTTTCGCTATTCTTCTCGCCGTGCCCCGAAATTAATTAGCGCGCGAATTTAGTCAGAGGAGCGAGAGACAACGTACCTCAACGGCTGGGAAAATTGACGGCAAATGAGTTCCGATTAGGTCGTCGACACCGCCGACGATCGATGATCATCGTCTGCGCCGGTAACGTCGTGCGATCCAAGATTAAACGACTTTAAAGGCGATGCTACGATCTGAGAACTGGTGCACGTTGCCAACGAGGTGGCTGCTTAGACGCGCTGGTTACGCAACAGTGGCAGTATCCCGCGCTGATCGGCCTCTCAAATCGATCGGCTGGGATCAACGTTGTGAACTATCGCAACTTTTCCTTTATGCATAATCGCCGGATCGCGACGACGTTACGGCGTAACATTTACCAAGTGGATTAACAAACAGGCTTTTAACAGGCTTCGGCGGGCAGCGCTCGAGAACGCTCGGCGAGTGCGTAAAAATGTTGCCGCGCGCAGATCCTTTGGCAACTGTACGATTTAGTGGCCGAGTGGCTCGTGCCAGTGATCGCTGAATTGTACGTTTATATATATATGTGTATATATATATATATATTTTTTTTTGTTTATAAAAGAATCAAATACGTAATCGATATATATTACTAAAAGAGATACTTCAGTTTAATAAGCGAGTCGATGAAGCGGATCGCTTGGAAGAACGAGAAGGAACTATTTTTACTCGATTGCCCGATTAATTCATCGATTCATCAAATGCTCGAGGCTCAATGTACGGGCTATTTTTGTATATATTCGATACTACTCGCGGAACCAGGTCGAGCGGGAGAGATCAATCTCGGCAATATTATTTATATTGTATATCTCTCTTGTGCACTCGCAGTCGTTTCAGGACTGTGCATTCATGTTGCGTCACGATCGCTCTATCGCGCAGCTGCGGCAATCTTGCGTTATCAACAATTCGACGGGTTCGACGGATAAAAAAAGTCCACGCCGTGTTCGCTGTCGTGGCGCCAGCGTTAAGAGATACGAGCTCGCCCCGTCGCGGATTCGAGATTTCACGCTTGAAATCAGTCCCGTCGTGAGCGTTTCCGGTTCCTCCGAGAGATCTCGGCGGCAAGAAGGTTCCTTCGCACTCGCCGCTCCATTCGTGGGAAACGGTTCGATTAGTGAAAAAATTCGGCATGCCCAAGGGGCCCGAGTTTTCGCTCTCCCGCCGTCTCTCGCTCGCTCGCTCGCTCTCTCTCCTTCTCTCGTCTCTCTCTCTCTCTCTCTCCCTCTCTCTCGACCGTAATTTATATCGATCACATAATTTCCGGCGTTCGGCACGTCGGCCACGTAGGCGAAATCGGTACTTTCCTGCCGGCCGAGTGATGCATTTCGCAATGTGAGAGATGCTGCGAGCGCGCGAATGTTTCGACGGCCGACCAGTGACTTCGGCGGCTTATCGTGAAACCAAGATGAAATAAGTCTGCGACAAGTGTCAATTCAGGCATACCGGACAGATTAGGCTTATGTAAAATTCTCCGTCATCTGCAGCAGTCGTGCAGATTTTCAAATCATCGCCGCGCCACTAGGCTAGGGTCTGCAAAAAGTGTTGCGTTGGAAGCTTCTTGAAATACCGCGTCTCGTGACGAAGAGAGGAAGAGAGAGAGAGAGAGAGAGAGAGAGAGAGAGAGAGACGCGAGGAAGCGCACCGCAGAAAATGAACAAGTCGGACGATGAAGAAAAAAATGTTACGACGTTGTAAACACTTTTTACAGAAGAGAGTTCATACTGCTCTCCTCATTATACATTTTATAATCTCGCCTTGAAGAGAAAGTAAGATTGACTGCAAATTTTAGCGGACCACGAGAAAAGAATTCCGTCGGAGGTCGTATGCTAATAAATGAACTAATCGACTGCGACTGTGACTCGTAGTAGTAACACACAAGTAACAAATCTCGGCGCTTGATGAAGAGCGATGCGCTATTGAAAGCTATTGAACGAAACAAGAGGAGTCTCTCCGTAAGGCTACATTGTCGCGAGTGACGATGCACGGACGCGGCACGTGCGAGCGGTCGAGTTAAAGCGAGCGCGATATTGTCGACTCCCCGTCGTCGTCGGTGAGCAATTTTCAATCGCTTCGGAAGTTTTGCGCGATTGCGTAGGTAGAATGATCTCACGCGTCCGAGGCTCTCCGAGGGAGTAGCAGTTACGCGGCGATTACATTCAATTACGTTCGAGGCGCAAATGTCGTACAGCGCGCCGCAAAACTTCTCCGGCGTATCGCGATATCGGGGGAGAGCCAGGACTTTCAAACGATTCCTTTCCGATCCTCCGCACGGTCGTCCGTGGCGTCCAAGGACGAAGCATCGATTTGCATTCGTTTAAATCACGGCGTTCGATGCTTGGCGAATGAATAAGTCAGCCGCTGTATCGTGCGGTTTCTCTTGCAGCTTCGACCGATCAACACACAAAGCGCGAGCGATATTAAATGACGTGTCGTAAATAAATAACAAAGCCCGTTCCGTTTGTGTGATTTCCACACACTGTGGAATCTCAATTCGATTCTCGCTGTATAAAATTCACACCTAGGGACCTGGGCTTGCGCCAATTAAATAATCCCTAATTAAATAATTGTGAGAAAGACGGTGTCTCGTTAACGAGAGGCAACAACTTCCAAATCGACGAAAAAAAGAAAGAAACAATTACACACGGCCGCGTGCGAAAGACGAAAAGCTTCAAGATTAATTAAAAATTAATTAATTAAAATTAATTACGAGCGACGTCGAAGCGGCGCCAGACGAAGGCGCGCGCGGTTACGAGTCGCCGAGCACTCGTTGCGGTCCTCAAGATTCGTGGCAAGGCTATTCTCTCGTCTCTGATAGAAACTCGGCTGTACCTCTCGGCCGTTTTAATCGACTTACACTGTTTATACGGAAACGAGGCGTGCGCGTGTGTCGACAGCAGATTTATCCGATCGGGTCGGTATTACGTGAATTATCGGCGAGCAACGCCCTCGAATCTTGCGCAGTGAAAACGGAAGTGTAACGCGTAACAGCGCTCTCCCGCGCGTCGAGTTTCTTCGTCGTGTAACCGCCTCGTGGACGCTCTCTCGTAGCGTCGACTCGGGGTAACTGTACGCACCTTTACGTGTGACACACACGCACATTTTTACGCGGTCTCACAGGCGGGCTTTCGTAACCCCGCGCGCGCGCGCGCGCGACTTCGTCGTCGCCGACGTGCCGTAAAGCGAGAGCTCGAGATCGTCCTTCGATTACAGGAAGTCCGCGCGTTCCGCAAAATCTCGATTCTCGCGCGGTGAATGATCCTGCGCAGCTGGATATCCGCTTCGTGTCCGATAGATTCGCAACGCGTTGCGCAAAAAGTTGGCATGTCGTAGAATGAAGATGACGTATATAGCAACACGGCGTATTCGTTGACGATGAAAAATAGGATAAGTTCCGCTAAATAAATGCGATTTTATTCGTCACGACGTAGCCGCGCGATGTAGGAATTTATTCCGCACGAAAATACACTCTCGTCAATTTTATCTTTTTGTATTTTTAGCCGCCACGAATGACAGTTCTCCCCGCGCGATCACGAATGATATAAAAAGGAAAAAAAGAAAAGAAAAACGATGCAATCTCAACACGGAATTTTAACACGGAATTAGCAAAAATGTTGCGAGTGATAATTAGCGAAAAATCGAGGCGAGACAACAGTTTGAGATTAGCTCGAAATTGATCGCCATGGTATTAATATGAGGCTGGCTGCGCGAATATTTTGACCCAATTCCGAAATGTAAAACTTCATACCGTGTTTGGTAACATTGATGTAACGGCCGCGTACACACACAAGTGCGCACAAATGCACGTATCGCACAGTCGAATCCCGTCCCAGCGTGAATACTTTGGAAAATTGCTTTATTGCAGGAAGCCGCAGCGCGACTTGGTCGCTCGCCAAGGAGATTTCGATCTATCGGCGAGTAGCCGAGCATCTTCGAACGCGGAACAATCCTTATCGAGAACTTCCGTTTGCCAAGAGAACATCACGCGACTCGCCGCTTCTTCGCCCCGTAAAAGTCCGCTCGCGTTACGCCTGTAAACGCGCGCGCCCGCGCCTTCGGGAGTCTCGCGCGAATGCAGAAATACGCGCACGCACGCACGCACACGCGTATATCGTAACGCGAGAGACGAACGTTTCCAGCATAAATTACTTCCCGACGTACGGAGAAATATGTGCGTCCAGCGTTAATAAAATGTCTCGCCGCCCGATGCTTTTTGTCATTTTACGTAAGCTTGACGTAGAGCGGACGATTTCGTAACCGCGCACGAAACGCGGACGTTTCAGCCAAGTGCGTGCGCGTTACTTTGTTGCTCTTGCAGTGTTCGCAACGCGATCTGCAGATTACCTTGCCGGGCGGCCTCGCTACTTTACTTTCGACGCGTGCCAGACTTTAATTGCCGCGACATACGCGGCATCGTGCGTCGATAGAGAGGCCGAGCGCTTCTGATTAGAGCTTCCTCGTGAAAGCCCCGACGACAATCGCATGCCACTCGATGATGCGTGAAAAATTACACTCTGTTACCCCGCGCATCCTGCTCGGTCAATATTCAACCCCTGCGTGTAATGCGCGACACACACACACACACGTGACACGGACGGACAGGCACGTGCGCGTACGTGTTGTTGCTGTAAGAACTTTTGCCGCGTAACCGCGGAGATTATATAAATATCGTTATAATATATATATATATATATATATATCGATGTAGTATTTGCGCTCGACGATTATAATAACACGTCCGTGTTTTTTACGTGTTCCACGCTTTTCCCCGGCTTCACATCAGTCCGGATTACGTGCATTCGTCGTTCCGCAAGGTAAGCTCTGCACCTCGTTCTCCGTAAGCGAGCGGCGGCTGCCGACGCCGCGTGTGTGCTTATTATTATCGGAATATTCGGTCTCGGTCGAGGGAAACTGTATACGCGAGCGATAACTGTGACGCGTCTCGCAGCGAGCAACGTCGAGAGAGAGAAAGAGAGAGAGAGAGAGAGAGACAAGCGGCGCGGCGGCTTCGCGGCGAAATTGCGGAACCGAGAGATTTCCCTCTCGTTGACCCAGATTGAACGGCAGAACGTTCGTCAGAAGATCACCTCGACTCACGGTTCGATCAGATCCGATCCGGTCACTTCTCGATCGACGAGACGGGATACACGACGACGACGACGACGACGAGGACGACGAGGCTCGTCGCGTGTCGTCCGGACGAAAATCCGCTTAACCGCGGACTCTCTCGCCCAAGCGTGAACGATATAAAGCTCCGTTAATGAGGACGCCGCCGCGAAGCGCCGCATGCTCCGCGCCGTGGATTGATACCGATCTAAGCGTTATTACCGCGGCGAACGCATCTCGCAACACTCGCGCGGACCGTGATCGAGCTCGCGTGCATAATGCGACCCGTAATCAACGACGCAAAACCGCAATCCCGGCGCCCGGCTGTTCTCGCGCCGCTGAGCCGCGGGACCTGCAGAATGCAGACGCGGACTTCGACGCCAAAGGCGACCACTCGGCCACCGCGCGCGCGGTCGCTCTTCAAGGCGGCTCGACATTTTTCAGCTATTATCGCGCGCACCCCGTTTGCGATATCGCGCGTGCGCTTCGCTCAAATTTCATTTGATTTAATCAGGATCATCCGCGAGTTCGCGAGAGCGTTGCCTTTTATAGAGTTCTTTTTTTTTATTTTTTTCTTTTTTTTTTAGAAAAACGACCAAACAGCCGAAAGACTGTCGAGAATAATCGCTCGACTAAAAATAGATCGTACGAAAATTCAAGTTGGATTCAAGCCGCAAAATTTGAAGTCGGACGCGCGAAGACACGGGTGGGATGAGATTTCTGGCGAGAAAAATTTTGAGAGCGATTCTGAGAGGTGAATTCTGAGAGAGATTTGAACATTGAACCAAACTGATCTGATTGAATCACGACATTGTGATCACTTTCTCCCGATAGCAACAATTGCAACAAACTCCGTAACGAAGTCAAGTTGCAGGTCGGTAGTTAGCGGGTCTGTAGTAGCGAGCGATTACTCCGACGATACCCGAGATAAACGAGAGCGAACGGTTTGAAGACACGCAATTAGGAATGGCGAAATCGTCGCGGAGAGGGTGCTCTGTATTCCAAATATAGTCACGCGGGTAGCATCGTAACGAAAAGGCGAGGAATATCGCGGGATTGCGCAACGCGACAGGAGGAGTAAGTGCGCGGCTGGCGGCGCGGGGAATAAAATTTGCCAGAGTAATTCATCGATCAGGTGAGCGGCGGCGGCGGGAGTAGCGTAATTTAATCTCGAATCTCGCCCCGGCTACGTTAAATACGCACGACGCACTTTAATCACGCCCGCGCATATTTACACGACAAATTCGTCCATGGGATCTGAATTTTTCTGAATGATTCAGCTGAAGAAGAACGACGGGACAAGAGTTACGACCCCGCTTGGGCGGGTTGCGCAATACTTTTATATCTGCGCTGTTTTACATCGGAATCGATGTTCCGTCTGTTTTTTCCTCCTCTTTTGCTTTTTACCTTCGTCGAATAATTCGCGCCCATCGGCGCAAAAATATTACTAACGAGACGCAACGACCTTTCCACGTCCGTATCTTGAGGAGGTCGCGGCTCGGTTGTTGTGCGAATAACACGTGTCGCGGATATGCATTATATATTACTCCGAATAAATTCTAACCTTGAATCTCTCAATGGGGCCAAAATGTCAGGACCCGGAATGAAACATCGATCGTGTCGGCGGACTCGCCTCGCCATAGGATTTTGCAAATTCCTGACATTTCAAGACAGCCGGCTGCGCGGTTGTTCGGCGCCTCTGGATGAACGAGTCAGCAAGCCAGCGGCTCCCTTGCGAAAAACGGCACGTCTCGCGCGACGATTGAGAAGCTCAAAGAGCGAGGTGGGTGATAAACAGGTCGTTTTTGCTCTCTAGTGGGAAATTCCCACTCGGAGACGTCTTCGACGCGGTGATGTTACGATTGTACCTGGAATCGCTCAAACTGCTAAATTCCGACGAGGATTAAAAGTCTACACTTTGATCCTGCGCGAATTTCTAAGGAGGGCCACCCGGACGCGATGACGCGAGCACCGAATCGATCCTGCAAAAACCTCCTCGCTCTCCGTCTTATCTTTCTTCTTCCTTTTTATTTTCTCGAGAGGACGCGACGTTATTAAATTGCCTCTCTTGACGGCTTCTCCCCGTTTTAGGGTAGAAAAAAGCCTCGTGCAAAAAACAATGCAACAAATGACAGTGAAATCATCATTGAGCGATCTCCTTCATCCCGATTCCTTCCTCTCGCTTCTCTCTCGTGTCCACTCTCCGTGATCGGCATTTTCTTTTATGCGACCTACAGTCACCGTCGCTTTCGTCGCTTTCAAACACGTTGAATCTAACTCTCCTCGAAATGGTCCTCGAAGTGGCTCTCTGGGACGGCGGTGGTCCGGCATTTTTACAAGTGTTGTCACTGCGAATACTTGCGTCACGCAAGTATAAAAATTCTGCGGCGGTATTTTATTCTTAATTACGTGCAATTAACATCCACCTACGTTACCCGCGCGGCACTCGACCATTGCCGTGTTACGTATCCGCGGCCGCTCGCGCTTTACGAGTCCTTAATGCGCCGTTTACCAGTAAAGCGGTACTTGGCGTTTTTCTGCTTCCATTGCACACCTGCGTCGTGTTGCCTACCGGACGTTGAAATATGGGCGCGAAATAGCGGTGCAGCTTTTTCAACCGTAAAAATGCGACGGCGCGATCCGCAAGCACGACGTGCGAAACGCTTGTTTTTTGCAGCCGAGCCTTTCCGTTTTGCCAGGAACGGCTTCAGCGAAGTCGTCGTCGTCGTCGTCGCCGCTGCCGCCGCTGCTGCTGCGGATCGATCGCGGCCTTTTTGCCCCGTAAGAAACGCGCCCAGTGCGATGTTGCGAGAGCGCCCAGGACACGCGGATCAAAAATCGATCGTTTAAAGGACGCGCTTCCTCGCTTTCGAGCGTGCGTACGCGACGCGGAGCGTAAATAATGAAGGAAATATTTCCGGACCGGCCGGCCGGCCGCCATCAGCAACGCTGATCTTCTCAGCCGATTGTCCTCCTATTGCTCACCCCAGGATTCTGCCGGCTTCCGGGTTCTTGTAGAAGTCACACTTGTGCAGCGGCCTCCTGGGGTCGTCGACGAATCGCTGCCCCGCCGCTTGGCACAGCGCGCGATAAAGCTGGAATTGAAGGACGCCGGCCACAAAATTCCTGCGGAACATAAGAGAAAGCTAATTAGCTTATATCACCTTTTGCCTGGAGAAAAATTGTTCAGAAATTGTAAAGAATTGTGTGTCGTTTCGACGAGAAGTCGGGATTTAATGACCGTGTTATCCGACCGACGAGTTCCTCTCTCGTTGACGTGTATGTCTGTTTAATTTGTTTAATTTAATTTCACGACGTGAAATTTAGAAGGAACTTGGAATTGCCATAGAGCGACTTGAGGAATGCGTTGGCGGGATAAAGGACAGACCGGAGGTATACGTCGCAGAGACATCAAGCGAGACATCAGCGAGCGCAAATTTCCCAAAAGTTTTCGCATAAAACTAGGAAAATTATGAGAAACTATATCGCCGATACGCCCCACTTGTGAGATCTCAAACAAGCAGATTGCAATTTTAATCTCGTCACTGTACTGAATCCCGCGAGTTTGTTATCCTAACCAGGTCTGTCATGATCTGACGGTCTTAAACATTTTCGACTAGAGCGGCTGACTGAGAGGTAGTCATGACCGTCAACGCTGTCACTTTTCATGAACCTTGAAGAGAAGGCCGTCAAGGCCAGTGTCAGTAGGGTTGGCGAGGTCACGGGGAATCTCGATTTCTATAGAGCGAGTAAAATGACGCGAGATAGTACTCTCGTCTACGCAGTATAGAAGAACGTAGCTGTCGAGCTGTGGAAGGAAAGAGATGGCGCACACTCGGCTGGTGGTGTGTGAGCAGGTGGGCAGGTGAGTGTGTGTGTTGCCGTTTCACCGAGAGACCACTCTTCATCGGCAACGACCTTTACATAACAGCGTCCAGCCGATTCTTCCAAAGAGCGCGAGGCTCGGAATTACGATCCGTTATTCCGACACTTCCACTTTCCACGAGCGACGAAACGTGGTTCCTCCTCTCGTGGCTTCAACGCTCGTCAGCGTGGAAAATACACGCAGGGAACGCGTGACACGTTTAAGCGCACACGTGTACTGCGACTTGCAACGAGCGTCGCTCATGAATACCATCGATACGGGATTATAGCAAAGTGTTAAATCCACCAGTCTGCTGGGTTTAGAGACGAGTTTATTAGGCTGGATCGTTCCAGGAAGTTTCAAGCTATCTCGTCCACGACGGCATGAGAAGCGAATTTCGAATGACGTCAGTTTTACAGTCGACGAGTTCGAGTCACTTGCATACATTTATAATTATGTCGTTTTCGATTATACCACTCGTTACCGCGCGCCGTTTCACGTTTTATTTTTAGTTCCGTGGACATGAAATTATGCGCGACGCGAGAGAACCGGATCTAGAGACGCCAGCGAACGAGATCCGGTTGTGGGCCGGAACATAAAATTCCGGCATAAATTTCGGTGAAATTCGTCAGAAAAGACGGCAAAAGACGGCCGTCCGACTATGCAGCATTTATGCAGAGTTTTACAGGGAATTCTTTACAGGGACACACTAACCTTCCCGCCTACGACGGGCGGACGGACGAGCGCGTTCGAATAGCATCGCGAAAAAGAGGTAAACGCGAAGGCGTGATATTCAAGGAGTCGTCCTGCGAGGAAATTATCGAATCGGGTTGCACGCTTGGATGGAGGCGAGGTGAGACCTTCGCCCCCAATGTCAGATATCGCGATTACCATCGATTGCATCTCCGTGCGCTTTTTCACTTGCAAACTGGAGTAGCCTTGGAAGGCCTGGAAATATTACCGAGGCGAAGCAGAAGAAAGAAACGGATATCGGGCCGGGCAACTTTTCCCCATCAACTATTCAATCCATCAAACGCGTATAAATCCCAAGTGGTTCCTACCGCGCCTGCGGAAGATAAATCGAATTTTAAATCTACAAGTCGCCCATCAATTCTCTCCTGCATTCATTTCATTCCACCGTTTGCCAATTATGCCGTAATCCGCCGACAATTATTCATTCTTACGGCCGATTGAGAAGCTCCTCCCAGGCGATGCAGTTTTCAGCATTAATTCACTTTACCTCCAGTCCGTTCAATTATTCAATTCGATCTCGAATCGCGCGTGACGCCAAGACGCCAAGAGGCGTCATATTGCATATTCCGCGCGAGTAAAGCGGTAAAAGAATCATTTCCCCTTGTGCTCCTTCATCTCGCGTTACGAAATACCTGGACGACGACGACGACGACGACGACGACGACGACGACGACACACGTCGCTTTCGCCCGCGAAAAAAGCGCGCACGACATCGCGGCATTTCCGCGGGCTGCAGTCGAGACAGATGATTTGCCGGCTGGAGTGATATAACGCGTTACACGGCGTCGCGCAAGGTGATCATATCCTCGGCTGGACAAACGGCGACATACTTGGACGCGCGCCAGGCCGGAGGAGGAAGAAAACGGAACTTGAGCGCTTGACGCTGAGAGCGGAATCGTGAGGTGGTACCGCGGGTCCCACCACGAAAGGGGCCAATGGTGCAGCCACTAGATCGGCGGGAGATAAGTCCCACCGTGCTGTGGGTCTCTCTCGTCTCCACGTGTGGGTGCGGCTGTGGCTGTGGTCGGCACCGCGTCGGTGTTACGTGACGTGCGCGAGCCGCTGGACGGCGCGCTCGCGCCGACGAAGCCAGCTGAGGACGCGAGGAACGGCCGCGGTAACGGCGAAAGGGAGAGAGGATGGATGATGACGTTGGTCGCGCGCGATTCGCGTGACCGTTGCAGTCGATCGCCGCGAAAAATGACGTATCGAGCCGCGCGCGCGTTGCGTCAAGCAGCCCGAAGGATACGTGCGCGCGGGGAGGAGAGGCCGAAGGAAGAGACCGAAGGAATCTCGCCGCCGAGGCGACGATTGCGACGCGTCCGAGAAACCGTGCACATTTTTAGACGCTCGTTTATAGCCGCCCCCCGCTTTTGGCTTTGACAGCCGCGAGCCAGGAATTTTCTAGCCGGTTGGTCATTTTTTCTTCCCCTCGGAGCGCGAGACGTCGCGATGGATCTTCGCCGGTGCGAACTCGAAGTCGCTCGACTGAGGCATACGCGTTTCTCAGAGAGAAGAGAATTCAGGGAGATCTCTTCGGCTCGATTAGAACACAGCGCGAGATATATATTCGGGGGCGTAATGGGGGAGGGGGGATGGGAGGCGGAAAATTTACACTGCGGGGGAGGACGCGTTAGGAGTTCGACGTAACGTTGGAATGTGGAATTCTCGAACGCATTCTTGGGAATTGCAGGAAAAGGGTGGGAAATTAGTATAATCCGCCGACGACGGAGAAACCAGGTTGGCGTATCTCGCGTACGCGATTCACATCGCAGCCCGTTATTAAAAGCAAAGAAAAGGGAAACGAAAGTAAAGGGGAAAAGTGAGGAGAATGGTTGGACAAAACTTCCCACGGGAGAATTATAGATTTTCATCTGTAATTTCTCTCGTCCTGCATACAGAACGAACCGGCGCGGCGCGCCGCGGCGATCGACCGCGTGTGTAGGATTGAACAACACCAAATGATGCCGGCTTTCGCGTAAAGCGCGTCATCCTCGATTGCGTTTCAGCGATCACGCCCCAGTCCCCCCGGAAGGATTTCGCCGACTTCCGCTCCGATGACGAGGCATTTCTACTTCAGGGAACCGTGGAGTACGAGACACGTGGAGTCACGACGTAAAGCTTCTCGACTCGCGAGTGCACTTCAGCTATATTTCCAACGAAAGTGACACGTCGGGGGTGCCGGCGAATTGACCGAGAAGCCGCGGAGATGGTCGTGTTCGGCGATGGTCGTTCAAATTGAACGGCGAGCCACGGCGAATATTGACGATTCAAATTCTCTCCCCTCGTCTCTTTCTCTCCCTCGCGAGAGGCAATACCTCGGTGGAATTTCATTAAACGCTTCGGTTAAACGCGATAAATCCTTGATGGAGCATAATTCGACCGCACGAGGTGACAGCTCGGGGCGAGACGTTGTCGCGCGGACTACCGACGACGTCGTCCGTATCTACTCGACTTGGACTTGGCGTAAGAGACCCCGGCCGGGAGGATCCGTTCTCGGCTGGCGGCTGCGAACTCTCGTGAGACGTTACGTGCGAGGAGACGAGTTTTCACGTACTGTCTCGGTCCGGGCTGGAAAGGCACGCGGACACAATCGGCGTGTCTCTCGCCGGCGCAGCTCCTGACGCTAAGGGACGCCGGCGCGACGACCAATCGGTATGTCCGTCGTTCTCCAGAGAAAGTATCGCATAGCGCCGAAGCGCAGTCAAGGTATCGAAGATACGTGAGAAAAAAAAGAAGAGCGAGACGGCGTCGCGAGCGAGCGCGAGCACGAGGAAGAGGAAGAGAACGAGCCGGCCGCGAGTCGAAGAAGGAGAGGGACGTTCCTGCGCGCGACACACACGTGCGTGCGTGTATGTGTGTGTGTGTGTGTGTGTGTGTGTGTGTGTGTGTGTGGGGAGGGTGAGGAGGGGGAGTGGGGCGTCTGTCCCAAAGGGGAGTGGTGGCCGCTCGGTGGCCACGGTGGGACCGTCGTCGTCGTCGTAGCTGAACAAAGAGGTGTAACGTGGGGGTATACGACTTGGGGCCCCGGACCGTCGGGCCCCGGGTGGCGAAGGCGAAAGTGTGCCGCGTATATAAGGCCAGGAACCGACGGCAATCAGCATCCAGTTCACTCCTGGACGCACCCGGAACATCGCGAGAGCAAAAATGAAAATCCTGGTACGTCCTCCGTACGGGCCGACCGAGCGGTACTACTTGCGGCTGGTATCGCGAGCTCGGTACGGCGAGCGCGACTTCTCGTGTCGGGATGTAGATAACGGACGTTCGAGAGTGAACGAGAGACCACGTCGTATCGTCGCTCGAGTCGCGTCGAGAGATTAGCCGGGGGTGTGAATCGACCGCGTGTCCGAGCGCGTGTCTCCGTCGCGATTAGCGTTTAGCGTTTAGAGACAAACCCGCGAACCCGTCGCTCTCGCGGAGTGCTCTTTGGAATAGCCCGGCGGTATCGGATCGCGAGGAACTCGTGGAACTCGAATTAGGAATTCCGTCGCTGCGCGACGGAGTCTCGAGCACGAGCTCGAGGGAGCTCTTGGTTCCTTTACACATCGTGCGGTGATGTATGTACTTGGTGTGCTTCGACTGCCGGATCAGGAGTAGATTCTTTGTCGGGACGCGGAGGAAGTAGGTGGAAGTAGGTGCCTATCGGTCGGCAGGCGCTGCCTCTTCAGCGGCGGGTAGAGGTCCTTGGATCTGTCGCGGAGATACGCGGCGTGTCGGTGTAGAAAGCTTCAACCTTGCGGTTTTAATATCATTTTCAACCAGTTGTTCGATTATGCGCGTGTCCTTCGGCGAACTCGCGTTTTCCCCGCCAGCCGTTTGGATCGCACCGACGAAGCGTGATCCGGCATTACGTATGTCGAGCGTAACGATGACACACTGCGTACTTTTCTTGCCTCCAGATTTACGTGACAGTCGCCGCCTTGGTGGTTGCGACAGCATTGTCGGAGGACGCGAAAGCGAGCGAGAACGTTGAGAAGTCGGTGGCGGAGAAGTCCGGGGTCGAGAAGAAGCAAGAGAAGCGCGGTCTGCTCGGTCTTGGCTACGGCTACGGCTATGACGGTGGATACGGTATCGGATCTGGCGGACACGTCGGTCTCGAGCTGGGAGGTGGATACGGTGGATATGGTGGACACGGTGGACACGGTGGACACGGTGGATACGGTGGATACGGTGGATACGGTGGATACGGTGGATACGGTGGGTACTCGAGCCACGGACTCGGTGGACACGGTGGATACGGCGAGGTGGTCGTCGACGGTGGTCATCATCATCACGAGCACGTGAAGACCGTGACCGTGGTGAAGAACGTCGCCGTACCGTACCCCGTGGAGAAGCACGTGCCCTACCCGGTGGAGAAGCCCGTACCGGTGCCCGTCAAAGTGCCCGTCCCGCAGCCGTATCCAGTTGAGAAGCACGTGCCTTACCCGGTCAAGGTTCTCGTAAAGGTGCCCGTTCATGTGCCCCAGCCGTACCCAGTAGAGAAGAAGGTTCCCTACCCAGTGCACGTACCCGTCGACCGTCCCGTCCCAGTCAAGATCTACGTACCGCAGCCTTACCCCGTAGAGAAGCACATCCACGTTCCCGTCAAGGTACCAGTGCCGCAGCCGTACCCAGTTGAGAAACCAGTTCCGGTACCAGTGAAAGTCCCGGTCCACATACCCCAGCCGTACCCAGTCGAGAAGCTCGTGCCCTACCCCGTCAAAGTCCCGGTCGACCGTCCCGTCCACGTGCCGGTACCCAAGCCTTACCCCGTGCACATCGAGAAGCCCGTACCTTACCCAGTCGAGAAGCCAGTGCCCTACCCCGTGAAGGTTCCAGTTGACAGGCCATACCCCGTCCACATCGAGAAGCACGTGCCCGTGCCCGTGAAGGTACCGGTGCCGCAGCCGTACCCAGTCGAGAAACCGGTGCCCTACCCCGTGGAGAGACCCGTGCCGGTAGCAGTCAAGGTCCCGGTAGACAGGCCGTACCCCGTTCACATCGAGAAGCCGGTGCCCTACCCGGTCGAGAAGCCCGTACCATACCCGATTAAAGTGCCGGTGGCTGTACCCGTGCACCATGAACACCACGATCACCACGGCGGCTACCACGATCACCACGGCTACGTCGGTGGTGGATACGAGGGTGGATACGAGGGCGGAGATATAGCCTACGGACATCATCATTAATGCCACAATTCCGACTGGTTCTTCGTCGTCGAGCGCAAAACAAACTCCACCGCGACGACGGACAATCACGGTCGCCGAGGAGGACCTTGTCGATTTACTCTTAGGACACGAGGAACCGATCCGAAAACGTCGTCGTGCGGCGCCACGAGGATACCCGACGCTTTGTACCTGGATCGGGTCGAGGACGATCTCCGGTAGACGATCGCGTACCGGTCATTTGTCACCTCGGCACCGTTCACGATGAGGGCGCGGTATGGCGACGTGTGCCACCAGTTAGGAAGAACGAATGATCAGTAGGGTGTACTCGTCTCTTCAGCGATCTTCGCTCGAGAACAACTCGCTTGTCTTACTTTTGTACCGATATTAGCAAAGTATGTATTTTTTTACAGAAAACGAAATAAATATTATTGTAAAGTAGATTACACCGTGCTTTGTGCATTCCATCATTTGATTCATTCTCCCACCCACCCACCCCCACCCCCCGTCATTCCCGTGTATCTTTCATCTTGAGGACGAGGATAAATATTGAGAAAAGTAAAAGAAATTATTTAATTTTTTTTATAGTCGCGCCGAAAGAAAATACACAATAATGCGCGCATGTGTGGAGAAATCTCAAACATTGTAGAGCAATATGTAATATGAGTTATATCGTGATGAGGTGAAAATATGCATAGACATTACAAAGTTAAAGGAAAACACTGCAAGACGGGAAGTTATCAAAGATCGGTCGAAAAGAAAGGTCATGCGAATGAAAGGCAACATTGGCATATATGTGAAAATATATAACTAATGCTAATGTAATTGCCGCACGCACCGCATGCTGAAGCGTCTGCAAGCAGGTCAGAAAAGCAGTATAAACTGAGGGAGCGCTCTCGGGAGAAATGTCAACTTCGCATAGGATATCTTAGGTCATTCTTCGTTACGAGTCTCTTGTTATCGGTAAATGTCACTCCGTTCTATCGGCGAGACGAAACTGAATGATGAGTCGTCGACCCAGTTCCCGCCGTGTCTTCGCCGAATCAATAACCTTCATCACGCCTTCATCACATCACGTCATCATCTCAGCATTCATCTCGCCTGAACTGTTGCTTCTTCCAAATTGTCGCGCGAGCTGGACGATGTTTACCGCTTTACGTATATGAATTTATCAGCGACTTTCGCGGGCGGAGCGAAATCAAACATTGATCCGACCCGCGTCACTATGGAACCTTGAAGGAAAAGCGCATGCATTGCTGCAACACGATGCACATTCAATATTTAATTAAATTCGTTATATATAGTTCGACCTTTACATTATCCTGCGTTTACATTTCCTCGGGGAGCATCAAAGTTCGATCGGGCTCGCGTAGCCTTCGTTCTTTCGTTCGCGGAAGAATCAACGGCTTAATTTAATTGATATAACGAAGCTGGATGAGGATACCCCAAAGTTAACGGCATATCGGAGCGCCTTTCGGCGTATCCGATATACGATAATGCGAAACATCGGCTCATACGCGTGTGCACTTTCCACGTAGACGTTAACTAACGTCGTATATCATGATATATTTTGGATCGAACTTTGGAAATTATCTCACGAAACTCCGAAAACATGGCGCTGCGTTATAATCCGTTCCGCCCGATTTTTATCGTTTTCCCCATTCTCGCCGCCGACAAACTTAGGAAAGCCATTATTCCATATCATAAGTACAAGTAGTTTGTTGTAAAACTTCACAAGTTTGGAAAAGAAAAATTCAAGATCAGGGGAAAAACACCGCAAGATGCGGAAAGAATGAAGGCAATAGAAGGGAAGGCTATCTCTTTGTCTCGCTACATGGATTTGCGATGAGAGGCTCGTCGGGGATGCGACGAAAAATCATGAAGGGCGCGCGCCGGTTGGTCTTCGATCGGCTTCACTATTCCAGCCTTCGTGACCCCCAATCTTACGTTTTGCGTGGCAGAACCACTCCCGCAGTGGTTCACTGCGATATGCCCGCAGAAGAGAAGCCGATGCATCCACGGCTAATTTCTGCACGACCCACTTCGGCCACGAAGCGAGCTGGCTTTGCCACTTGACTCACGAGCGACTTACGTGCTCGTCCACGGAGGGAACGGTTATGCAATCGCGCCATTAGCGCACGCGACGCCGAGGCTGAAAGTAAGAGTCTCCCCTTCGCCTCGCTGTCGCGCCGAGAAAGACAGTGCCGCAAAGTCTACTTCCCCTTTCGTTCATTTTCCAGTCCCGGCGAGTCCTTTCGCTTCCTTCATTTATCCCGCCGCACCTCTTCGCCTTGACTCGCCGGAGCTTGTTCCTTTTGAGACAACTGCGCCGAACGAACGGTCATTTGGCTCTTCGTTAAAAAGAAAAAAATAAAAAACGATTGTCATGTCGCGAATATCTCAAAATTACAATCGCTAGGAAGTAAAATACGCGAAAACTAGCAAAATTACTTTTACAGCTTTTAAATTATCTGACATCCGGAAGGGAAGAATCTGCCTCGTATAAATAAGTTAGTGAGAATCAATTTTTCAGGTCGATTAAATAATATTTTATCATCTCAACGACATTTAACTTGACATTTAATTATCGAGATGGAAAATTGGATTCTTGACCATTAATCACCGCGCGCGATGTTCAAGATGAGGGAAAGCGTATGAGAGATTTCGCATTTTATTAGAGCCCAAAGTATTTTGAGAAATTATGTACCGTTGGAGAAGAAGACACATTAACATCAAGCTAATAATTTTCGTGATTGTCGTCGTCATTATGTTTACGTATTCGCGCTTAGTAATGCCGTTATGAAATTTCCTATCACCTAATTGCTTCAGTGAGAGGATTTCAAGCCAGTTATTTGACATTTTGTGTGATATTCATCTTATTTTTGAAGCGGACTGCCTGTGCATGTTAATAAAGTCACATGATGCAATCGAAAGCAAGCGAGTAGTTTCCATTTGGAGATGTCCTCAATTTGTGAAGAAATTGGTAAAGCGAGATTAAATCATTAAATTGCCGCAACCAGTGACCACTTCAGCCTGTTTACGGTTCTCTGTTTAATTAACGATCTGGAGCAGCGTTCATTTATCTACTTACTTACTTATTTACTTAAGTTGAATATTTTTACTTTGAGAAATTTCGACTCAAACTTTATTATAATCATCATCAAGTTCAACTCGTCTGTAGAGTTTTGCATCGATCGTCCTGGGAGCCTGCGGGAGAAGGAACGGCGTTTCTCTAAACTGCTTTGAGCGACGGTAACCGGTAAGGTAGCTTGTTACTTTCGTGTTGGCCGATACTTCGTGAGTTGTAAGAATTCCAAAGAGTTGCATCAAGTTGAAATATTTATTTTATATTATTCCGGTGGTTTACGCGCAACACATCTGATCTTCCCGAAATTAATCGCGCACCTCGCGAAAAGATGTTTTTACGCAATAACAAAATTGTCATTTTTGCAAGCTGGTGTTAAAACAGACAGTACTTGTGTGTGTGTGTGTGTGTTTAATTGTCTGAAATCCTGAAATATATATATCTTCATCACCAATATCAAGATCCAACCGTCTTATCTATCAACTGCGGATCAACTTTAAACTGGTTCGTAAAACTTATCTGGGACACGTATCGTGAGAAACGGTATCGACCGCAGCTATTGCAGGCGCTTAATACTTGAAGTGCGCTTCGTATTCGAGATTAATAGCCACTAAATCACGCATTACATTGTGTGAGAACGTGATCCGTGATAAGCGAAAGTAATGACGCGAACGTATTCACTTTGTTCTCGCGGTGATTGTGCGTTTGACATTTGCACAGGGGCGATTTATCGCAATTGCCATTGTGTGAGTGACAATCTGTTGCAATTTTGTATCTGGGGTTATCGGAAATCATAGCGCACTTGGAAATGTATCAATTTGCCGTTTGCAAAATAAATATGTCTACACGTGCATTATCTTTTCCAATAATCGTAAATGAAGCGTGTCAAGCGAGTGTCATGAACGATTATTTATTCACCAATTTAGTGTCCATAAATAAATAATGAGAAAAATCGCTCCGTTCCGGCAAAGCGGGAAAGCGCGGCTGACGAAATTAATTAATCGATCGAATTAATTCATGCTCAGATATCGCCCACGATGTATTATATTATAAATTGACGCTGATTGTCGTCGGCCATCACAACGTGATCATCGTTCCGCGTGTCGCTGCCCCAGTGTCAATTTTAAGCGGACCACGGGGGGGGGGAGACATGATGAGATGGTTAAATAATAGATATAAACGAGAGCGAAGAGTGTCGCTTCCTACCGTCGTTAGAAGCATTCCACCTTCGCCATCTTAAAGTCTTGCGCTAGAAAGTACGCATTTAATAACGCGGCGATCTCGAGAGTGAAGGCAAAACCTACGCATTAGAGATGCAGGAAAGTTTACGCGCTTAGCTAAGCACCGTTATTTAGAAGACACCAATCGGCGGAGGTAAGCACCCGTAGAGGTTTACCCGCAGAGTTTATTAGCCTCGAGCGATGTTGCTTTTATCACCAGTCGGATTTATTAATAACGCTTGATTTATACCGCCGGCTGTGTATCCACTCTCCCGTCCGATTAGAAATAGATCGTTACGTCGTCGCGCTGATGTTATCGGCGAGTCTCTAAAAATTCGGAAAGTCGAGCGCAACGCACGTGCGGTAACTTCAATCGAGATGCGTCATGCATCTTTGTTATCAGTCGTGCAATTAGCAGCGCGCGAGGCTGATTTTACAAGTGTACATTTTACAACGCGCTGACGTGCGATTTGATTTCAAGTAGGTTCGATCTCAGGTAGGCGGCCGGACACACTTCAGTAAATCGAAGCAATAATCTTGGCACTTGGCACTGAACGCCGCACTCTTGCGTGCTCACCGACCGATCAATCTCATGTTTGCGTCGCAATCTCCGGATATCCGGAAGCGCGAGGCACCATCAGAGAGCGCGGCTCTCGCGTTTCCGTTCTGGACTTCCTCGTTCGAGACGAGTGCGAGTGCATTCTCTCGCGCTGGAGCCTCAATGACATCTCGCCGCGAAAAGCATCGAACTGCATTCCCGCGTAAAATGTTAGCCGGCCATTTGCGAGCGTGGCTTCTTTCACGTCGCGGCGCGGCGCGGCGCGTTTCTCCCGAGCGACGATCCTTCGACGAAAGGACGAGGATCGACTCTCTCTCTCTCTCTCTCTCTCTCTGCGCTCGCGAGCGATCGCGAGAAGGCGCGAGCATTGTTCACGGGATCGCGGCTAACGACGTGTGGATCGTGCCGGCTAATTAAGACAACGCTATATGATCGAGCGTTAAGCGGCCGGCACGCGAGAGCCCGCTGAAAGGTTGATGAAGATCGGGGTGATCCACGGACCGTTTAAAGATCGCGTGCGCGTCGCGAGATTCATGCAAACCGTACGTGAACAACAACTCCAGCGGATAATAATTTTCTCCGCGGAGAACATTCGTGTCGCGTTTTCATTCTGCCGCATCGCGGATCAACTGCATTCAACTGTAAATTTGTCGTCGCGGCGGTGTATCTCTTCATCTCCCTCTCCCGCATGCACATGGATAGGCATTCACCATGGATTTATCATTACCGAGCCTTAAGATTAAGATGTTATCATTGTGAATAACATTCAATCACACCTTGCTCCCGGCTCCCGACGCGCGGCGACTCGCCTAACGTCTGAAAAACGCTGTTTATGTAATTTAGTAGATATCAATGTTGGGTAACTCTCGCGCGTATCGTTCTTGAGCGGAGGTAATCTTGTCATTGTATAACACGCAATTGTACACTGCCGGAACTGTTTATGTAATTCGAAATTAATCGATATGCGTAAGCGTTCGCTACTACGATGGCGGAACTCGCTTCTCTTCCTTAATTTACGCGCTCCTCGAGCGAAATACGCTGTCGATCGTGATTTTTGGGGCAACGTCGAAAGATCAAGAGAGAGAGAGAGAGAGAGAGAGCGCGTTTCCAATGATCTCAGCAAGAGGTTACTTCGCCGGCTTCAGCGCGCGGGTTTCCGCAATCGTATCAACGCGAAAAGGTCTTTGACACTTTTCACTTTCTGCTGACGACGTTATCTCGTCGAGGCGGCGATACGTAGCGGTAAAGTTCAGTTTACTGGATTCAGGTTTATCTTCGCGTTTTCAAGTGACCGGTTATGTTTCCGGTGGTAAAGGCTCCCTGATGTGCGCACAAGGCTATGCGAAGCCATCAGCAGCGAAGAGATCCTAGAAGTCCTAGAAGGCTTTCCTCATGCTTTGCATTCGATCGAAAAATCAACTTTCTTTAATTTCGATCTGTACGTTTTGCCTTGTCTGTTTCTTCCTTTTTCTTAACTTTCCGGTGGCAAACACGCTGGTATACCGCTTCGCGTGTGTGGTCTTCTGGTATTTCAAGATCATGGTCGCGAGAATCGGCCCGAGGGAGTGTCAACGTTCCATAAAAGAAGCGCGCGGTTCTTACCACCGGAACAATAATAAGTGCCACTCTCTTTACGGGCAAAAGCATCGACGTATAAACCGGCGTTTTTCCAGCGTTTGACTTTTGTCGTCTCCAAAGGGACAGTTTCACTCTCGTCGCGCGGGTACAACGAACCGCGAAAGCGACGAGATCCCCTCTTGAAGAAGGCATCGCATGTCCAGCCTCTGCTTCAGTAACGTCCGCGGAGGCCGCATATATAAGATGGTAAAAGTATGCGGCTGATCTACTTACTTCCAAGTCGAGCTAGATGCTCGAGGATTTTTCTCCGAGATCGCGTTTGGCTATTTCGCTCAGGATGAGTCACAGGGTACGTGCTTAAGTCGTTGGACGCATTCGCTGGTGTGCCGGAACAAGTGTTAAAAATCGGTCTGTGCAATAATTGTGTAAAACTGTCTTCTTCAATGGTGCATGTGTTAGATATATGTCTCGTGAGATAAAAATATCTATTGGATGGAACGTAGAAGACTTTTCCGGATTATTCTTTTTTCTTTGTTTAATTTCATCAATTTTTTGTTTGTTATACACATCTGCATGCGTATGTGTGTGTGTGTGTGTGTGTGTGTGTGTGAGTGAGGGAAATTATATTTGGATATTGGAATAATATTTGCATTGGAATTATTGAATCGATAATTTCAGAGAGAGAACATATGTTATGAAATTGCTTGACTTTTTTTACCACTTGCAGGGACTCACGATGCTCTCTTTATCACTCTTCGTGGTCATGGTGACGAGTTCTCCGATTAACAACAAATATAACAGGCGCGTATACCTGTACAATTATTTTCCTGCAGCGCGATATGATCGTCGAATTATGCCGTCGCAAGTAAGACTAAATAAAGATAATTATATCGGGCAGGGAGATTTCTATTTGAACAATATGAACCGACGGAGAATCGAACATGATGAGCTCAGGGATAACCACTGTGAGTATTGTGAAAACAATATATTTTTATGTTCATATACTTATTTCTTTTACTACCGTTAAGGATCTGATGGATGGATATAAAAACAGTAAGTATACAACACAGAAAAATTTCTATCAAAACATTATGTGATAATTATTTAACGATTTATTTTTTCCACTTGTACGACTTTAGTAACATGATTAAAAAATGCTCTCATTAATTTCAGTTTCGGAATCTCACATTGTGCATTTTAAAGACGAACATAGAGCGAAAGGTGGATACGAATCACAAGAGGATTTTGACGACGGACCGAGCGATAGTGAGGGCGATGAAAGCATACACGATGATCAAGTATTGGACCATCATGTGCACGAGGATGTGCGTAAAACGGTAACGATCATAAAAAAAGTTGCTGTGCCGTACCCGGTAGAGAAGACCATCCGATATCCGGTGGTGAAAAAAATACCGTATCCGGTCAAAGTGCCGGTCCCGCAGCCATATGCGGTCGAGAAAAAGATACCGTACCCCGTGAAAGTGGTCATCAAGGTCCCCTTTAAGATCCCACGACCGGTCCCGATCGTCAAAGAGGTCCCATACCCGGTTAAAGTACCGGTGGACCGTCCAGTACCGGTCAAGGTGTACGTACCGGATCCGTACCCCGTCGAGAAGAAGGTGCATTATACGGTGAAGGTCCCGGTACCGGATCCGTTCCCCATAGAACGCAAAATACCGGTACCGGTGAAGGTGCCGGTGCACGTGCCGCAGCCCTATCCGGTCGAGAAAATCGTCCATTACCCCGTAAAAATCGCGGTGGACAAACCGAGACCTGTACCGGTGCCGAAGCCGTACCCAGTGGCGGTGGCGAAACCAGTACCGTATCCGGTGGAGAAGCCAGTCCCAGTTCCGGTTAAGGTGGAGGTGGACAGACCGATCCCAATCCCGGTGGACAAGCCGGTGCCGGTCAAGGTGAAGGTGCCGATACCGGCGCCATACCCGGTCGAAAAAACCGTCCCGTATCCCGTGGAGAAATTCGTGCCTGTACCGGTGAAGATACCGGTGGAGAGGCCTGTGCCGATACACGTGAGCAAGCCGATCGCCTACCATATCGAGAAACCCATTCCTTACCCGGTCAAGGTGCCGGTCGCGGTGCCGATAGACGAGGGACACGACGCGGAGGATGCGAATTACGGGGAGTATCCGTGAGAATGATTCGTGCGATTAGGTGATAATGGAACTACAACAATAGCCGCTAGAGGCTTCCTACTTTGACGTAGTCCTCCGAATCGGTACAAAAACACACGAACGATCGAGGAGACCAAAGTTTCCATGACTCTGACTGTGTACTCTGATAGTGCGTTCAGCTTTAAGTCGAATTGTCTGGTTCCAAAGGCAACTTTGTACGTGACCCTCATACAAGATGAATGAACCTTTGAATCAGATGAGTCCATTTCAGATTGGGTGTACGAGCAAAATACAACTTGTAGAATTTGTAAGGAGGCTTTTGATACGAGATATACCATAGCATAATTAAGCATTTGTTACTGACCCTAAAGGGATATTTATTTACTCTGTATGAACTTGTTTTCTATCACGAATATACGAGATAATTACGTGTCGCAAGCGTATGCTTGAGTTGTTTTGTCGTTACTGTATCTTGATAAGATCATTCTTATCACAATATGTAACGATCCAGTCTACGTTGCGAAAGATTGCGATGTTTTATGTAAACGAGAACAACCGTGGTTTAATAAAAATATTTCTGATTAAACCCAATCATTACACCGGCAGTATTTTAATATTCTCGCCATAATTAAGCGAAATTCGATATTACCGGTTGGTTCGACTCTCCCATCGCCATCCATCCATCAGCAGTTATCAGCGATAACGATTAAGATGTATAAGAAATGATTAGTGAAATAAATCGATAGCGAAACTCAGTCGAATCAGTGCTGGCAATTAATTATTTATACCGTCAATAAATGATAGATTCGCATTATTTGGAGTTGATCAGCGGGTCGCTTTTGCTATCGCCACTTTGATTCCAGTCACGTTCACTTTCGCCGCGCAGTAATTACACCGGGCAAGATTGACATGTTCTAATTGATTCGCACAAAACAGCGACACTGCCGGCGACATTGACCGTGATTGTAATTACAGAACGTCTGTCGCTTTCCGCGATGCTGTAAGAAACAACCGACGCGGACAGCATATTTGTAGCATCGATGATACTAGTCGTCATCAAATGACAATTGCGAGCAGATCAATTAACTATCTGTCTATCTGGGATATTGATAATTAAGGCAGTTCTTGCGTTTTATAAGTTGCGCAGGTATAAAAAGGCAAATGAGAGAAAGATCTCTTGGAAAATAAAACTCTGTTAAAGATACATTAAATACACGGTACGTGTACGACAACTCTTTCATCGCACAATCTCGCATCGATGCTCGTCAAATTTTACGTTAGAAATGCAAGTTACATAAATGCCTGATAATAAATCTCAGCTGATTTGAACGGCGACAGCCGACGTACCGAACTATTATACATTTATGACCGTCGCGTGAACGTTTGCCTTTCACACCCGCGATTGCGAGATATATTATTAATATGTCAATGTGTTACAGATAGAGAAATATATATATATATATATATATATTTATAATATTTCTCCCCGAGCGTCGTATGCCTCGACTCTTTAGCGGAGCATTTCCCGCTTTTGTGGGGTACGGACGCAGCTGATATACTTGTATGCGCTGCAATTACGAGCACGTCGCTCTTATATCACTTTATGCTTTTCTTTACGGCGAGTGCAAACTTTACGAAATAAATGATTATAGTTCGCGTAATGAGTAGCCAAAGAGTATGCTGTGCGTTACGACTTCACCAGGACCTTCCGTGTTGTAGAGCTATTACCCGACAGGCCCGATTTGCCCACATACATTCGAAGTATTATATTATTATTATTAAGATTACGACGAACGTGAAGAATTGCAGAGTAACGACGTGCGTGGTTTCGTGCTGTTCCCTTCATTCAGCGCGGAAAAAACGAAAGCAATGAAACGGACCGTGCTCGGAATTAGATGGCCGGGCGAGACGAAGGGTTTTTTCGCGGTCTTGTCTCCGGGAAATATCAGAAGAAAGTTTCGAGGAGAGTATAAATATACGGTTAAGTGGTGGTACTACAACCGCTGCCAAAGCGGGAAAGTTCTATGCAACTTCAACAAGGCAAGACATGTGGAGAGAACTTTTACACCGGTTTCGGTTTCACTGGTGTTACTGATCCGAGAAATTCGATCGAATTATTCAATTTGTTGTAGAAGAAAGCGGTGATCATGTAGCATGGATCAACGCACGATACATGCGCGAAATGAGAAACATGCGAATTAATACGCTGTTTCAGCAAGCTATTTGATAATTTTTACGGCTATTGCACAAGTAATCCAGCGATGATTTAATACGTGGCATGATCGAGTTAATGTGCTGAAGATGTTTCGTTTGAGTTACAAAAGCCTGGTGAATTGTCTTTAATGCCTGCTGGACTGGCGCGCTGATTCTTAGATCTATCTGCAAAATCGCAGCTTTTCATGCGCCGAGGCGTTAATGGAAGATCGGAGAAACTGTCGTTACCGGAAATGTGACTCGGAGAAAGATAGCAAAAACAGCAGAAAATTACTGCTCATTGGAAAATGTAACCGAATATTCCTCGGCTCGGCAAAAACCTCGTGGTGGTGGTGGTGGTGCAAGGATCGGCTTAGTTTTACGATTCGGCATAGAAAGTACCCGTGCGCTTTCATCGGTCGTAACATTACTTTTCCGACATCCGTCTCGGATAGATTAATGAACTAAAACGCGGCAGTACTGGCGACGTATATTCGCGTCATACGTTAGACAGTCTGTGCCTCTGCAAAAGGATATTCAAAAAAGATCTTTCTTATATCGCAATATAAAATATTCCAGATACATGATTCGAATTATAAAGATTACTATAGACGTTTCTTTTCAGAGGCTTCCTTGCCGATAAATTTCTTATTTTGCAACACGTCTTATAGTAAATAGAATATTCCTGAAAATAAGCTTTTCCACATAAATTATAGAGAGTTGTAATATCGATATTAATAAAAGTATCAAGTAAATTTAGTGACAAACATGTGTTTAAGGAATAACCCACATTTGCAGTTGAGCGTATGGCGAAAAGCTTTTTACGGAGAAACCTTTATATTTCTCCGAGAAGGATGGAAGGTGTTCCAAATCGCTTATGTGTTTCCCGCGTTTTGCCGCCTACCTTAATGTACGTAGACAGCATGGGCGTTCCTTGAGAATGAGCAGTCTTCGCAGCTGCGCCGCAAAACAATAATCGTTTAAGCGTAGATAATTGTCACGAATAAGGTACTGCAAAGCTATAAAGGTCTAGCTGGTTGGACCGGCGAAAGTCGTCCACGGTGTATAAATAATAGTAGGATACCTTTCCGTTTGGATTCAGTATAGGTTGATCTATCGTCTTGATCGCAAAGGCATCACCATGGGGCACCAGGTAAGCCCTTTTAAATTCCTGTACTGTTCGCAAATGTCGAACAATTCACAAATTCAAAATCCTTTTATCAATCGGCCGCAATTATGTAAAACTGGATATTTTATTTGTACGATAAATCGCATCCATCTGGTTAAGTAAAAAATTAAAAGTATTCCTAACTGAAAGTCAAAAGTTTGTTGAAAAATGACGATGATTTAAGAAAAATGTTTAAAAAAAATCTATTTCATCGATCGCACCGATTTAAAATATCGGTCATTAAATATTCTCTTACGTTACATTTGGTATACAGAATTATTCTTTTACATGAAAATGTACGTTTTTTTTTTTTTTTAAACAGCAACAGTGCCTAATAGTATTTCTATGTCTCGGGGTTGCCCTCACATCGTCAGCGACTCGTAAAGAAGAGCTTGAGAAAGCAGCGGAGCTTGCCGTGGTAAAAGCGGCCGAAAGGGCGGCTGAGAGAGCGGTGGAGAAGGCCCTCAACAGCGGAAACATCACCACGGAATCCAAGATTGTCCGCGAATCTTATTCACACGTTAGAAAGGATCCGCAAAAGGAAAGAAAGGAGAATGACGATTACGGCAGCAGATACACACCAGTGAAAGATGAAGCGGAGCAAGAGGAAGAGATTGACGACTGGAGCACATATTCTCGAGGCTCGAGATCTCATTCTCGAGATTTAAGAGGTAGAAGTTACCGCGCGTGGTCGAGCAAGTTTGACTTCCAAGACACATCGGACATTTGGAAGAGATTCCCGAGGAGCGAGTGGTCGTACGAGGACACCAGCTGGGACAAGCCAAGCGAGAAGGTCGTGACTTTAGAGAAGAGGGTGCCGGTACCCGTGACGGTCGAGAAGAAGGTCCCGTTTCCGATTTACAAGCATGTACCTTACGAAATTAAGATACCCGTGCCGCAGCCGTACACGGTGGAGAAGAGGATTCCGTACCCGGTGAAGGTCTACGTGAACGTGCCGGTCGAAATACCGGAACCTTACCACGTGGAGAAGCAGGTTCCTTACGCAGTCAAGGTCGACAACCCCGTGCCGTACAGGGTCGAGGTGCCAGTGCCGCAGCCGTACACGATCGAAAAGAGAGTCCCAATCGAGGTAAAGGTACCGGTACCGCAGCCGTACACCGTCGACAAGCCGGAACCCTACGAGGTCAAGGTACCGGTCAAGGTACCGACCCCGTACGAAGTCGAGAAGAAAGTAGCGGTACCGGTGAAGGTAACAGTCGACCGGCCGTATCCGGTACCGATGCCCAAACCTTACCCGGTGGAGGTCAGCAAACCGTATCCGGTAGAAGTGCCTAAGCCGTACCCTGTCAAGATCAAAGTACCCGTGGACAAGCCGTATCCGGTACCGGTAGAGAGGCCGGTTCCGGTGCCTATTAAAGTGCCGGATCCTCGGCCGTACACCGTGGAGAAGCACGTGCCGGTAGAAGTGGTGAAACCGTATTCTGTTCCGGTTAAAGTGTCGGTGGACAAGCCGTACGAGGTATACGAGGCGAAGCCGATTCTCGTCCCGGTGAAGAAGCCGTTCCCTTTCGTCGTACAGGTCCCGGTACCCGTCAGACTCGGTTGGAAGGATCAACGCAACGTGAAGGATAGGGAGGACCTGGCGGAGAGCGAAAGCGTCGAGACTAAGTGGCGACGGCCGCGATGGTTCAATCACGAGTCATTCAAGCGATAAAGCTGTACAGGCGTTTTCGAAACGTTGTAAATTATTGGTATGGCAACGTGGTGGCACCGACTACATTTTTTTTACACCTTTAATCGACCGTCGTTCAAGATGTTTTATAGTTTGTTGCTTGGGGAGTAATTTTATGTATCATATCATTTCCATCGACGAAATACATAATCGAATGGTATTTATTGCATCTCCGTCGAGAAAAAAGGGAAAGGTCGTTACGCAACATTGCACTGATATGTAGAAAAGTTTTTTAGCTGTATGTATATATATATATATTGCATATATATATGCAATCTTTATGAAAGAATTATCGTATATTGTTCAACCGTAGGCTAATTAGGACGGCTCGTTCATGTAAAGCGAAGCAATTCAAAGTGATATGCGAATTTTAGATAGTTGACGGTCTCTAATTGCTCGGATGATCGTATCGCTAACTTTTAAGCTCATAAGTTGAGTCCAAGTAACTGTGTGTCTCAATTACATAATGGCAAGCTCTCTATTAGACTTACACATCGCGATACGCGTAGTAAGTGGGTACGTACGTTCAGTTTCATTGATTTATGCGTGTCCCTCTCAGCCGTCTTCTCTTATATCTGCGTGAAAATAAAGCAGAGAAACGAAACCGAACTCGAGACCGAACTCGTGTTCCCAGTTAAACCCGTCACTTCCCTGTCGAGCGGAGGCGCAGATGGAAGGCGGTCGTAAAAGTTTGGTCATAAAAACGGACCTCGCTCGTTATCGGACGTATCGCTAATTACGTAAAAGTCGCGAATAAGACTCCGCTCGCTAGATGCTAATTGATCCGCGTTGTGTCGAGAACGCAACTCGCGTTATTTTTTTCTTTTTTTTTTTTACCGCGACACCTGCGTGAATCGATCGAAGAGAGTGAGAATGAATTTTGCATTCTCAGCCAACAACGTCGCAACACACCGTCATAGAAAATGAACCCGTCGTCTTTCCGCTCGAGTACAATCGCGAAATGAGGAAATCACACGAGACTTTCGCGTGACGGTAAAAAATAATTTTTTAATGTAACTCAATGGGGCGGCAGAGAGAGAGAGAGAGAGAGAGAGAGAGAGAGAGAAAGAGAGGAGAATTTTCACGCGTGGTCGGCCAACTTTAGCCTGACCGATTCTAATACTCCGAGATATACGCGTGTCATCGTTCGTATGTATTTACTTCGTCCCACTAATGATTCATAATGACGCCGCGTGTGCGTGCGCATTTGCCGGTGAAACTGCAAGTTCTATCGGTATTATCATCAGTAGCGGTTTAAGCCATTCATTCTTTTCTTTTTCAGCAATAATTAGTTTCGCTCGTTGCTTCAAATTTTTTTCACTCTCTATCGCCTGCAGATACGTATCCACTTCTGGATGTGAAATGCAACGCTGAAAACGCAACGATATTTTGTACGACTGCAAGTTGCGCGCCTCTGAACGGATAGGACAATTCCGATTGGCTTCATTCGTGCGCCGCTCTTTTTCTTTTCCGCAAGAGGGCGGTATTATAGTTTACAATTTTATGTTTCGATTATTCTGCGTTTCTGTTTCTCTCTTACTGTGTGTGGATAGCTGGAAGAATAATATTACATCATATTTATCCAGGCGTTTCCCATTGCTTTCTCGTTGCTTTCGTTCATTAGCATAAGCAATAATCCTTTCCATGCATTTCCTAATCGCGACGAGTGTAATTGTAAAGCCCCATGGCGGGGCCCACTCGAGCGCGATCGCAATTACACTCTTTACCGCCGTGTGTGTTCTCAGACGTTTTCCTCGGTTACTGCTATTTCGCGCATTACCGTCAACGAGTATATAGCGCGAGTACTTCTTAACCTGATCCGGTCGCCCACGGCGAGATTTGCCGAGTACGGCCGGGCCACACGTCGCCGGTAAATGACGCACTTACGCAGCCGATCTCTCATCTCGACGTAGAACGCTCCGCGATCTCCACGTCTCTTCTCTTTGCGTCGCGCGACCGTATCTCTCCTCCTCTCCTCCGCGGCTTTTCACTTTTTCTCTCCTCTCTTACCGTTCTCGGCTCTTCCTCTCGCGCTCTCCCTCAGACCGCAGCGGGTACCGTTATTCCTCGTCTCGGCCGAGAGAACTCGCAACGTAGCCCGCTGCAACCGCTGCCGTGTCTTACGCGCGCGTCCTTCCACCGGGACCGGATACGCGGAGGGGGTTATTCCGGAGTCTTATCACACGACACATGCGAATGCGAGAGCGAGAAATCTCCGCGAGATGCGGAGGGAGGCTCGGTGCTCGGCAAGAAGAGGGGGATGATGACAGAGAAGGGATGAAAACGTATTCACACGTGTCCAGTGGCGTAGACGCGGACACGCAGGAGCGAGAGAGGATCGGCGGAAAGAGGATGACGAGACGATTGAAAATGGCGCGTTGTGTCGAGCGAGCGAGTTCGAAACGACGAATATTTCTCGTGGAATACGTTGACATGGTTGGTCTTTCGGCAGGAGACACAAATTCCACAAAAAGAAGAAAGACGAGGAAACGGTTGAGGAAGCTCGATGAAGAAACATTCGCGCATTTTTCTAGCGTCTTGCAAATTGTTGCTTGGCGAGATTCGCCATTTGTGCTTGGACATTGGAACACTGGGAACGCGATTGCGCGCAGAAACTTTCCCCCGCCTTTGATTTCCGTCAACATCGCCGTTAGAGAGGAATTTCCGGTCGTTGGTCGGATTTTTGTCACGACGGTTACGCCGTTGGTCGCGATTATCGAAGCACAGCGTCGCCTAAGATATATATAAAAAAATGCCATAACGCGCAGCGCACGTCGGGCAAGCACCAGACGTGTGTTTCACTTTTCCGCGCGAGAGTGCAGAGGGGCTCGCTTGATACGCGTCGGGGGAAAGCGGGCTATAAAGACGGTGGCACCTTCGGGGGAAGCATCCAGTAAAGTCTGGACTTTGACCAGATCGCGAGAGACCGAACAGACATGAGAATTTTGGTGAGTCAACTCTTCCGCGCGCGCGCGCGCACGTTCGGCGAAATTTTGCGCGTGTTCAGCTCTGCCGCAAATTAACTCCGCTTCGTTTCCCCGCTCGCGACATCCGCTTGAAGTGAAGAAATTTCACTCGGAGTAAAAAAATGTCTCGCAAGAGTATGCGCAAAGTTTCTTCAGCGAATCAGCCATAGCCGAGATTTGAAGATGGCAAAATTCCTCGAGAATTCCTTACGATAAAGTTAATGAAATACTACGCGTTCACATGATTACGATGATGAAAAATGATCGTCCATCGTGAGATCAATATTCTTTTTTACTCGACCTGCACGCGCGAGTAGCATTCTTCATCGCGGTCTGCAAGACCGCCGTCGAGCGTCGAGCGCGCGCATTTGACGTAATCGGCATGTTCGTTTCTATCCGTTGCAGTTTCTCACGGTGTTAACGGGGCTGCTGGCCTTGGCCGTGTGCGAGCGGGAGAAGAAGCTAAGCACGGCTAAGCAGATCGAAAATAGCGGAGGCGTGGGGAAGAAACAGGACAAGCGCGGACTGAGTCACATCGAGGGAGATTACGGAGGAGGACACGACGACGGCGGTTACGGCGGCGACGATTACGGCGGTGGCGGCGACTTTGACGGTGGTCACATCGGCGGAGGAGACATCGGCGGTCACGACGGTGGATACGGTGGTGATCTCGGTGGTGGTTACAGCGGCGGCGGCGGCGGCGGCGGCGGGGGCGGCGGCGACGACGGTGGCAAAATCAAACAGATCACGATCGTGAAGAATGTGAAGGTACCCTACCCGGTCGAGAAGAAGATTCACTATCCGGTAGAGAAGGAAGTACCGTACCCGGTCAAAGTGCCGGTGCCGCAACCCTACCCGGTCGAGAAGAAGATACCGGTACCGGTGAAGGTTCTGGTGAAGGTACCGGTTCACATACCGCAACCGTATCCGGTAGAGAAGAAGGTGCCGTATCCGGTGCACGTGCCGGTAGAGAGGCCGGTGCCCTACAAGGTGTACGTCCCGCAGCCATATCCGGTCGAGAAGAAAATACCCTACCCGGTGAAGGTGCCGGTACCGGCGCCGTTCCCGGTGGAGAAGCCCGTGCCGTACACAGTGAAGGTTCCGGTGCACGTACCGCAACCCTTCCCTGTGGAGAAGCCGATACCGTACCCGGTGACAGTGCCCGTGGAGCGACCGTACCCGGTACACGTGGTCAAACCGTACCCGGTGCCGGTCGAGAAGCCGGTGCCTTACCCGGTGGAGAAGAAGGTACCCTACCCAGTCAAGGTCCACGTGGAGCGACCGGTAGGAGTGCCCGTGGAGAAACCAGTGCCTGTGCACGTCAAGATACCGGTACCGGCGCCGTATCCGGTGGAGAAGCCGGTGCCCGTTCCGGTGGAGAAGCCGGTACCCTACGCCGTAAAAGTGCCTGTCGAGCGACCGGTACCGGTCCACGTGACGAAGCCGGTGCCTGTGACGGTGCCGAAGCCGGTACCGTACCCCGTGAAAGTGCCGATAGCGGTACCAGTGCACGACCACCATCACGACTCTGGTTCCTCGTTCGGTGATTACGAGTCCAGCTTCGGGGGACACTCGGGATATTAGGATCAAAAGGCATCGGCAGTGGAGGATTTCCCGCTCGGCTCCCGAGGAGAAATTAACGGATAAGGAAAGAGATAAAGAGAGAAAAAGAAAGGGGAGGGAGGGAGAATTCGTTAATTCGCTAAGCCGAGAAATTTGGTATGAGAATGTTGTGCATAAAAGAACGAAAAGCTATAAACAACACGAGAATGTAATTAGAATTAGACTTATTAGCGGGTTAATCGTAGAAATAAGATGAGATTCATGGGCCCAACTTGCGCGCAAGTCCTTCACTGCATCGCACGAGCGGACGTGTCGGCGCCCACTTTGCATGTCGCAATGATACTTTTTCTACGTTCTTTTCTTTTTTCTTTTTGTTGCCCCTTCGTTTCAACACCAGTCGCGTCACACCGCAGACGAAACACGTCGGAGAAATGTGACTACTCGTATAACGATTAACGGTCGACTTAATCGGGAGCGTTAACGAAGCGTTTCCTTCACGGCCGCGCGACAAGCGTCTCCGAGAGCTCGAGGTTTCCCTCGCGCGTCCGCGAGGGAAACGCGGACGTATTTATTTGCCCACAACTCAACGTCGTGTCCTCTCACGCCGCGAGGAAGATGAGTTTGCAGAACCGGGCGCTTTTGCGCCGCGAAAGGTGATTCTGGGTGCCGCGAGTCCGCGCAGACAGCGCTAACGATTTCTTAGATATAGTAACGACACTTAAGTAGACCTACAGACACATGTTGTACTGTGTGTTTCTTACGAAACGTTTGTAAACGGACGTCTCTGTACGATGTCTTTCGCTTCTTTCTAATAAAAACCAAAGAGCAAAACGACAGCCTTGTCAATTTATCCTTTACAGCCTCATCCCACCGCTGTCGCTCTCCACAATCCACTCAAACTTACTCGACTCAAGTCGACTCAAAGCTCGACCCGTCTCCTCGATTTTCCTTCTCCTCGATCATTTGCCACGCGCGAAGAATCCAATTAGATTAAGACTTCACCTGGCACGAATCAATGTGTGTGACATATCGAGCTCGTTCAAGACAGCGCGAGACAGAGTTGGAAAAGAGCCGATCGAGCGTTACGGGGATCTTTTTATGCGCTTGTCGCGCCGGCGACGATATCCTTGAACTTCATGCGGCGTGACGGATCGTTTATCCCCCCCCCCCGGCCCCCCGTTGGAGCGTGCGCTCGATAACGAGCGCGCTATCGCTATCCCGCCCGCGAGAGTTACTTCGCTCGCGAGGGAGACATTGCGCTGTGTTCGCTCCCCGCCGGCCCCGGGAGACCCGGAAAAGACTGGAGAACCGGGCGAAAGTCATTCGCTCGCGATTTCGGCCGGCGCGGCGTATGCGGAAATTCGCGGCCGATAATTAAACCACCGCCGTCGCCGCCGCCGCCGCCGCCGCCAAGAACCTCTACATGCGTAATTAACCCCGCGCGCGATGCGATGAAAATGGAACTTTCTTTTATCTAGCATGACTAACGAAGGAAAGAGCGCGCGTACGTAACACTTCCGATACGATGATATCAGTGAGCCAACAACGTCCTGCGTTCTAGCTCGCTTCTGGTCTATCATTTGGCTTTGTGGATCTCATGCATTAAGAGATATCCCGACTTCGGGATCGTGCGTATCTCTCCAGCCGCGCATACGATAGCCGGAGAAAGGTCTCCCGGCTCTTTCTCCTTCGACCGATCCGCCAATGAGCGAATCAGCGAGAGAGGAGGAGCACGAGATTGCGAATCGAAAGTGAAATCACGATCGCCTGCGCGCGGGATTGTTCGCGCTGGAATAATGCGCTCCGGGCGTATTGGAAATCGCTCCGGCGGATTCGTCCCGAGTATGCACAGCGAGTCCTATTCCACCGTTATATCGGCAGGCGTAAACTCGTTTAGATGAAGACATCGAAGATTGACCTCGGGGAAACAGGCGTGCACGCCTGTGTGACTACGTCTAGTTTGTCAAGCGGGGATGAGGCGCGAGGGCCGAAATATCGTTTCCCCCTCGCTTATTTTCTATGACCCGTTAATTCCTGCGTGATCGTTAGAAAGAATATTGGAAAAGCGAAAGGAGCAGAAGGAGCAATCGTCCGAGTAAGCTACTCACCGTATGTACGGAATATTGGCCGGGATATGATACTTAGCGCCTGGATCAAAGTCGTCCTCGGACCTCAGCACCGGCGGTTTCGTGCCCGTGTACTGCTCCATCAGCCTGTGCCAGTGGCAATTGTACTCCTCCCTGTTGACGTAACCGCGAAAAACGTCCCACCGCCACCTGTCCATCGCGATGCTGAAGGGCAGCAGCACGAGCTTCTCCATCGCCAAGGAGAAGAGGTAATTGATGTCGGCCGCGCGCTCATCGATGTATTTGTTCGCCAGGTCCAGGGTCTGCAGGTGACGCGGCGTCGCGACGCTCAAAGCGACAGCCTCGCCGACAGCCTCGTGGAACCCTGACGAGCACAGCGGTGCGGTAAGTTGTGGTAAGTACGGCGATATTTTATATTACGGTACTATATATTATACGGTACTCTGCCTTTGAGAATATTACCGCCTGCGTACGAGCAATGCTCAGCCGTAACGACGTAGCGTCTAGATGAGAATTAGCGATAGAACGCTGTTATTTATTATCCCGTTCGAGGGGGTCGTTGGGTAAAACAACATCGCTTCACATCTTAATTCGTAATAATCAGCAAATTGACGAGTTAAAAGGCCGCTCGTTACATTCGTGGTGGTACAGTCAGTTGTAACGGCTGTCTCTTGTTACGCGCGCGATAAAACGTTACTTTTGTGTTCTATTTCTTTCTTTCTTTCTTCCTTCCTCGATTGCTGAGCAATCGTCTGATCGTTCTTTTTCGCTGCTCGATTCTTCGCTTTGGTCCTCTCTCGTATGCACGAGAAGACTCTTCACGCACTTTCGTGGACTTTTCGCGGGAGTTTGAATGTTTGATAATCGATCGGTGAAAGTCGGAGACGTCGGGCGAAACAGATGGCCTGTCGCTGAGTTCCCTCCGCGATTATTGGCGAGGTTTCTCGAGGTTCCCTGGTCCCGCACCCGGTAGCCCGGTGGCTTTTTGCTCGTGATATGATTTACTGTTAACCAGGATGTAATTACGGCTCGCGCGCGCGCGGATAAGTCGAGCGTTGCAGATGGCGCTGATTATTTCCTTTTTTATCACGCGTTTCCCCGTGCAAATTGCCTAACGCTCGGACGTGCAATTAATTGAACTGCAATTTCGTAACTCGGATTTAACTTCAATCGCAACGCTCTGCGAACGTAGGAGGTGCCGAATGGAAAATTTGCCGCGGGGACGCTCGCAAGACTTTCGCAAGACACGACCCCGAGGCGCTTTCCATCGAGGTGCTGTCAACATCTCCGAGAAAAGTTCTCTACGTACTTCGCGCTATCATGTTCACCGCTTGATACGCTTCTACGGAAGGAAAATTCTGCAACGAAAATGATCGATACGCCCGGCGCTGGAAACGTTCACAACAGCGAGCGAAGCGTTCCTGAAGCACTTTTGCGCGACAGTGTAAAGCAGCCGAAGCTAAGGCATCGTCCGCGGACTCAGACTCGAAACAGACAGATCGATCGATCAGCAACAAGGCCGCCATCGCGAAGCTATTCTCGTTGGTTCGGAGCCGTCCGGTGTTCCGGTGTGCGGGGCGAACGACCGGACCAGCCGGCCGGCCATTGCGACGGTGAAAGCGCGATTATATCGTAATAAAAATATTTTAACATCCGCGCTCGCGCGACGCCAATGTACGCGAGTAACATCCACTCGTCTATTTGCGAATAGCGAGTAGTGCGCGGCGTACACCTGGAGCGTATCGTTCTCGCTCTCGCTCTCGCTCTCGCTCTCGCTCTCGCTCTCGCTTTCGCGCCATTAGCCGTGAAGGCGTACGTCGACTGTGCCTTCCGGAAGTCGGACAGGAGCGGACGGCTCCGCCGTTATGTAACGCGTTGTCGTCCAGTGCGTCCATGCCGGCCATCATCGCCGGCCGTCTCTCCTATCCTTTTGTCCTACTCGGCCGCACACACAGTTTTCCTTCGCGGAGTGATGCAACTTTTCGCTATCGCGCCCGCGCATCGTGATAACGGCCGTCAACACCGCCGCGTTCGATGCCGCGGCTGATTGGCGTATCGCGTGACACGTTTCACAGGTGCGACAATACCTTTACAATACTGTCCAGCTGTGCGCGTTAATTACAAGAAAGTAACACCATTGTTATTCGCGCGTTTACTCCTGGGCGATTGCTCCGCCGCGGGAAGAGTCCATCTTTATTGTGCGCGGTTTTTATTATCCCCCAGTAGTAATTTATATTTTCTACGTATATTATTTATTAATTTCTCATTTTTATTAAAATTTACGATAACGAAGCATAAAGCGTAAGAAAAAAGCTTCACACTTGTCACACGAAATTTTATGAATGACGATATTACGTAGCGAATTTAACTTTTTAGTTCGCGAAGCTGCGGGTGCGAATATGATTGTCGATTGTGCGTGTCCCCCAACGATTAGAGCTTTACATATTTTATCCTTCCTTGATTAGAAGAGGGCATTAAAAATTGCATGTGTTGCACTCTCGTACCTGGATTCGCGCCGTCACGAAATTCGCGAGGTAGACCGCTGTATCGCAAGAAGTATTGGATATGTGCCATCTCGTGGTGTATAGTTATCAGATCCTTCATCGTCACTTTCGTGCACATTTTAATCCTGGACATTAATAATAACTTATGAAAAATAATGCACAATCCTTCGAAGGAAGATTTAACGTGTAAAAATTCCCAACAACATATTATTTCGAGCTATAGCACCATTAATTCGGTGATCTCTGTATACGTTACGAATGTATATTGTTTAAAGTAGTGACCTATAATCCAAGCGGTTGCAAAAGTCCCACGCGGATGCTTGGCAGATTAACGGACGATTGCCAGGATCGACGAGTATACTTCCGGCCCAAAACTCCGGCGGCATGGCGCTCAAGTTCATGGACAGATAGAAATCCTGGGCTACTCGAAACATGTCGATTGGCGTGTAGCCCTGTATGTTGCGACACGATTGATATTAGTATATTGATCGTCTAAAAATTACCAATATTGATCGTCTAAAAATTACCAATATTGACTTTTATTCACGACCGCAAGATTGCGAATCTTACTTGAGCTTGCATCTCCTGAGTGACGTCGAGATACGTTTTTCCAGGATACGGCAAGGTGACGTCCAAAAGATTGCTCCAAGATTGTCCCCACACGTTGCCTGCGGTGATTTTCGTTGTTGTGAGCACGTTATTACTTCGATGTGTGAAAATTGTGTAAACGACGACGCAATTACATAATACTACAAATTCAACTTATATTTCAATCTTTAGGTGATATCCATGGAATTTGCATTATTCTATATATTATTTCACGGCGATCATTTCTGAATCAAGTATTTCATCAAATGTTGCTCTTACCGAGAATGTGAGACGGAAGAGGCGCGTGTCCGCTTATCTTTTCCGGGCCGTATAGATCTCGCAATCTCCTGCGGACATAAGCGTGCAGTTCTTCGTAGAGCGGACGAATCATTTCCCAAACCTCGTCAACGTCCTGTTGGAAATCAGGAGACTCATACGGGAACATCCAGTACTCGGCGGCGTCGGTGAAGTCTACAAAAAGAAGAACGACGATACCAAAGTATTTGATCTCGGCCGAAATTGATGTCGATAGACGGACAGTTGTTTGACAGACGAATCTCAATCAACACATGCGATTATCACCTATTCTCAATTAATTTCATCAAGCGTTAAGTATCTCCTCATACGTATTTACTTTATATTAAAGTGATTCATTGATACTTGTGTGACTTTACAATTTTGCACGGAGTAAGAGTACTTGTCAATGTCGTGTCGAAATTTTTGTCCAATATTGTATCTTATCATTATACTTTCCTATATAATGTCGTATTCTATTTAAAATATTTAATAGAAATTTTATTTTTATTATAAAATTTATTTATTTACGATACTGAACGTACTGTTCAATCTCGCCGCTTCATTGTTCAGCGTAACGAGTTGCTGATAGAGATCCCTAATCGGTGCACCGCTTCGTCTTCTCCACTCGGTCCAAACGTACTGCAACTCGTCCCAGTCTCGACTTTTCGCCATGATTTGTGATATGTCTACAACAATACACAAAGAGAATTCGGTCGATGTCGTGATTTCTTCCGACGCGTTGACGTCCTTGCGGTATCATTCCTTCGATATCCTCCCGCCGCCGTTCGCGTTAATCTCGCGAGCAATCTGTCCTCCTTTCTTTATCCCGATCTACGTAATTTATTGTTCATGAATATATACGCGGAATAAATGCGCGGAAAGAAATGTTTCATCTTTACCATATTTATATAAGCATGTCGCGCATGCGTCAGAGAGTAAATAATTTCTTTTTAATGAAAATGGACGTTCTCAAATGCATTTTTAATAACACATATGTGCTCCTTCCTTAAAATCGCGGTGTATAACGCAACTTTAATAATAATAATTAGAATCACCCGCTTATCTCCTGTGATCGCGGTGCTGGTTTTCAGAAGGAGTTTTAATTCGATGAGATAAATTACCCCACCTTTGTCTCATGAGAGTAAGACAGAGCAAACTCGAGTAAGAGCAGAAGCTTCACATATGGCGCACTTCATTAAATATAAAGACTAGCCTCTGCTCAACAATCGCTCGTCAGGATTATATATCAAATTCCTCATCGAACCATGCAAACCCATGGAAATCATTTCTTCTGAATGAAAATGGACGTTTTCAAATGCATTTTTAATAACACATATGTGCTCCTTCCTTAAAATCACGGTGTATAACGCAACTTTAATAATAATAATTAGAATCACCCGCTTATCTCCTGTGATCGCGGTGCTGGTTTTCAGAAGGAATTTTTAATTCGATGAGATAGATTACCCCACCTTTGTCTCATGAGAGTAAGACAGAGCAAACTCGAGTAAGAGCAGAAGCTTCACATATGGCGCACTTCAATAAAAATATAAAGACTAGCCTCTGCTCAACAATCGCTCGTCAGGATTACATATCAAATTCCTCGTCGAACCATGCAAACCCACGTCTGCTCTTCCGTTCTCTTCCCCCGAAACTCGACTACGTCTCGGCTCGATCGGTCGCTTCTCGCGGCATGCGCGTCAGACGAAGGATTGCAGGCCGCAATTAGATATCGCGCGATAAACTGCACTTAACTGCGTAGCGTAGCATCTTCCTTTAAATAATGCATTACTCGCTTTCTACCTGCAGCAGTGCGGCACGCACCATTGTTGACCGAAAACGTGCTTACTCCATGTCTAAATGAGCGTGCGGGAATTTTACGTCGAACGCGAGAAATAACAGACAATTAGAGGCGCATCGCGCCGGCAAAAGAGTCGTCACGAATTAATGACAGGAGGGAGGGACCTCCCTTCGCACGCGCGTGACGTATTTCCACTTCTTCACACTTTCATGCGCATTTTGGACTTACGTAAATCTTTCTCTCTCTCTCTCTCTCTCTCTCTCTCTCTCTCTCTCTTTCTCTCTCTCTTTCTTCCGCGCGAATTTCGCCGCGGCGAGCCGTGAAGGCGGTGCGCCGGCCTGTCTGTCAATTTGCTCGTCATGTCCGAGCGTAACGCGCGATGCATTACCTGGATATAAGCGTAGTCCGCATCGGAAAGGATCGTTGTAGGCGCATATGGTCGCCCCGTTGTAGACCGCAAGCATGTCGTTGATCAGCCGATTGTACTACGAAGGAATAACATCATTATGCACCGCCGACTTCCTATCGCATTGTCGGTTTAATGGCGCGCGCGCGCGCGCGCGCGATGCGGCGAGCCTCGTGTTGTCACGCTTGAATTACGTATGAGCGGAATATCGCCGCGAAGGCTACACTTACCCTGTCCAACTGATCGGGAGGCAACGCCGAGGGCCCCACGACGGACAGGTACCTGAGACGTCGTCTGATCGTGGGATCCCGGACTGCGTTCCGGTCGATTCTTGAGATCAAGTGCCACGCTTGGTTCTGAAAGTCCGCGTACAGCCGTTGGGCCTCCAGCTGAAACGCGGCAATGCGTTGTTGCGAAAAGTGTGTTCCTCGTCGATGGTACACCGTCGTGCAGATGTGACGTCACGCGTTGGATGTTTTCGCGCCCGGTGTAGAATTAAAACGGCGGAATTTTCAGAGTATGCCAAACGACGTGTGTAGCCATTGTTGCGTTGATTACGTATGACGTAAGCGAATTAACGCCGTCTGTCGACGGGCGATTAGCAAACGCGCGGTTGCGACAAAGCGCGCGCGAATCGGCGAACGACGACGTTTTTACCGTTAGAGATAAAGCCGCGGTATCTGTGCGCTCTCTTTCCTGAAAGTAGTCTGCGTTTTTGAAGGAAAGCGGCTGAGCAGGTGAGACGATGCGCGCTCGAGCCCTTCTGCGTCGAACGGCGCAGAGGATAGGTCGCGGATGAACTCGTCAAAGGGGACAAGAAAAGGAGAGAGATTGTATATATGGTGTAACGATTAATATTACGCAAGAGACAGCCTGCAGCGACTACGTAATATACACGTGTCGATCGCGGTTACGCATTGCGCGAGTACGCATTATCGTGTAAGAAAAGTCGAAGCACCATCACGTGACATAAGACATAAGCTTTTTCCGTCATTTGCTCACGAGTAAAAAATCGTCGCAGTACGTTTCGGCAAGACCAAAAAGTCGTTTCGTGAAGAGAAAAAACACCGTAATCGTGATTGATTGGATGATCGTTATTTATCGATACTGAAATATGAATGAGGCCGGCGTACAGACTCGGTGATTGTTCATTACGATCGCTGATGCGCGATATCTCTCACGCGATAACGCGCAGGTATCCGGTAGGGCGTCGACTGTTCTCCGTCGCGGTAAAAGAAAACGGCGTCTCTCGATTATCGTTAGAGTCACGCGACGCGAGCCTCGCCAGGTGTTTCGCATCGGGACGTACAAAATTCCCGTTTCTCGGCGATACGAGAGAGTGAAAGACGGAGAGAGATAGATGCGCGCGTTGCGAGGTTGCAAAATCGTTCGGGATGACTATCGCGCGACAATGGCGTCGCCTGGGAAGATTTCCCGCGGAGGCGTTCGGTCTTTCGCGGACAATGCGAGCGGACTCGTGCCAGGGAAAACCGCGATGTCTCCGAGGTAACGTCAGTGTGCGCGACCCATCCGCTGGCCGATGGAGTGCGGCCACCACAGCGTAGGATACCGAGAGGAGGTCGAGGTCCTTGCAAAAACATTTCACAGGGTGGACGTGAGTCCCATACGATTGCGCGCGGCACTCATTTTCCACGGTATGTCATCGGGCTGCTTCTTGAAATTGAAAGCTCGGCCTTTTTAAGAGATTTATAATTTCGTAACTTGGCCCCTGTATTCTTCTCTGTGGCAAATTTGTCGCAATTTGTCGCAATTGTAATTCATTCTTTAATTATGATGTTTCGTAAAATAATAATAAAAAAAAATCACTTATTTTAATACGTGAAGGGATATGTATCTTTTGCAGCCTAGATTGTCAGTCAAATCAGCTTCGACTGGATAACATCGGTGATTTGTCACGATAATGGAGAGAGTGTTTCTACAAACCAAAATTTGGTTTGTTAGAACTACCAAAATTTTGTTGGAACAACGAAATAATTTGATTAAAATATGCCCGACAAAACTCTGTTTAGTTCCTGTAAACAAATATCTCGTTTGATTACGGTTTGTTCGTATAACGTAATACTTTTGTTATAGCAACCGAAAAGCTTCAACTATATGAATTTTGTTAAAAATACTATAATTTTTTCTTAATACATAAAATCTAAATTTTAGCGCGCAGAAAGACAAAATAGTATCCATCGGGCATTATTTTAGTTTATGTAAAATAATATTTCGTTATTATGTAATTTTTATGGATAAAATAACTGAAATGCTCAATTTTTATGTATGAAGTCTAAGAACAAAACCATTTGGTCCACAGAACAAAACAGAAAAATATATTTAGTTGAGACAACTAAATATCTTGTTATATAAAACAAGATATTTGGTTGCTATTAAAAAATGCCTCAACTGAACAGTTTTGTTAGAGATACTAAATTTCTCTTCCTAGTGTATAGAAAGCAATACCAGATTATTCGTGAGGCAGCCCAAATTGCGGGCGGTCAATCATGCGGGTTAGGATTTCCAAAAAGTAGTTTCGTAATTCGTCGGTCTGGTTAACGAGAAAGTTGCGTGGACCGTGGTGTCGGCACGATAGTAACGTCCCAACGTGACAACATTTCCGTGCGACGGTGTTAAAGAAATATAAAATGTTCTTAATGATAAAATATAGATTCTCAGCGTATTTTACATAATCCTACCGCTTGTAGCTGCGTGTATTCGTTAACGTCGGTTTCGTATGTCCATTGTGCCAAAACGTTAGCGCTGCATCTTTCCGCACCGAGAAAGTCCAATCTGGCTAGGATATTACGGTAATCCAATTCATTGGAGGGAAACTGCCGCGCCGGACCGTCGGGAATGTCGTTTCTGTACGGTGGCAAGTCCAATTGAGCCGAAACCATCGATAACAGGCACAGTACGAGCGTCCATTTTATCTAAAATGTTACATATTTGTTGATGTATCGTGCCTCTTGAATATTGAGGGACGATATCTTAAACAATGCGATAACATATGCTGCTGTACAAAATACGAACGCCATCCGTTTTACGTAAAACACACGTGTTTTGTTGCTCTTGTCTTCTTCCCGACTGTCAAAACTGCATCGTAAACAAAAATTACAATCGTTAATTATCTTCAACAAATTGATAGCCTCCAATCTCATCGTCTAATTAACTCTTGATAATTGATAAAAGCTTCAAGTCACACCGATGCTCATTACTCAATCGATCAAACATTTTCTTTTTCAAAAGTACAATGGTTTGTTTCGATCAAAATCACTGCAAATCTTCTGTCATCAAAATTTTTCTTTTTTCTATCGTCAAAATTTATCACTTATATTGTGTTATAAAGCGCATAAATATCTTACTCCTTATTATTATTTCCCACGTTTGCGTGATAATTGAATTAACGAGTGGACATCTCAACAACCAAATGTCCAAGACACATTCGTAATCGCTCAATATCAAAGTCAGACCGTAATTCCAAGTCCATTAAAGAAGGAGAATTTGCGAGGAGGGTAACGAACCTGGCCGCTCATGTGCGACGATTTATATCATTGATAAGGTACACGTGGGCTGTGTAACTAGGTCAAACACATAGGTCAAATAATACGCTTCACTTATATCCATCGCCTGCCACCTTTTGTGCAGCACTTGAAAATATTTAGTCGTTCCGCCGCGTTCGCAACACGCGCGATATATCATCCTCATCCTATCTTCGCTCTTTGCTCGAAATCGTATAAGCTAAATTGTTGCCCTAAACAACCGTCGCAACAGTTCCTACATCCGTAAGATAAGTTTTATACACTTCGCGGCCAAACTGATCGACTGATATCAAGCGGCGAAGAAAAAGTCTTACAATTAGACCAGAAGTTGCCGGGAACGTTCTAAGATTTATAAAGGCTAGATTTCGAGATACGTATAAAAATAAAAACGTACATGTGCGTGTGTACATAACAACCAAGTGATGAAATCACACAGAAATGTGTCTATGGTATGTTATTACAGTCATACGAGATTAGGGACAATTTATGAAGTACGGTGGGCGCTGTTTTGTGCAAGCCTAAACTGCCGCGACAGCAGGAATTACCGTGCAATTATTATGGGGATTCTCTTGCGAGTTAATATGGAAATCTCATTGTTTCTTTAAATCACGCCATGACATTATGAGAGGAGCATTTACGTGCAATTCATTTGTTGGTCTCACGGTCACGCGTTACGTCTTGGTGTTACGTATTTCCTCCTCAGCATGAAAGGTACCTCCTTATGGGACCACAATAGTAGGTCATCTGCGATTGATCGAGATATGATGACCTTGGTTTCGCACAATTGCGCTTATAGGAAAATGCACATCGTTATATATATATATATATATATTTTTTTTTCTTTTTGATTGTTTAGTTTCACCTAGATCATCGTTCATCATCTAGAAATCTAGAATTTTACACCGTTTTGAAATAAAGATAAGTTTCTCAACATTTCACGAAAATTTTCAATTCAGTAACATTATTTGTAAATCAACAATGTAATGTTTTGACAAATATACTGTTTCGCAGTGAAGCTTTTCGACAATTTGTGAAAAAACATTTTATTTATCAGATGAATTCTTTTATCTTATGAAACAACAACGTTAAAATACAACGTTAAATGTAGTGTTAAAGAACCGAAGGGAAATTGCAATGTTTTACTATTTGTGTGCGTGTGTGTAAATGAAAGTAATAATAAATAATAAATAAAAATAATATGCGCGCCCGAAAGTGAATGTCTTGAAGGCAACCTTCGCGCATTGATCCGACCAGCACATCTAGACATCCTTATAAATCCTGGATATCGCCGATATGAAAGATTCATCGGTATAAACATTTTGACACTGTTCCGGACTGACTTGCTTTCTCACTGTTCCCTCGTTTACCTAACCACGTGTGCCTCCCGCCAGCAGCAGGTTTATCATATCTACGTTTAGCACCAGCAGGATCGCGCTCGTCATTTTGTCGGATCACAGCGCCTTCTCGTATCTCTCTCTCTGTCTCTCTCACGACTTCTCCCGGTTTTTATCCCGGTGTTCTCACATTCTGCGGCTTTGTGTAACCTAAGCCAACGCGATTCTCCGGCGCACGGAGGATCACGTTGTTTCTTTTCGCACATGAAAGATCCCTCTTACGATCCTTCACTCGCCGAGATGAAGGATCACGATCCCTTCGGGCACGTTTCCTCCGGCGTTAAAATCTGTATCACACAGCGCGTACGACGGCCACGATGAACATCATCGACGTAGACTTACGAAGCTTCGACCGGCGCGGTCCACGTCCGGCACCCTGCCGGTTCTACCGAACACGTGCTCCATGTGCGTGTCGAAAATCGGATTGGAAAATCGGGGCTCTCAACCCCCGTCGACGGTCATACACGAATGTCGATCGATCGCAGGTATACGCAACGATTCGTCACCGGTGTCGTCGTCGTCGTCGTCGTCGTCGTACGAAATTCCGTTCCACCGATCGAGCGCGACTAACACGAGCGGCAGTTTCGTTCTGCCGACACTAAAAGCCTCGTGGCCGACGTCAAGTGTACATTTATCCCTGCGAAGCTGTTCGAACGCGACCACAGGGAGGTCATCCGTAGCGAAAAGTGGGGGATTCGTGTACACCTCGTTCATGTCGTCGTTGGTTCGTCGTCGGTGTCGCTGCTACCAGACGGATTGTTCGTGGGAGGAAACGGAGGTAGTCGAGGACGTGGAGGAAGACGAAGAGCCTGTTTCTACATCTAATGCGAAAGGCACAGAGAGGAGAGGAGAAATGGGTTTTGGAAGAATAAAATTCAGGACAGGACGGGGATGAGGGACGGAAGTGAGAGAGCCACCGGAGGTAGGTGGAGGACGAAGTCGTTTTTCGTTATCACGGAATCAGGGGAGTTTCGGGGGAATAGTTTTCCGCGAGAATAGAGGGTGGCGGGAAATGTCATTCGCTGCATCTAATTAGGGAAAAGCGTCAGTTCGATTGAGAAGAGCGAAGAAAGAAGGAGAAAAAATGTAGGAGTGCCAGATGTCAGTTGCGAGAGAGGGGAGAATTGAGAGAGGTCGAGGGCCAACCGGCTGTCGATTGCGACAACCTGAGGCTCTCTCACGTTGACAAGAGTTACTCGTCGGCCCTCTTCAATGAGGCCCATTGTCTATAGGAATATATGCCTGCCCGTCGCAACTCTCTGTAAGCATTTCAAATTTGTCTTCGAAGCCAGTAGTAAACAAGCGCGTCAGAGCGGTAAGGTGTAGACATTATTGGGAATAAGAATGATGAATTTATTCACGACGATAACATTCAGAGGCACGATCTAACGATACGTCGTCGGCAGGATGAGTGAATCAATGTACAAACAAAAGTAGATGGATATTTTATCACCATCCATTCTCGAGCATTCGTGTCTAAGAAACTCGCTCGAATCATGTTATTCGGAGAAGAGACCGTTCGTGTATTTTTAAGAGATGCGTTGGTTAGAGATACACTTGGTTCTTTTCACCAATAAACTCCTAATTTAATAAACTACTAATCTTCGAAATATTTGATATCGTCGTTGCTTGATTCACCAAAGCTATCGATTTATTAATTTCTTAATCGTTACCGATGTTGGTTGAATTGCCGTATCTCATTCCGTCAGCTCGAGTCTTTATTTGGATTAAGGCACTTTTTGCGTTACCATTTTTTTTTTTTTTTTCTAACAGATATCAAAGCTATGCACCGGTCCGGAATTTAGCATCTGCTTTGATAGCTGGACTACCTGATTGTAATTTTCGTGTCACAGAGTTTAGCTCGTTCGTGTATTTTTAAGAGATATGTCGGCGCACTTGGTTCTTTTTACTAATAAACTTCTAATCTTCAAAATATTTGATATCGTCGTTGCTTGATTCACCAAAGCTATCGATTTATTAATTTCTTAATCGTTACCGATGTTGCTTGAATTGCCGTATCTCATTCCGTCAGCTCGAGTCTTTATTTGGATTAAGGCACTTTTTGCGTTACCATTTTTTTTTTTCTTTTTCTAACAAATATCAAAGCTATGCACCGGTCCGGAATTTAACATCTGCTTTGATAGCTGGACTACCTGATTGTAATTTTCGTGTCACAGAGTTTAACTCTTTCGTAAGAAAGAACTAAGCTGGATCTCACAGCGGATGTAACATGAGCATATAATAGTCTGTAAACGCGATTCACGGATGAGTCGGGAAGGCGTGTACAAATGAAACATCCACAAATAGATTCCGCGAAGCATCGACTTCAAACTGACTACCGCACAATTTTATGCGTTATAAAGTGATTCATCGCTTACGAGTCTGTCCGCGTAATTATACTTAATAATCTCACCGAGATATGACTGTACGGATCGTTTCCTGATTCGAGCGAACCTGTCTCCTCCTTAACAGCTACGAAGCCACGCTGTTAAATTCCAAAAATATTCCGATACAACCTGCTGTATTATGACTCATAAATCTCCCAATCAAAAAATCGACATCACCTATTTCTCCTTCCTGCGCACGTCACTTGAGTGAAGTCGCAATATATCTCGAGAAGAAAATGACGCTAAACGACGAGTGGCCGTCTCATTCGAACAATTGACACAATCGATAAAACTTAATTGATCTTATTAGTCGCGCGGAAGTTACCAAGAAAACGTCTCGATTTGACCGCTAGAATCAAACGTCTCTTCGAAACGTTACATGCGTGGCGCAGCTGAAAGAACTAAGAGAATGAAAAAAGGGACAAAAAAAGAAATATGCAAATCACACGTGACATACGCGGACGGATTTACGAGCTGTTGCGCGCGTACGCGCCATCATGGTTCACGCATAAAACGCGCCTGCGTATGCGTTTCCAGGCACGCGCGTTCTCGCGCACCACCTGATCTTGAACTAGATGTGCCAGCTTCGCTTTCATGATCGACGCTCTCTTTGCGACTGCGGCTGACAGCACAGCGGCCACGTGGACCGCTTACTCGTAACGATCGCGATTAACATGACGGCGGTGTTCGCGCGCTCGATAAAAAGCATAAACAACCGCGCCCAGCCTGGGAGAAGAGGAGAGTCTCTCTCACGATGATCTGGAACGCGCGCAACTGCGCACGGCCTAGGCCACTTGGCGGGACCTTGAGTCGTTATGGCGAACTTCTCTTACGTGTACGCATACTTATATCTGCGTATTCCGTGCCGCACAGCGCCGTCCGCATTCGCGCATACGACGTGATTTATATATATATATATATATATAACGTTTACATAACGTGCGCGAGCACGTTTGTACGCTCCCGCCGTGGATATTGTATAATATAAGAAAACGCGACTTCGCGCAATTCGCTCTCGGATATTTTCAAATTTTCTTCGCGGCGCCGCTAAGACGCAGCTTGCTCGCTCGACAGTCTCGCAGACTTCGCGTGGAACTCGCGAGCTGAAGCGACGACGAGATTTGCATTAACGCGAATTGCTCGCGTCCATCTCGCCGGTAAATCATCTTCTGCCTTTTTCTTACTCGCGGTCCCGCGGCTGCTCTCGTCAACGTCGCGCTCCGCGCAAGGATAATCCAATACTTTTTTTCTTTTTCAAACAAAAGTCGCACGAGACTGCAGAGGATGGCCTTTTTGTAAAGCGCGCCTGTATTAAAAAATTAAACGTCCAAGACCGTTTTTTATCGGTTCTTGGCGACCCAAAGATTGCCGGGGTATCTTGATGAGCGATATAATTTGGTCTTGTACAATCTTCTTTTTGCAAAGGTACATCACACACACACACGCACACACACACACGCACACGATGTCCAGGTGGCTCCAGGAAGGATACAAAAAGGTTTCCTCCGAGCCTTTGTCCGACTCGCGCCAAATGGAGCCGACGTATACGCCCAGGACATGCGGAATTAAATCCCCAATGCCACGCGCATTCGCGTTATGCTCGTGCAAGCGTACAGGTGTCTCGCTTAAGAGAGCGTGTACCTGTTCCCCGTGTGACGGCACTTCGACAATGCTAATCTCATTGGCAGATAATACGCGCGCCGGTCTCACGTACCGACCGCAATTCTGGGTTCAAGTACGCACGAATGTGCTCAGCCATCAGAGTCGATTACAACGCGCAACCGTGCGTTCCCTGCGGCGCTTTTTGTCGCTTTCGGATGTCGCCCTAGTCTAGACTCGATCGTTTCGAAAGAATGCGCGGCGGATGAATGAAGAAGAAGAAGGAGGAGCGGCGGCGAGGCGGCACTCGCGTCGATACTTGCGCAACTCGTTGTACTCTGATGCTAATTTAAGTGGCACGAAACTCGCGGCGGAAAGTTCACGCGAAATTGCCGGAAATGGACTGAACGCCGCTATTTTTGTCCTTGTTATTCATACGTCACGCTTATCGGTGGAAAAATTCACCGATTTCCTTTCCCCGGGACGAGTAGTAACCGTTCGATCCTTGACGATCCCTTAAGTACAATCGTTTCTGTCTCATTGACGTCACGTTCCGCCGCCGGTTGTTATGTATCAGTGCTACTTGTAACGAGCCGTTCATACACGCGACGGTCGTTCATTTCCAAGTTGTGATGATTCGCGGATCTGCAGCGTTGAATATTAAAGACCGACAAGTTATTAAAACTTTAACAAAGTGCTCTCAGACTTGCGGAATAATTCGCTTAAGAATAATATTGTCCCTTTTTCGTGGAATTTATATATACCTGCGAGAATATCTTGTAGTTTATTATTATTATTAACTTTTCTCTCCTTTATTCGTCCAGAGTTTAGATTTAGATAATAACTGTAAAGTATTCCTAAGCAAACCAAAGAAATTGTATCGATTGTATTGACCCACGTCATAAATATTAGTGAAATATATTTAATTTCTTCATACTGTGCCGTAATATATTTCATTATTCTTGCCAATGAGGAATAAACTCCACAGCCACAGCAGGATGTACACACACAAACGTTAAACCATTCAAGTCCTCTTCTGCGATACATATTTTCTCGAAGCGTTTCCCTCTTTGGAACCTTGGAATTAATAGCGCGTGAGGCGTATGCATCTCTCAACTATGCATACTTTATGCTTAAACCATCGCACGACAACAATTGCCGATCGCAACGTATGCCGTTAATTATTTGTCTCGAGATAGCGGCGAGGAAACGTGGGAAAGCGCCGGGATGCGTAACCGGTATTACGCAAACTCGGCTAGGAATTATGCAGAACGACAACAAGGTTAATCGGCCAATCGATGCGTCTCGACTGACTTGCAGGAGGAGGAAAATCGCGAGCGTCCCTTCCGAGGACTGAACAAAAAGGGGGAACAACAAAGCCGCGGCAAGAGCAAAAGCTGTGCGACAAGACACAATTTCCACGATGCGTTACAATCGATTTCACGAACTCAATCGCGAGCGATAAAAAGCTGGCCTGATTGCCGGTCAATCTTCAAGGCGGTCTCGATGAATGACCGAGGAACAAATAAGGCGGTCATTTACTGTCGCATAAACTGCTTTTCGTTAATCGGCGAGACGCCGATTAGCGACGCGGCTAATTACGT